AAGGTAATACACGTACTGTCAAGCTAGCCTTGCCAATGAGGATGCCCCCAGCATCAAGAAGCTGTATTGAGCATCAAATAAAATTAGCCAAACCCCCATTCGATATTGGCGGTTAGTAGTTCTACATATGTACCTTCTGTACTGTAGGGGCGTTCCCAGGTGGCAGAGAGCCGACAAGAGCCCAGCTCCCAGCCGTTGTGTCCATACGTAATTGAGGATCGGTTGCAATTGCACCCCAAAGGATTGGTTAGCACAAACGGAGGTGATACTGTACGGACTCTTATACCTTCACGATGAATGGAATACCATGGAGCGAAATTCGAGTCTTTCCGGCGGCGCGTTCTTGATCAAGAAACTGCGCTCGCTCTAGGAGCTGCTCTCTTGGAGCGACGGAGATCAAGGCACCCAGCTTAAGTCCATTTCGATTGTGTTTGTCGATCTGATTCAAAACTTGCTTTACCAGCGACTCCGCATTGAGTTCAGAACGATCGAAAAGTTGTTGAATGTCGTGGGCGGTCGAGGTAAGGAGGTTGAACGGTTTTAGCGCCATGGATTCTTCTTGTGATAATGAAATGCGACTGCTAGGGCGAGAACACTGAAGTAGAGGGCAAATGTCTCGATCGTAAAGTGGCTGTCGTTTCTGAATTTTCACGCTGGTCGGTCGGCCACAGCTCCAGAGCAATGAGGGGGGCTGAAGGAACTTCATGCAGCCGCTGAAAGAGTGATGGGAGGGCAACTGGGATCGCTTTGAGATGGGATGTAGAAGAACACTGCAACAGGCCGGACAGATAGGAAGGGTTGGGGGGGGGATCGACTTGGGAGAGGCGGGGGTATGAAGTATGAGGTTACAGCGGAATGAAGTCTGTGCAGCATTTACTATGCAATGCGATTGCTTGGTTAGATCCTATTCGCCCCTGGTGGGATATTTTCGAGGTTGGGAGGAGTGTTACTGTTGGCCAACATTGCATCGTCCACCAACTTGATCAACTCTGATGGTGATACTATATCAGTGCAAAGCTACAGATGCTCCTCGGTACATGTATCTATATAGCCTTGGGGGGACAGCACCAGCGATAGACTGTGTATATTCTACACCATGGTTTTCTGCCAGTGAACAGTAAGAAAGGTAAGATCGGTAGCAACATAGGCTGCGATGAGGCAGAAGGGTGTGTCAGAAGCTCCTTGGGAACTGAACCTAAACAAGAATTGAGTTGCATAAAGTGGCAGGAGAATGGCTTGGAATGCGAGAGCGCATGGGAGAGACGAGACTGAAGGATAAGATGGAAACTTGAATGAAACCAGGTTATATGAATAAATTCTCGTGTAACATGCTTTCAAGTTATCGAAGGCTCAAAGTCTAGACCTACAGGGTTCTGACTGAATCATTAACATTTCTGACTCTAGCCTAATACCTAAGGGCTATGTTACTGAGCGCTGTGCGATTCGAGATAATCCAGATCAATCCAAATTGGCTCTTCTTCCTCTGTTTCTTCCAACTTTAAACAAAATAAAGTACCCACAACAACAGCTAGGAACACAAATGTGAAAATAAATGGCACGAGTGTAACCGAGACCCCAAACATTAGGCTGGCAATAAAGGTACCTATACTTTGCATTGCGCCAATAGTTGCGTATAATATGCCAATGTGATGGCCCCCGGACAGAAGGCCAAGAAGGCTATACATAGCTGGGCTATAGCCACATCCAAGAGCATAGACGTAGATGGCTGCGATCACCATGGTTGACTCGGCATATTTTGCAATTGCTATCCCCAAAGATCCGGCCACAAGAGCTACAATGCTGGCCCGTGAGATAGACATGTCCTTTCTCAGTGGGCTAAAGCGTAGCTTCTCGATCAGGAAGCGGCTGGTCAGCGGTAGTATCATGGTCAACAAAATGACTTTCAAAAAGCTAGAGCAAGTGATCGATACAAGTATCTATGTCAGGTGGTCAGCGAGGGAAGATAGTTCGTGGACGCTTTTCGCAGGACATGTTAAACTCACTGGTATGTCTGCGGGATCGAATCGTTGCTGTGAGGATTGCTGGGCGACGAGGAGTGGTAAGTTGCTGCCTATCGTGGTGAATAAACAAAATACTATAAGCATGCCTAGCTTCTTGTTCTCGGCAAAAACACGACGGGTTAACCCGGCCATTGATGTTAGGAACTGCTTGAGTCGAAAATTGTAAGACGAAGGGATTCGTGTTTCAGATGTCATCATTAGGCCACCACTCCTGAGATCCGGTACGCGAGTCTCTGGCAAGGAGAGCGTGATCAAGAACGACGCGGCTAGACAGCCAAACCCGGCGTATATGGAAATCCAGCTGCCTGCATATTCAAGAGACAGTAGCACCGGCCAGGAGACCAGTTCACTCAATATTACAGCGCTCGTAAGATAAAAGAAGGTAGTTGACCAGCCAAGGATGTTAATAATTTGCGCCAAAAGTACACGAGAAAATCTTTACAACTTACCTTTGCGTATCTAGACTGATGTCACTTGTTATGGTGAACATCATGGCCGAAAAAACGGTGCTACCGCCGCCTATTAGAGCCCAAAGTCCCTTCAACCCCGTTAAGTGGATCGAGAATGTTTCTGGGAAACTACCTGCAGTGTGATAAGGTCAGTCAGCCAGTCAGTTCAAACGTATTCGAGTATGTCGTGATTTATATCTACGCACATATAACCGCGTCAAATGCCTGCGCCAAGATGATACCCGCAATGGACAATTGGAGTATTCGTTTACGTCCATATATATCAGCCGCCATACCATATGGTGCAGCGGTCAAAAAACTCATGATAATTTCGAAAGAGGCTGTCCAGCTTCGAAGTAGAGGCAATTTGTCGTCTTCACAAGCGGAGTTGCCAAGAACATTTGTATCATTCGCGTTGGGCTTGTGACATAAGATATCTCTTTCTATATGCTTCATTGGTATTATAATGAGTGTCTTTCCAATGCCGACAAAGGCGAGCAACAAAAGACATTTAACAATGATAGCCACACGCGAGATGGGAGCATTGCCAACCGCAGGTTCTCTGGCATTGTCGACGTGATGAGCCGCTCGTAGAAGGGGGGTTTGCTCCCCATCTTGATTGGAAGCCATGAAAACAAATTAATTAAGATATTGTGTTGAGACTCGGATAATGAGAATGAAATGGCATCAAAAAGTTGGGCTTGGGAGGACTAGAACGAGAAGAAGGTTAAGGTTTCGAGAGTCCAAGAGTGGCTGGCATGATTTTACACACCAGACAAACACCGCACGGCGTATCAAGGTTGTTATCGGTGAGGCCGAGAACAAGAGTCGGAATAAAAGTGCAGGATCAGAGAGGCGTGAACGGGGTCACTGGAGGGCCAATGCAGCCTGTCTCCCTCCGATGCCAACAGATTTCAATCAGTCATTTTTTTTCACATCTAGTGAGGGAATTAATATCGTATCGTGGCCAAAAGGATCGTGCGTTTGCCCGATGTTTCATGAATGCTTAAATTTTCGCCATCGAGAGGTATAAGCTCCGCCAGACTAGGCGCAAACAGGACACGGCCGCAGTTTACTTCAACCAACAACCAACACTCTGGGTTAACTGTATGCCTAGCTGTTCTTTCTTTTTTCTCTCTCTTCTTTATTTGGTTGGTTTGGCCCGCGGATAGCACCAAACGGCAGTGCACAGAAGGAAGCTTTCAGAAGAACAAGCAGAGTCAGTTTTAACATCAAGTATACGTGAAGTATAACAACAACAACATTGTGGAAATATTTTGGGGAAGAAGTCCAAACCGGTAACAGAACTTACTAAGGTGAAGACTTAGATCTGGCTATATTAAATAAAATATATCAGTATAGCAAGAAGCTTTTTTTGCTCCCTTTAACTACTAGCTAGCTTGATCGGCCAGATCTTCATGGTCACTTTGCTAGGTTTGGGTCTCTCGGCGCCTGTTACTTTATTTCATTAAGTTGTTTGATTCTGAAAAGGAATGTACAATCCATTTTGGGTAATTATCGCTGAGTTTTATAAATAAACCGATCAACTAGCTTTTTACAATGGTTGAGTCATTGAACTATAAGTCGTAGGCTTGAAGCCAGCTGTTGTGTTGTGTTTGAACCTCATGGCTCTGACCGTTTCCCGCCTTTTGAGGTCCCGAATTTCCTTGTAATGTTGTACTACCTCCTCCGACCTACAACGTACGTCTCCTGACAATATCCCTCCAGCATTCTTTGTGTTACACGTAAACATAACTAGAAACTGTGAGCTAAGTCTGGTTACCCTGGCACAAAGGTTTAGATGACCCGTAGAAATACTCATTTTTCCGACACAGCATGTTTGAAAGATTTGTTTCCTAGTACCTACATAGTTGCATCTGATACTTGGACCCAAAGGAGAGTTCGACTATGTCGTTGCCATTAGTAGGCAGTACTGCAGTGGTGAAAACTTGAAGTTACTAAACCGAAGCCACAAGTAATCCGCTCATTAATGAACCACGGGGTGTATGCACTTTAAGCTTATTTCCTACATACATGTACTTGCGTATGTTTAGGGTTGTGATGCGGACTTGCGGAGGCGGAAGCTTCTATGTAATGCCTTTCTAAGAACGATGGCTACTCCATGCCCCACTCATGAATTGCCTTCTTGAGTATAAACATGGGCACAACTAGAACTTCATGGCCAGAAAGAGAATGGATGAGGTTTTTAAATTAACGGTTTCTAAGCTTCAAAGGGTGCCTGACCAATACCCCTATGAAAATTCCCAATTGCGGAAATGTTAATAATGGTTATTCCCAAGTCCGCTGTGTCGCGATTCAATGGAAGAAACAGATGGTGATGTCTGTCAAAGTCCGCATTGAATTTTATATAAAACGCGCTGATCCTAGGAATAAATGCAGCAACAGTTTATTGAGAGAGTATATTCAAGAAAGAGGCTTTAGTGATATCTGTTAGTCAAGAAGAGGAGTGAATTCCTGCTTCGAATAAGGATATCCTGTCTGTCTGTCGATTTCTGTGCCGATATCCAGAATGAAGGAGGCACTTGCCTACCCAGGACCCAAGGTCGATGTTGTCGAGTCCCCTATACCAACTGCAGGGCCATTTCAGATGATCGTCAAGGTGGCTTGCGTTGGACTGAACCCCAAGGACTGGAAAGTTGCAGATGGTGCCGTACCCGGAGTCACTTATTCCAACGAGGGCGACGACTTTTCAGGAGTCGTTCATACAGTCGGCCAGGGTGTAACCGAGTTCAAAGTTGGCGACCGAGTGGGTGTCTTCCATAAGACATTGAGCCCGGGAGGGGGGTGGGCGGAGTATGCTATTGCTTGGGAGAGCATGGCATTTCATCTGTCAGAGCATATCTCTTTCGAAGGTTAGTCTCAAAGTCACTTTTCGGAGAAGATGCAAAAACCGCTAACTTTACCGAGCAGAAGCCGCAACTATTCCACTGGCAGCCATTACCTCTTGTCTGGGGCTATATCGCCGTCTTCCACTCCCTTACCCTTGGGATCCTTGCGATAAACCACGGCCATTCATCGTTTACGGCGCGGCATCGGCTGTAGGTGCCTACGCCGTAAAACTAGCTGTCCTTTCGAACATTCATCCCATCGTCGCAGTCGCCGGAAGGGGAATCGATTTTGTAGAGACGCTCATTGACAGGTCTCGTGGCGACACAATTGTTGACTACCGTCAAGGAGACGATGCTGTGGTCGAAGCGATCAAGGCAGCTTTGGGGAACAAAGAGCCAGAATTCGCCCTTGATGCTGTGAGCAAAAGAGAAACGGTTCTAAACATCTCTCGGGTGATAAACAAAACTATTGGAAAGATTGTTGTTGTACTGAACATTCCATCCGGTCTAATTCCGGAGGGGATTTCGCTTATCAATTCAGCAGTTGAAACAAGCCAGGTAGACCTTGGCAATGACGCGCTTACATGGCCTAACTCTAAGGGACAAAGCGTAGGAATCACGCACTTTACAACTGTGATGCTGCGATTCATCGGGAGGGGATTGAATGAAGGCTGGTTCAGCGCGCATCCGCATGAAGTGGTGCCAGGCGGACTTTACGGGTTGGAGGGCGCACTTACACGGTTGAAGAATGGTTCGGTGAGCGCAACTAAGCTTGTTGTGAGGATATCGGATACCGATGGTTTAGGGAATTAATCCGACTTACGGAGTACAGTTGCCTGGGGGCTTAATAACCACAACGGCTGATCAAGTCCGGGAGTCATCCTGGTTGATGCATTGTCACCACGCGGTGGGGGTTGGGGCAATTTATCCTGCACGTACGGAGTTTAGGTAAAGAACTTTCGGTAGCAAAAGTTGATAACAGCTCTTAGAATAGGAAGATATTAGAACCTGAATGTGGGTAGGGGTGGGCCGCTAATTGAATACGGACTTTTGTTGCTCTGTAATACTTGATGGTTGAAGACTGGCCAAGACACATTACGGGAGCAAAGGAAAGCGAATACTCAAGGACGCCAATTATTTTTGCTGTTCATCTGTAATTAACCAGGCAATGTTCCAACGGCTGCTCTTGCGCCTGATGAATCATACAGTAGCGAATTGTGTTTTGAAACAAATCAAACTATTCAAGCTTAAATATGAAAAGGATGGGAAAGAATTTTGGTTTGAACGAGATTTTGCTATCTTTAGCAAATTTTGATGACTTGAGTTTACAGGGGTTTAATCTAACAACTAGCAACCTGTCGGTTGTGCTTGCTGACGTTGCCAGTATTTCTGTTACTCTCTTTTACTCCTTTTTCCATTCATAGCTTGCAACGCCGTCCGTGCTCTGGGTGTCTTTCTTCCACTGGTAACTGGCAACGCCATCAGTGTTCTCGGTATCCTTCTTCCATTCGTAGCTAGCAACACCATCGGTGCTCTGGGTGTCCTTCTTCCATTGGTAGCTGGCAACGCCATCAGTGCTCTCAGTATCCTTCTTCCACTGGTAACTGGCAACGCCATCAGTGCTCTCGGTATCTTTCTTCCATTGGTAGCTAGCAACACCATCGGTGTTCTGAGTATCCTTCTTCCACTGGTAACTGGCAACGCCATCAGTGCTCTGGGTGTCTTTCTTCCATTCGTAGCTAGCAACAGCGTCGGTTCCCTAGAGAAAGAGCAAGCAATTAGCCATGAGAAGAGACAGAGTAGGCAAGTGAATGGTTTACAGGGACAGGAGCAGCAGCGACTGTGGCCGCAACTGTGATGCAGCTGAGGAAAAAAGATGTCTTCATTTTTGGTAGTAATGTTGGTAGCAAATCAGATATCTCTGGTGGGATACTTATGAAACACAAGTGAAAGGAATCGAATCTGGCGGCATCCTTCTTCCTTTAAGATATCTAATCCCACCATCACGGTGTAGTGTGCCACACGTGGGGTTCATTAGTCAGTGGGGGACAGTCCCCAACGGAACCTTCTTTGTGGATGATGACGAGCTAATTCTGATGCATATTAACAGTCTTACAATTTGTCCGAGGGGTTGATCGTGCCAAGGCGTAAGGATTCTAGGAATCCGAAGGTTTGTCCGAAAACGTCGTGATATTCTGCAAATGGAAGGTGAGATGTTTTGGATGCCATACTTGTAGATACGAGTGTGGTTCCTACACATGCACGAAAATGCAGCTAAAATAGTCATTGATATCACTACTGGGGTCTATATACATAGGCGACGATAACCGAGAACGACAATGAGCTAAGTTGTATCAGTCACATTACATTGTTTCCGCAGAAAGGTAGGTTTGGAACTTCTAAATGCTCGCCTTAAGGTGAAAAGAAAACAGCTAAGATTGTTACAGTGATCATTTTCAAGGCAACAGAAATGAATATGCAAAGAGAAAGAGACGAAAACTCTATTGAAGAGTCAGATCCTTTCTTAGGGGGGTCAACGCTCGCAAAGAGCCAGACCAGAAGTCATCGACGGCAGAACATACTCTTGTATTGTTTGATCTGCTTACTTGGAGTATCCCTGGGCTCTCATGTCTTGACATACCTTTACATCCACAAGGCTTCCTACCTCGACTCAGCATGCGTACGGCATACGCAAGAAAACCGTGAGTTTGAGTTTCTCTTTCCCAACAGTCTTTTTAAACACAAGTCGATTAACTATTCTCCAGCTACTCCCATTGATATCCCGATTCACTATCGCTCTGTTCTTTATGACGGGACATTTCTTGCCAACTCGACTTCTGCCTTCCGCCTTGCCCCCTCCCCAGAGGTGGATGAAGCATGGGAAGGGCTTGGTACCACTTCAAAACCGCTCATATTGTCCAAGACTCAGGCAGAACGTGCTGGAATCAGTTCCGACCATCTGAAAACTCCGTCGGGGGACTTCCCCGTCCTCTTCGAGTTCAACCACCACTTGCACTGCCTCAACCTGATCCGCAAATCCGTCTACTTCAATTACGCTTACTACTCAGACCCCAACTACCCGGGGCACCACCTTGGAAAAGATGAGGAGACAATTGCCAAACATGTCACACATTGCATCGACATGCTCCGGCAGGTCATCCAGTGTAAGCCGGATTTGGGGGTTTTCGGACAGTATTGGGTAAAAGACCCGGCTCAGGGAATAGACGGTTCTTTTGTGGACTTCAATACGAACCACAAGTGCATCGACTGGGAGCCAGTAAGAGAGTGGGTTCATGCACACCAAAGTCTCGAAGACATGGTGGTGGAATTGCAAGAGGGTGATAAGATTCTAGATATTGCGCCGTAGAAAGACACTAGTTGTGTCTAGTACAAGGATGGTTCGCGAATACTACTAGTTGAGAGTCTTTATATTACATGGATGTCCTGTAAGATTATGCAAGCTTGTGGATTCTCAGTGGGCATGATCACGGACATCCGAGTGATGGAAAGAGAACGCGAGACACGGATCTAGGTACGAGTATATCAGCATAACGCAGAACAATGCTTCTCTTACCACACATAATAGAAATAAAGTACAGAAAAAAAACAGCTCATAAGATAATTTAGGCCTGAGAAATTATATCCGTAACCATCTTGAGCCGTTTTAACTTATACGTTGCCATTACTTTCAGAAAGGTTCACCCAGATCACAGCATAGGTGGGGTGTGTCTCGCGTTTTTTTCCACCAGTTGACATCTTAACCATGGACGCTTATTGTGGGTGTGATTTAGATGCACTTTTGCTAGGTTTGTGCTGACTTAACCTTCATCGGCTAAATCTGTTTGAGTTGCAGTATGCAAGACAAATGGAGAACAGCTCAAGACTTGGTTGATCGGACCATTTGAAACGTCATTGTCGCCACTTCTGGGACTTGATGACTTGAAAGGCGTGTATCACTGTCAGGACTTTTGCATCTGCAGGATCAAGTCCCCGCCAAGGACACGGAGTTTGTCTTTTGCCTCATGCTAGCAATAGTTCGAAACTGCCCCTCATTGTGCATTGCCAACTTCCTTTCTTAGCGCAGCTCGACTTAATAAATCGCTTACATGATTTCGCCCGACTTTGTTTTGGTGGGTAAGCTTTAGACAAACTGTAGCTGGACCCCCATCTTGGGAACTGCTTTGATCTTTGGGTTCCAGGTAATGCATTATGTCTCGGCGAAGCTCTGGCTTTGAAGATGAAGACACGCTGTTGGGCTCCAAGAGCGAGAGTCTCTCTCTGCAAGTGATGGAGAAGAGAAGAGCGAACCTTGGGATCCTACAGCTTTCTCTCGTTGCTTTGCTGAGTTCAGTGATTTCTGTCGCAGTGAGCCTCATTGTATGGAAAAGCGTACAGCCCAGAGCTGGGCTAAGGGAGGATGCAAAACTACTTCCAGGACTGGATATCCCCCCTCGTAGGCAAAATCCGGTTCACTTTGCTCTCTTTGCTTTCTTGACAGCTAACGGGAGATCATAGTTGGCCCGATCCATAAAGCTTTCATGCCGGAGAGGGTATATGATGACCCTCGCACCGAGCACGGCTACCAGGCGTGGATGAACCTGTTTCCGAGTACGACGTTCAACGTTCTCATCTGGAATAATACAGCTATCTAACGCGTGGTGATTTAGAGGGAAAAGGATATGTCTCAATAAAAAACATAGAGGCCGCAGGTCCAGTGCCCGACTATGTCCAGGACACCAGCACAGACGGCACCGGACGATTCTCTGTCGCAGTATTTCACCAACTGCACTGTCTAGTACGTGAACAATCTCTGACTGACTTTGCTTTTCTACCATTTTCTCTTGCCTTGTATCTAACGGATCTTGATGCAGTATCTTCTTCAATCCGACCTTTTCGAGGCTTTAGAAGCAAACATCACCGAACCGCACTCCCACACACTCCACTGCTTGGATTACCTTCGAGAGAGTATCCTCTGCACATCCGACTCTACTTTGGAGCCATTCAAACCAAAATTCGACAGCGCGGCAGATAGAAAAGGTGTAGACGGATACGGCACTCCCCACCAGTGTCGCGACTTTGGAAAGTTGAGAAACTGGGCTGAGCGATTTCGGTATAATGATAATCAAGGTTTCGAGACCTTTGAGGGATGAAAAGCGACCGATTCAACTCATCGAGACACTAAAGCTACAGACTGTAATTTTACACCAATAAAAACGATTATCCTGCAGGGTCAAGACTTTTTGAGATATTGCGCCGTCAATACAGTCAGATAAGTTTTAATGCTTGTATGTTATGCTTCTTTTAGTGTCCGAAGAGGAGCGCCACAATGCACAGCCGCAAACATGAAGTTATTAAAACCCATGTGTGGCACTCCTCAATATGCATATCTCAGCACCAATTGTTTATTAAATTAAATAGACTGTATTTGTTCAAATGTATGTCAATTGGCCTTAGTCTGTGCTATAGCTTGCTGGATAAGACCTCCTACTTGTGCTGTGACCGGACCGACCCCTGTTCAATCAAGTTCCGATACTTCTACTGAGCCAGTGCCCCTATTTTCAAACAATATCTCATATTCTATTCATAGAATCTCTATACAACCACCTGTTTCAGGAGTTCCTAAATCTTTCTATGTATGTAGATGTCGGAAACTTATTCTGAAGCGGACACTGCATGTGGAGTTCGTCTTGGCTGTGCTAACATCGGTAGCTACAGTAGTTGCAGATGCAGATGCAGATGCGGACGTCTGCATGATTGCAACAACGTGGGTAATGTAGTAAACAATGTAACCCTCTCATATCGGCAATCTGCCCGGAGTGGCCCGAGATGGTGCAGTCGATGGACTAACGGTGTGGACCTTGAGTAGTTGAGGTGGGAGTACATGAAGCTTAGAACCAAGAGGTCGGAATCATAGCCTATCCGATATAGTTGTTGGTTGCGGATATTGTACCCGGCACCCTCATGCTTTTATAGAATACATCAATCCTACTCTCTCAGCCGGTGATAGTCTATTCGAAAATTGGACCTACCGCAAACATGGGATAGACGTCCAATTAGGCAGACTTTGGGTACCCCTACTTTACATTGTCCGTAATCTGCGACTAATACGCAAAGGAAGGGATGAATCAAGGTCTAATTCCAATCAAGAACCATTAGTCCACTAGTATAACACATTGACAAGTAAAAATATGAAGTACATATCTGCATGATTAGAACCCTCAGGCACACTCGATATAAAATAGCCCATTCATTCAATACACTAGCTACGAAAGTTCTACCAGAGAGAATACAATTCCATCTGTATCCAGCCAAAAACTATTTCCCTGGCAATGGGAAATCCTCATCAGCACCTCTTCACTTTCTTGAAACCACTTTCTGGGAAATTAAGTCCGTTCTAGCGTAAAAATGTCCCATAAGAGATAAAATGCTATGAGAACGAGCTGTTAATGAACATGATCTCGAGATGAGAGACAAGCTGGATAGACATACCCATATTTACTTCAAATACAGGTAGTCATGTATATGATCGTCACTGCAGTTATTCACGTGGCGTGTCGATGTTGGACCTGCATTGCATGAACCGGCCCAATCGGGCCGTGCCGAGATAGTCACATGTGAAATTCGCTAGTTGCTTGCTATATATGATTCGTTCTTCCACTTGCATTTTTCCTCTAGAACTTGGCATTAATTTGCAAGAGGACATTGACGACGCTTAAATACGTGTTACCAACCTCCTAAGTCCAGCAGTGAAGCGGTGACATTGGTCAGCCTTGAACAACGCGCTGATCCTCTAATTTTCTTCGAAACCAAGGTTCACTCTCACCGCCATTGACGTCGCGCTGCAATCTTCCACGTCTTCAACTCATAACGAAGGAAAACAAGGTCAGCAAAGGTTCCAGGATGGCAATTGAGACCCTCTCAGCGCCACTGGAAAGGCTACCTTTTCATCTTTTGGAGGGCATATGTTCCTGGCTGAATCCGTCAAAAGATGGCGGCCTGCTTGCCTTTTCGTTGGCAAACCGACAGTGCGCCTCTGCGGCCATGAGGTTCCGTCTCCGGCATATCCATCTCAAAATCGACGAGCTGAATCCAGACGAGAATTTCGCTTTCATAGATAAGATTCCGGATATAGATATCCGCCTTGGCTGTGTTCGCAGTCTCAAGATTAGTGATACCCTGGGATTCAAAGATGACGAAGAACAAGACGATGCTAAATGTGAAGAGATTGACGCGGAAAGCTTTTTTGCGAAACCCAGTCCTCTTCGTCCCTCAAGATTGAGGTCCACTGCCTACAGGCCACACAAACTACTACAACTGCCGGAGGACGTTCTACAGATGAAGATTAAGTATCAACACACCTGGGTCGGAATAGCGAGATTCATCAGCCGACTGAGTGATTTATCCAATCTTGTATATGATTGCATAAGCCAGGTACCGATGTGTTTGCTCTCAGCGCTGCGCGACAATTGCCCAGATGCCAGACTACATGTTTATACCTTCAGCCTTCGAAGTCTCTATCAGCCAAGGAACGGATATCACGATATTTCGCCAGAGGAGTATGCTCTTGCTACGTCGCCGAATCTCTATGGGATTTACATGAAATACTCCTCTTATGATGGAGATGGATATATTGGGTACAATGAAGAAGCCGTAATACAGATGGTAAGAGGCTTGGCTCCAAGGCTCTCATATGTTGGCATGGCTGGTCAACCAATAGGTAGCACCATTGAGTTAGCCCATGCCTACCAGCTACACAGGCAATATGGCAAACCAAAATGGAAGGGCTTCTTCCTCAACGATGACCAAGCATGCGATACGGTACATGGAAAGGGGAGCTTACACACCTTGTACCTTGACGGAGCTTCAGAGCTACGCATTCATCAGTGGTCTGGCCATACCGACTTTAACAAGCTAACGAAACTGCATCTGGGAAACACCACTATGGATGCAGTACAAGCCCTGGCTAATATTGGAGAGAGTGGTGGATTATCTTCTCTCTCTTCTCTCGCTTTAAAGCCTCTAACAAGGAATATGGAGCAAACGATGGCTGCCGATGCGTCCGCATGTCGGCTATTGCGAGCTATAAAGCCTCTGCAAAGCCTCGAATTGGAAGGGAAAATAGGATACAGCGCCTGGCAGGCAGTGATTGATCAGCACGGCAATTCTCTTCGAGAGCTTCTTTTTGTCCCAGCCTCGGAGTACTATGATGATATCGAGGCTCTCGTGCTCTCCTGTGATAGGATAAGACAACTTCCGGGCATCTGTGTCAACCTAGAGAAGCTGGAGTTACGTGTTCCCCGAACCCGCGGCGATGAAGACGAAGTTGACATCTATCGACATCTTGGCCGGCTTCCACGATTAAAGCGCATCTCTCTAGTCCTTGACTGCTCCGTCATCGATCCTCCCGAAGTAATGCATGGAGAACCATCTATTGAAATGGGCGGCTGGGTGCTACCAGTCAACGCTTTCCGCGCAGCACTTATCAATAACGCAATGGATTCGACCCTTGCTCAATCCATCTTTGAGACAATAGCTACAGAGAGAGCATACACCGGCGGCATTTCTCTCGTTGATCTAAAACTAAAGATCTATGGCGCTGGCAACTTCGGAAGGTTCTCAGCCGACAATGAAACGAAGATCCCTCTGGAATGGGTCGGGCAGAGTTGGTTTGTGAGAAGGAATTCTCGTGATGGGGGTCAACTCGCTCAGAAAATCAAACCTTTTGTCGATGACCTTGACGTTTTGAAGGATGATTTCTTCGAGCGTGATGACCTAAGAGCTGTCTGGATGGATATATGGCCAGGAAGTCCTGGTGATCGAAGGAACCAGTGGCATAGCTTCCCTCTAGCTAGATCAACGGAATGAACAGAATTATGTATGTAGACTCTGCCAAAAAGAAATCCTGCAATAAATACCTGAAAATTTCCTTCATTGGTCATTGAATGTCCGACATCTTGGTTTCGGCAACAGGCACAAAGATACAACTTCAAATAGCATCACTCTTCTACCTGAAATAGCATCGTCAGGGTTCTTGTCAGAACAAACTGTCAGGCAATGTCAATATGGAATGTTAGGATGGCCCGTGAGTCTCTATTATAATCAGATAGTGTATCCACATCATTAATTCTTTTGAGTAATGGCAAGTTGGCCAAATCCAAGGTATGTGTGTGCTTAGTTACTGATGTAAGCTTGAGAGTGACTATCAATGCTCTGTAGCTTGAGGCTTCGGCACGGCTAAACAAGGAACCAGAAACACTGTCATCCTCAGCCAATCAAGCCGATATCAGAGAGGGTACGATCTGTAAGCATTGACCACGTTTTCAAAACTTGCTGCCACATCTGTACGGGGAGAATATGGGATTCTAAGCTCGGTGCAGGCTACGACAAGGCTCCTGTCCCCCGAGGAATAAAACGTATCTTACCCACCCATAAGAGCTATCAACAATTTGATTAGCCTATTCAGTATAAAGGGGCCAATTCCGTTTCACAAAGCATTGTGCTATAAATTGAACGATAAGCAAGATAGGGGGGTTATGCTAGCATTAACTGCTATTTTGCACCCTGATCTAAATACATGTACATTGCAGGCAATACGCACATTTGATTGACAGAAGCTTAACATACTAATACACATGCAGAGCTATCATTTGGAAATTGAGTTGAAATATCCTTTGATGCCGAAAATACATGTAAACCCCCATATCGCCTACAAATTCGATAAATCTGCCAATAGAAGTGCTGTTGGATACTGGGTAAGGTATGATAAGAACTGGTCCCATGGATTCAATCTAGATTCTTATGCTACTCACCTCGTTCACACACCACCCCCGTCCACTTTTCTTGGTGCATGTACACGTAGCAAAGGTTCCAAGTCTGTGGCACTTTGCAGCGAGGAGAAACTGTATCATGACACCGTATTTTGCAAAGTTGAGGCCAATCATCTTCACATCTATTGACGCACCAGTCAGAGCTTTACAACCTCAACTCACCGATATTTATTTCCATTACGTATCTTCAGTTGCTCTCAACAAAGTCAATCCCTGGTGGTTGTTCATCTTTAGAGCTTATGGGTGACTGACTGCATGCATGTGCCCAATTTCCGCCGAATTCCGGCTGCCCTGCAATTCACGCCCTACCTAGAACCCAAAATCGCGTATGAACAGAACTTCCATCTTCAACTCCCGCTGTTCGCGCCCGCTTGCCCGTGGGATATGTACGTATAATCGATTCAACCCCCCTACTTGTCCAAATTTAGTAACGACGTTGTTTGGTTTTATTGCTAGACAACGCTATAATTGTGACTATGTCTTATCGGTCAACGGTTCGGCTCGGCGAATATCCAATGACAACATGTCCATATGCTAGCAATGTGTTGACACCCGAAAGTTAATCAAGGAGGAGGCAATCGTGCTTTTATCAACAAAGACAAAAGACTTTTGTACTGTACAGCTTTACGCGCACCTGCTTTGATGCCCTGTCAAGACGTTGCCAAGACCGGTAAGACGGCTGCATCTCCCCTCAAGCCAAACTCCATCAACTCCGCACACCGGATCTTCGCCACTTTGGGCGCTACAACGGATCATCGCCACAATGACGATGAGCGAACGATAACGGCGAATCCAGTTTAATTACCATTGAATTGACGAGCCCGGTATTCTCCTTTCCCCGCGTATTAGATGACATGAGAATACACAATCTGTGAAACTGTAACAGGGTTTCAAAGGGAAATGAGGTTAAGCGAAGCCGTAGGTTCAACAATTTGGATAGTTTTTCTATTTGTTTCGGAAGCATCGATTCACCACGATGCGTATTCCGGAGCCAAGATATTAGTCGCGGGAGCGGGCGGAGGCATCCTTTGCATTGTAAAGACTGCTTCAACACTCGTGCATTTGCCGTACAGTACGCGCATTCAATAACCACGAAGCCAACCCCCTCCCTTCTCGCCGAATTTCCCCATCTGAACACCGACACCAGATACACCAGATAGATAAACAGGAATATTCACGTACGTGATGCAAATCAGCAAAGTTTCGCATCCTATTAGAAATCGACGGGTATCAAGGCACGTATCAGGCCTAACAATGCAAGATACGCAGATAAAGTCATCTGGATATGTTTCCCTAGCGGAGAACTCGCCGGGTCCGACAAGGGTGGCCGGCGTCAAGGGCGGGATTGCGCCTCGTTAGTTCGCGTCCCATCGAGACTCGGCCGGGAGAGGCCGCTTTCTCAGCTTCGTTCCTTGTGAGAATGCGACAATGCCGGCACCGAGCCTCTCACAAAACGAGAAACGCCGGAGTCTACGACAACGACACTAAACTGCTAACGGGCATAAAGCAGCAAAAGCGACAACACTAAACAAGCCATGAACGACAAGGAGGGGGTTTCCAACTCTCTCGTCCGCTGCCGATTCAGTGCCCTCTGGGAACCGCCCTCGGAGCTGGGCCTGAAGAAATCTGGGGAAGTCCGGGGTAACCCTGGTTTAGCACCGGCCCTTGGCATATCTGAGAAGCTCGTTTGTTGGCTAGGAAGCGGCTGTTATCAGGGCTGCCCTATCAGGTCCCCGTCGTTATCGGCCATTGTCTGGTTACGTCGTGGCAACTGAGTCTTTTTTGCCTCCATCGCTATCATCGTCTAGTCCGTATGTCGCCTAGAGGCGTGGGCGAGGTGTGGCACACAGATTGACGCTTGGCCTGCGATCTGACTCTGAGGTTTCCAAGTTGTAGAGATAAGCACTCGGTAGAGGGGGGCTAGGAAGAAGAGGAAGGGAAGCAAGTGTGTGCGTAACGACGGCATACGTGCACACATGTCCGGGCTGTCGCGTACATGTACATACATACATTACACATGTCGGGATCTAAAAGCCAAGGTGAGGAGAAGACCGAGGAGAGGACGGCTAGAATGTCACATAAACGCCATCACGCGCCCTACACGCCGGGATGTCAATTAGTCTCCTTCATCCTTCTCGTTATATAAAACCTCTTTGACCCTCTGAATCACTGAAGCCTCGCCGCTTTGCAATTCGCCCACTCAGTGCTCGTTAATACTACTTACATACTCTGAGACATCTACCGAAGCTCAATCTCACAAGACAAAGGCTTCCAGGGAATGCTGTCTCACCATTTACATCTGCTGCTCTCCTCTTGCATCACTGCAAAATATCTCAACAAGTGAAAAAAAAAGGAACGGAACAGAGGGAGACAAATAATCCAAACCCACAACAACATAATCCACAATGGCGAGCAGCAGTAATAAGAAAGACCCCAACATCACCAAACTCATCGACAGCGACCTCGACACCGCCGACCAAGCCACCCGCGATGCCGTCGATCTCGCCGCCCTCGGCCACTCCCAGGCCCTCACCCGCAAGTTCGACATCTGGAGCATGCTGGCCCTCGCCTTCTGCGTCTTGGGCACCTACTCGACCGAGGCCCAGGGCATGTCCAGCGGCCTCACAAACGGCGGGCCCATTGCCGTGCTCTGGGGCCTCCTCGTCGTCACACTGTGCAACATCTGCGTGGCCGTGTCCATGGGCGAACTCTGCAGTAGCATGCCCACGGCTCTCGGCCAGGCGTTCTGGATCTCGCAGCTGAGCCAGACGCCGGTTGGGCGTTTCACGGCATACATGTGCGCCTGGATCAACACGTTTGGCTGGTGGACGCTCACGGCCTCGCAAAACGCCTTCATGACCGAGTTCGTGCTGGGCATGAAGGTCATGTTTGACCCGGATTGGGACGGCGCGAGCAAGGGCTGGGTGCAGTTCCTCGTCTACGTCGGCATCACCGTCTTCTTCACGGCCATCAACCACGTCGGCTGCCGCAACGACAAGTTCCTTCCATGGTTCAACAACTTCGTCGGCGTCTGGTACGTCGGCTTGTTCTTCATCCTTGGCCTGGCGCTGCTCATCTCCGTCGGCGTCAAGCACGACCTCCAGTACCAGTCAGCCAAGTTCGTCTTTGGCACCTGGATCAACCAGACTGGCTGGCCCGACGGTGTCACTTGGTTCATGGGCCTCGTCCAGGGTGCTTATGGTCTGACTGCCTTTGACTCTGTCATCCACATGGTTGAAGAGATCCCTGCTCCTCGACGCAATGGTCCCAAGACCATGTATCTATCCGTCATCTGCGGTGCCATCTCCGGCTTCATCTTCATGGTCATCTGCCTCTTCACCATTCAGAACCTCGACAATGTTCTGGACCCTCCCACTGGACTGCCGTTTGTCGAGTTGCTCCAGGAGACGGTTGGACTCAACGGTGCCGCCGTCTTGGTTGCCCTCTTCATCTTCAACGGCATGGGCCAAGGAGTCAGCGTCTTGACTTCTTCTTCCCGTCTTACATGGAGTTTTGCCCGCGATGGCGGAATCCCCTACGCCGCCTACTTCTCCCACGTCGACCCGGTATGGCAAGTCCCTGGCCGTGCTTTGTGGCTTCAGGCATTCCTCATCAGCCTGATAGGCGTCTTGTATCTTTTCGCAAACACAGTGCTCGAAGCCATTCTCAGCGTCAGCACCATTGCCTTGACCGTCTCTTATGGCATGCCCATAGTCGTTCTCCTCCTTGTCGGCCGTGATAAGCTGCCGCCGGGAGAATTCCGCTTAGGCCGATGCGGCATGTCTCTCAACATCATCTCCATCATATACTGCGTCATCACAACCGTCTTCTTCCTGTTCCCTGGCAGTCCCAACCCAGCCCCTAGCGATATGAACTACGCCATTGCCGTTTTTGGCGTTATGCTTGTTGCAGCCGTCGGCTTTTGGTTTGTAAAGGGTCGGGTTTCCTTTATGCAAATGGATGATGAGTTGATCGGCCAAGTCGTGCGTGAACTCTCTTATGATGAGCAAAATGTCCAGGTCGCCACGTCGGTGGACACCAAATAGGCCAGTATCATGGCTATCTCAGAGGCGTTTATGGGGGTTTGATTTTTGGATTATTTGCCACCTGGTTAAGGAATGTAAGAAGAGTATAGCAGACACAACTGGAGATGGGAAATGTATACAACAGGCTAGAAAGGGTGAAAGCCGGTATTATAATACGCTAATCAAAGCAATTGAAGCCTGCCATCATAAAGGCATTTGTTACCTTGAGGTCTATCGAACACATAAACATTGATCCGGAACCAGGTCTCTCATTTGTATACCCATCACTCTAATTGCTGTCGTACAGCTTACCGGCAAAATCACATACCAAGTCTAGCATGGAGTGCAGCACTCCCTCTTCGGCCCAAAAATGACCGGCCGACGCAATTTCGTGTCCGCGGAACTGCGATGCGTGCTGTGAACTCAGCCGAGCCACCCAAGAACGCAGCTTGCCCACAGGGACAAACATGTCACCGTCTCCGAAGACGGCCAATGTAGGATTTTGTATCAGCTTAGTCTCCGCTTCATCTTCCGGAGGAGGACTTCGCCTTGTGAATACCGACGGCACCAAGGACATGGTAGCAAGGTGCGTAACCAGACCCTGCAGTGGAGACACGAGCAGATAGGCCGGCTGGGGTATGGCGAATCCGTTTACCGGTGAGAGTTTGCCGTTTGCCGGTACCTGTGGACTAGCTGAATTGCTCGTGGTTCCGTGGGCTTTTTGTTGTCCGCGTGTCGTGGCGCCGCGAGCTTCCTGTAGAGCTTGGCTCTGCTTCTCAGCCCAGCTTTCAGCCCGCAGTCGAATGTGAGCAGCATTGGATCCACTGTCCGGCGAGGCAAAGCGTTCCAGAAGCTCATTGAGAGGCGGCAACTGCGTCGTTATCATGGCTCCATACGAGTAGCCTGCCATCAGCAACACGGGATGGTGGTTGACCGGCGCTGGATGTTGCTCGGTTACGCCCGACGACACGAGGCGATGAACGTAGTGCGCCATGAAGCCGACGAAGCTGATGTAGTCGTCGCGCTCCGGCTTTGCCGTCCACGATGTCCGTCCAGCAGATTGCCCAGCACCTCTACACCTCGGTTTCCCTCTCATTAGCCAAACGCGAGCGCCTCATCCAGCCCAGCTCCACGACACGCACCTGAAATTGAACGTCCCCAGAAGATACCCCTTGCGAAGCAGCTGCGATGCCACAATGTCCACCAGTCCATCGTCGAAACTCCCGCCCAGCGGAGCATACGGATGCGCAAAAACAGCCGCATGTCGTTTCCAAGGCGCCGCTCCGTGCTGTGAGCCGCGCGCGCCTGCAAAAAACGAGGCTGGGTGATAGACTCGACAATCCAGCGCCGTGCCGTCGTGGATGCTGGGGATTGTTAGCGTAAAGGAAGGCTCGGGCAGCATCTTCCTCTTCTTCGCATTTTGAGCAAAGGCGGCAAAGGGCGGCGGTTGGCCAGGGATTTGGATGACAATTCAGGTCTCCAGCTGCCTTTGTCTTGGTGGTGGAGATGAAGTTTCGGGTTGCTAAAGGGACTGCGGGAGCTCCAATTATTCGCCGGGAAGCTTCGCTCTACTAAGCTTGGCTGCAACGTCATTTTGATTTGTTGCTAAGAGCCATTCAGACAACACAGAAAATCATACCATCACAAAGAGAGGACTTCAAAAGACAGTGAGAAAGGGACCAGATTCGTGGGTATCTTCTATTTTCATATAACCAAAAAAAGATCTAAAAATGTATTACTGCTGTTTCTTCGTTCTAGCATCCAGTGCTTTCTGCTTGGCCTCCTTTATAAGCTTCTTCACCTCGTTAATTAGCCCCATGATGAGCGGCACAAACACCGGCCCAAGCAACGGGAGATAGACGGCAATCTTGTGCTCGTCTGGGAAATACAACTGTCCCACCATACTCTTCTCAAAGAAAGCCCTCTCTGCCTCTTCCTCGGCAATTCTCGCATGCATCAGTCCCTCGGGCCCTCCAAGATCGGCGCAAGCCAGCTCCAAGTGATGCATCGTCTTTGAAACACCATCCGCAACGCTGCGAGGAATCGAGATGGAAGGCAGCGCGAGTGACAATCTCGCAAGGGACCCAAGGGTAGACGATGCACGGAGCAAAAGATCGGTAGATCGGATACGGCCCAGAGTGGAAAGTCTCAAGGGTAGAGACCCAGACTGAGGAGTGCCCATCAGCGTCAGTAGATGACCACCAAATGTAAGCATGGGCTGTTTCAGCGCTGCGGTCGATACATGGCTCTCCGCATCGGGTAGAGAGAGCAAGTATACGGTGCCCCATTGGGGAATCATCCATGACCGAGATGTTTCCGCCTCAGCATCTAGGCCAACTGTCTGGTTTCCAATGTATATGACAAAGTTGACCGTCGGCGCCTTGCCAATAGATGGGGACAGTGGCCACTCGGCAGCATTGATAAACGAGGATAGGTGGTCTTTGCTGAGCACTTGAGATTGTACACCGGGTATGGCGTACAGCTGGACTTGTGTGTCGATGGTAAAATTGTGAATAGGGCGCAGAACCTCAAGCATTGGCCTGATGTATTCGTCCAATGCAGCCTCGATGTCCCAGGTGTTGGGCAGCGCATTATCTGTGAACAGAGAAAAGGTGAGATGGTACGTCGGAGCGTATCGCAGAGATCGAGTCGTCCGCTTAGAAAGAGCCTCGGCAGCCTCAGCGCTCAGGCCTTGGGGACGCACGCCGGTGGACATGGATGATGTAGAAAGGAGGTATGATATAATAGACTGTTCCTCCGCAAAAGTGGCTCGGAGCTCGTTCGTAATATAAGATGCAAGCGGGGAGGATGGCGAAGTGAGAGATGGAACATGGTTGGGTGGGTAAGTTATGTCGAGAACAGCAGATTCCTGGTTGAGTGAGGCCGAGCTGCTGGTGCCTGGGTTGAGGCGAATCGTCAAAGCGGTTTGGAAGTCGTCTCTGGGACGGGGCGCATTCCGTGGCGCAAGCTGCAGGCGCAGGTGGTGGCCGGAGAAGTCATTGAGATCGTCCAATGCATGCTGGGTCAGTCGGATAAGATTCTGGGCCTCTTGCTCCTGCAGAGAATCTGCTTGTATCGAGATCTGGAGGGGGAAGACGGGTCGACAAGCCTGGGCAGCACACAACGTCAGCTGGAGGGGACAAGGCGCCGCTCTGAGGGCTTGGGATTTGATATCTCACCTTGCCGTCAGCCCATTTCAGCATCCTATCCAGAGGTAAATCGGCTCGGTAAATCGCCGTTGTCTTCCACCAGATGGGCAGTCCAAGCAGGAGGACAACCAGCCAGAAGGACAGCACGACATATGACCGTTGTCTGACTGCCGACAGCTTCTCTGGAGGGGGCAGCGTAGGCGATGGAGCAGCAGGCGCAGAATCGCCGGATGCCTGCGGCTGCCCTGATTCCCCAGGCGCCATGATTGCCGTCCTGGAAGATGTGCAAGCAGCTGGATCTCGAATTGGCTTGTGAGCTGAATGGCAGCTGGACGCGATGGACGTCGGAGGCTAAGTGGCAGGTACAAGCGCAGTCACGTGAATGCCACTGCCTGCCGCAGGATTCCACGCATCTGATCTGATGTGACGATGACGGCTTCACTTCACATTAACTCTTCTCTTCTTTACACCACATGGCCTGATGTTCGTTTTCATCATCAGCATCACTCAAACGGATGATGAATTTCTTCAATTAATCGGCATGGGTTCATCAGGTCACACAATAACTACGACTCTCCAATCAGGCGCTATCTGTACTAACGGCACTTTAACGATCAAAGCCACAATTCAGCCTTCATTATGCTCTGATCAATGAATCCAACCTCGAAATCAAATAAACCAACATAAAGGTATCCAAAACGCCGCATTTCATCATTCATCGGCAGACCCCATCTGTCTGGCTAGTTGCATCATCAAGGATTTGCCTCTCACAGCGTCACCATAAATGCGGGCAACATCAGCCCAAGGCCAACGGCTGCCAACTTGATTTGAGAATAGCTCATCTTGACGCATCCCAAAGAAGTCAGCATGCATTCAACCAAGCAAAAAAAAGGATTAATGTCTTTAACTCACCTCTCCAACTCTGACCGCCGCCGATCTGCTCGTTGTGGTTGTCGCAGCCGCGCTGCTACTAGTTGCACTGGATGGTGCTGGAGTCTGATCACTCGAACCTGTGGTTCCCGCAGGGGTTGAACCTGTCTCAGTTGGGCTCCCCGTGTCGGTCGCTGTCGTTCCTGGCGACGCATCACCGGTGGAAGTGAAACTCGCCGTGTCTGTCGGGATGGGACCGGTTGTCGCGGAGCCAGTTGGAGCAGCAGCACCAGCAAACTTGGTACACAGACCAATCACTTGGGAATTCTTTTGCAAAGCGCTCCAGATGGTCGGGTGAGCCCTCTCTCCCGTGCTTACGCAAGTGGCCACCGCGTTATCCCATGTGTCTGGAGCATAGTTGCCGTTGCTGTCGTAGCAAAGACAGCCAGCCTGCTGCTTGAAGGAAGCGTTATCAAACCCAGAGTTGGCATTCTCGCATTCGGTAACATAACGCTCAACGGAGAGACAAGCATCGCCAAAGATGCCGTATCCCTGCCGCTGCTGAAAGTCGGCCATGCATTGTGCTACATCGCCAACCGTGCTTTGCGAGCAGCACTCTGCTGGCACGCCAGTGAAGTCCGCTGTGCAAGAGCCAAAGCCGTATGGCTCTCCTTGACAAAAGTTCTTAACACATGCTGATGAATAGGTTAGCAATGTGGCTTGGATATCAGTCACATCCAAGGACCGGGGAACGACTCACTTGGTGCAAGCGAAGCGCTAGAAAAGTCACACTTCTTGAGGATAAAGGTGCAGGTTGTGAACTTGTTCTGAGCCGCCATGGTGGTTTAACCAATGGTTTTTTTTTTTGCTTCGACGCCTTGGGTTTCACCCTCCCATCAAACATTTTCAGCGCCAAGACTGTGGCTTTTAAATATGTGTTACTCTCATAACAATGCTTGCTGGTGCTGGATGCCTCACGCTTTCCTGTCTAGTTTTCAGCTGGCACAATAGCGCGCAAATATTGTGGCGAGAATAGCTGGCGCAGGCGGAACTATTGAGACAGCTAGCCTGATATTGGCGACGATCGTCCAGGCATGGTAATTCGCTGCCGCCCAATTCGTATCTGGTTTATCAAGACATCGAACGCTTAATGCGATTCTGGAAAAGCTCTCGTGCGCGGGAGGTCGGGTGTGGCGGAGCTGAAATGAGACTGCATGGGGCTATCAGCTGGACGGCTTGAATTCCGCAGAAACGGTATAGATGCTCCTAATTTCCCGCCTAGTAGCATGGCGATGAGAGAAGCTATACTTTGGGTCTCGGTCTAACAATGTTCTAGCCTTCCGGGGAGCGCGTTCATTGACGGATTCGATTTCATATAAAGTGTATCTGGAACCATGTCGACTCCGGACTGTGGCGATGATCTCGAGATGGCCCCCTTTACCGGCTTTATCGGCATCCAACTATAAAGTCATAACCATGGATGAGGCTGTGATCTAAAGAATAGGTGAGGGTTTGTGAAACACCGTCGCATAGAGACGAGAGAGACTTTTTTTTACGCCAGAAATCAAAACTGCGTGGATGTGATACCACCCTATACACTCGATCAAGAGCTGTCTGGATTCATTAGTACCTGCTTCTGCATGACCAATGCCCGCACAAGATGCAGTGATGTCGGCCAAGAGAATCAAGAAGACTGTCTCTCGAATCGGTTCTCTCCGTTGGAATATACATGTCAATAAATTGTTGATTCTCCAAACCGCTGGAAAGAGACCAGCTAATATCGTAGTCATCTTATGTTGAGTACACACCAAGGCATGGGATAGCACATCGGTTCTCTCATCACGTGTGTGAACTCCAATACGTGAAACAAGTCACATGAGCTGTCATCGAAGACATCGTCATCGTCGGCCAATGTCAGATTATGTTGACTCTTTCATAACCATGGTCTTGCTTAGCTACGCACAAGGCGAATCCACAAACGATGGCCTCGTACTCGCATATTCCCCTCACGCTATCGAGATCAATAAGGTTGATCCATCTCGAAGCTGCGGCTCATCTAACAGATGTTTTGAGATGCACTTTGACAGAAGTTGCCCTGTACTCGAATCCAGTTTACAAGGCACTCTCCTACTCCTGGGACGCACAAACTCCGTCACATCCCATTGAATGCGACGGTGCCACACTGCTCATCACGCAAAATTGCACGGCTGCCCTCCGGCGACTGAGGAGCGTGGGCGACCTGACTTTATGGATGGATGGGATCTGCATCGATCAGACATCCACAGCCGAACGCAGCGCTCAAGTCGCACTCATGCGAGACATTTATAAACAGGCTGCGGAGGTGGTCGTGTGGCTTGGAGAAGAGGATGAGCCGAGCAAAAGGGCCATTGGCTGTTTAGAAGACATTGCGCTTATGAGCGTGGACAAGGAACGCATGGAGAGATGTCTTCCGATCTTGCTCGGCTTACAGGTGAAGAGGGATTCAGACGACCCAATTGGCCCTTTATTCAAGTGATCCTGGTTTTCTCGCATGTGGACAATCCAAGAAGTGGCTTTGCCATCACAACAGCTAGTCCGAGTCCTCTGTGGAAGTGTTTCTCTCCCGTGGCTGTATCTGGCTATTGCCCTGGATATGATGAGAGCATCAGACTACAAATGGGGAAATTGGCACTCTGCTATGCGATTGCAGGCTCATTTGAGTGGGCTCTTGACGGGAAAGAGAGAGGGTAACGGAGCTGTGAGCCGGAGTAGCAACAAACCAAGTCTGTTGGAGATTCTACTATACGGTACGGAGAAGAAATGCACAGATCCAAAAGATCGAATCTTTGCCCTTTTTGGAATATTCCAAGAGCTGGATATTGTTGTTCCGGCTCCAAATTATTCGGAAACGCTGGGCCGAATCTACAGCCGCCACTGTGGCATGTTTCACAAACGACTCTTGCATGGAATTCCTCTATCATGTCCCCTCAGAGAATCGAAGAGCAGGGTTACCCTCGTGGACGGTGGACTGGGGAGATGCTGCTTGGACTGCAGCCGATCAACGTGTTACCGTTACGAGGAAACCGTTTACTGCTAGTGGAATGTCGAGTCCGAGCTTGCAATTCTCAGAGAACACGCTTCGTATCCAAATACAGGGATCCATTGTCGACCGCGTACGGCAGGTCGGACAACTGCTGTCTGTGAAAAGCCGCCAACGCTCAGCGATAAACGAGAGGCTTGTTTGGGATGGCCTTGGAATGGAAGCGAACAATGGGTGGAACCTAGATGACACTGCCGAGGATATTCACGCAGCTTTTGAAGTCTTTGCCAGTTGGGTTGATCTCGCGTCTTCTGCTAGATCGCAGTTGAGTGGAGAAGATGCTGAAAATAGCTGGTACGCCTTGTGTGAGACGCTGATGGAGTATCACAACTCCGAAGAGACTGAACAAGAGATTGTGAATCTCAAGTCGTCATTCTGGCCTTGGTTGGAAGCTATCCATGCCTATTCATCTGCGATAACACAGCAAAAGCCCACACCTCCACGATTGTCTACTGCACTGCAATCATTCCTAACGCTTACCAGCGGCGAAGGATCGAGGTTTCAACTAAAGATCATGTCCACCTGCCAAAGGAAGCGTTTCATCACAACAGAGGCTAAAGAGATTGGGCTTGTTCCAGATATAGTGCAGGTGGGAGACTTTGTTGCGCTCATCTCTGGTTTACATATGCCAGTCATTCTCAGACCGGTCAACCAGGGACAATTTCTGTACGTGTGCCACGCATACATCCATGGCCTAATGGTCGGCGAAAAATGGGACAAGGGTGCGAAAGTTGGAATATGGTTAACATGAGCTATGAGCACGCTCCTCTAGACATCGGCGGCCCGAAGCACGATATCCGGACATCTGATTCCATTCATTACTCGTAATCATTCTTACCTAGCATCTCGTCATGACTGCTTGATTACACTTATATCACACAGACAGAGACTCCAAAGAGTTGACAGATCACATTGCACAGAGCAACCAGAATATGCGACGTCGGAATTCAATTACCCTTGCCGAAGCGTGTCTCAATACACTCGTCTCAGCTCCGAGCACTGTGCGGCCGGCAGCCGAGGTTCATCACTACTACGGTGCTACCAAGAGGTCATAATCACCAAATTATGAAAAACTGCTTTCATTAGTCTTTCGGTTGCGCAACAGTTATTCAGTGTCAGAAGCCTTTTTGATCAAGCCTCACGTATGTTTGTGTATAGTTGGATGTTATAATGGACCTTCTCACTCGATCGTCTTACTATTGATGACCGTTGGATCACCAGCTCAACAGCACGGATGGATCCTTTAAGAGGCCGAAGACACACATCAGTGACCGTGTTTCGAGCTGGCGTGCAGAATTCTACCGAAAATGATGAACAGAGCTTGAGCGGGATACCAAGCTTTTAAGAGTATGAATGCAGATATACCATCTACGCAACGGACCCTTGGACCAAAAAGATAGAGAAGAGGAGGAGGGAAACGGCATTGGAAGCACAAAGCAAGCTAAGCTTCTGAACACAAAGCAACCGACCACGCGACAATCCCATTCCACAGCATGCGAAGCTGTCCATTTCCATCTGGTAAAGAGCAGCAAGCAGCAAAATGGCCCAAAGATGCACTGTTTCCGAGGAACCCATAGCGCCGAATTGCTATACTATTTAGACCTAGTCTGCACAGCTCTGAACAGCCACGCAGACACGGGATCGGGATTGCCAACCATCGCCTTCGCTTTCTGGATCTGGATTGGCGCATCACAACGTCCTCAAGAACCCCCCCAGATTCCGGCAACGTCCAGAACCCTCGTCTGGATTTAGGCTCTCTCTCTGAAGCCAATTTGCTTCGCAGCTGAACCCTTGCTCGATCCACTGCGGACGAACCCCGCACGGCAGGGGAATAGGAAGCCAGCTAGCAGCTCGTGGAGCCGAGGCATCGCTTCCAACGAAGCCGCCAAAGGGCAGACCAGGCGCGGCGCGGATCTGGTTCCGTGGAGAGTGATGAGATGATGATGTGTTTCCCCGCGCATCAATCGCTCTAAGGAACAAATGGATTTTGGGGTTTGTTGGTGAGCGGAGGGCCGGGGTGATGTACGAATCTCTGGTCCGGCCGGCCGCGTCTTCATCGAGGCAAGGGGGGAGGCATCCCGTGGAAGATAGTGTGGAGATTCCAAAGGTCCTCCTGAAGCTTGATAGATACATGTACTCTGAGGTACTCCCATTGCTGAGTCTGTATAGATAGTTTGTCTATCTGAACTGCAGTCAAGGCAAAGCATGGGATGGTGTCTGGTCGAGTTGAACGGTACTTCATCACTGTCGGATAGACTGGATGCCTTTGCTGTCCTCCAACACCGGCACTTACACCATCACCACGACTCTGAATCAATCACGCCTCGACTTCTCGCAAGCCTAACCACGCCTTCGCCCCCCTACCGTCCCATAGCCCCCGGCCGCGGCGGACCTAGCCAACACCGATCCCTCCCTCGTGCACACATGCTACCAGTACACATGCAGTATGCATAACGCCGCGTTTCGACCGCCGCAAGTCCGCCTCCCGCCCTCCCTGGCCAAAAATCACCATCCCGCAGGGGTTTTTTGAAGAACGAACTCAACCAACAGTTCTTTTATTGTTGGCCCGGAGATTTTTCTTCTTCTTCTTCCTTTTTTATCCATTGTGTGTTTGTCTTTACTTGTCCTGTTCTCCTTTGCGGTGTGGCATTTTGCGTGCTTTGTCTTTTCTCCTCGGGTCTTGGTGTCTGCGTCGTGTTTGTTTTGTACGTGTGTCGCCAAATCCGGGGTACATTGATATACATGCGCCTCGATACTCCAGCCTACTCATCTAGGAAACAATTTACCCTAAATGCCGAGGCTCATCAACCCCGAATCGGCGGTAATCCCTATCCGGATGGGCATTATAACATTTAATTCGCCCAGTAAATAAAGCACAGAGGAACAATAGGCCCTTTAAGAGACAGAATACGAAACTGAGGGGAAGTTGACTTCGTCTTCAGCCAGAGAGGTCCAACACCGGCTTGACCCCGGACTTGCTTCACATTATTCTCACCAGCAGAGCTCACTTTATACAGACCCCCCTCACTATAATAAAATGCCAGGTAAGTTATTCCATTACATCTCAACGTATCAAGGCAAAAAACGTTAAATGTCATGCCAGTCCCTCTTCCCATCCTCCTCCCCGCGGCGGCCGCCTCGCTGGCCTACCTCAACGCCAAAAGCAGCGTCTGGTACGACGCAAGGCTCATCAAAAGCATCGCCAAGGCCGCTCTCCGTGTCCGTCACGGCCTCAAGCACGACACAATCAGCCTCTTCTACACCCTGGAAACATCCGCCCAAGATCCTCGCCTCGCCAACCAGCTGCTTCTCATCTTCGACGGCAGGACGTACACATACGCCCAGGCCTACGACAAGATCCTGCGGTATGGCCACTGGATCAGGAGCCGCTTCGACGTCAAGCCCAAGGATGTCGTGGCCATGGACTTTGAAAACTCAGACACCTTCATCTTCATCTGGTTCGCTCTGTGGTCGATAGGTGCCAAGCCGGCGTTTATCAACTACAACCTGACCGGCAAACCCTTATCACACTGCATCGAGGCGGCGAAGACCAAGCTCTGTCTCATAGATCCTGCTGTTGCTTCCAAATTCGATGATGAGAGCGTGAAGCAGGCTCTACCCCACGTCAACTTTGTCGTCTTCACGCCAGAGGCACAGGCCGAGGCCTCATCAACAGCTCCGGAGAGGGCACCCAACTCAGCCAGATCAGATGATAGTGTGGCCAACATGGCGATGCTCATCTACACCTCAGGCACCACAGGCTTGCCCAAGCCAGCCGTAGTATCATGGGGGAAATGTATCTATGGCGGAAGCATGGCATCAACACTGCTAGCTCGTGGTAATGGCGACATCATGTATACGGTAAGCGCCCCTTCATTCTCCTCAACCATCAACATCAACCTAACTTAACCTTTTAGTGCATGCCCCTATATCACTCATCCGCCGCCCTCCTTTCCTTCTGCGCAACTCTCGCGTCCGGCTCAACTCAAGCCCTCGGCCGCAAGTTTTCCACCAAGACCTTCTGGGACGACTGCCGCGCTTCCAAGGCCACGTCGATCCAGTACGTCGGTGAGACGATGCGCTACCTGCTGGCCGCTCCTCCGCAGCTGGACCCCGTCACCGGCGAGAACCTGGACAAGAAGCATCTCGTCCGCGCCGCCTTCGGCAACGGCCTCCGTCCGGATATCTGGGACCGCGTCAAGGACCGCTTCGGCATCGAAACCATTGCCGAGTTCTACGCCGCCACCGAGTCGCCCGGCTCCACGTGGAACCTCAGCAGCAACGACTTTGGCCGCGGCGCCATCGGCCGCTCCGGCTGGCTCTATTCGCTTCTGCTGGGCAGCGGCGCGGCCATCGTCGAGGTCGACTGGACCACCGACGCGCCGGCACGCGACCCCGCGACCGGCCGGTGCCGCCGCGTCAAGCCCGGCGAGCCCGGCGAGATGCTCTACCGGCTGCCGCCCGAGGACATCCAGCTGCGCTTCCAGGGCTACTTCAACAACAAGGGCGCCTCCGACTCCAAGATCCTGCGCGACGTCTTCGCCCCCGGCGACGCCTGGTTCCGCTCCGGCGACGTCCTGCGCCGCGACGCCAGCGGCCTGACCTTCTTCAGCGACCGCATCGGCGACACCTTCCGGTGGAAGTCGGAGAACGTGTCCACCACCGAGGTCAGCGAGGTCGTCGGCGTCCACCCGGCCGTCCGCGAGGCAAACGTCTACGGCGTCCAGCTGCCCCATCACGACGGCCGCGCCGGCTGCGCCGCCATCGCCTTCAACGTCCCCGTGCCCGACGACGCCACGCTGCAGAGCCTGGCCGCCCACGTCAAGGCCGAGCTGCCGCGTTATGCTCGGCCCTTGTTCCTGCGCCTCGTCCGAGACGTGGGCGTGGGAAGCCAGACCACGGGAACTAATAAGCAGCAGAAGCAGACCTTGCGAGCCGCAGGCGTGAAGCCAACACCGACGGCGGGCGAAGACGGAACAGAGCTGTACTGGCTCAGGGGTAATTCGTACGTGCCGTTCAGGGAGAAGGAATGGAAAGAGCTCGAAGGGGGTAGAGTCAAGCTATAACTGACTTGATATCCCGACGGTGAGCGGCGATGATAGCCTCGAGTAGACGATTTCATACATGTATCTATTACATAGTCAGTAATACATATACTAACAAGCTCCCCAAGTCTCACAAATCATGTATCCCGCCGAATGCTTCGTAACCTCATTTATATATACCTGGAAGGATCCTCCAATCTGGACAAAAAAAGAAAAAGAAACAAAGCGCATTTCCTCCATCACAAAAAAAAAAGATATCTACATAAATGATCAAAATCGCTCATGATATAAACATCAGAGTTTCCCAAGCTGCCTTCATCTTCCTTCCCTCTCTTCCTCCCCTGTCGCCTCCCAACGGTTTGTCTTCTTCCCGCCCGGGCTCGTCCGATCACGATCCGGCAATGCCCAATCCTACACGCTGGCCGCCAGCTTGGCCGCCATAGCCCGCAATGCCAGCGGCCCCCATGCCTGCCGCGCCTCCGGTTCCGGTTCCTGTTCTCTCCCTCATTCTTCGGCCCTCCATCAGTCCTCGGAGACCTCTCTTTTGCAGGCCAATTACACTACTGAGCTCTCCGTTCCAGACAACGCCGTCGCGCTCATTGTCTCCCATCTCCGACCCCCATTCAGATCCGCTCGCGCTCGTTGACGCCGAAATGTCGCCGCTGGACGAACGTGCCGGGTGCTGGAGGCCAGGAGCGAGACTCAGGCTTGCCGTACGCGAAGACAGGTCCGACGAGAAGGAGTCGTTGGCGGTAGTGCCGCTGAGGGAAAAGTCCGATGTCGACACCGGAGACCCGACGGGATCCAGGCTGCCGACGAAGAAGTTGGGATTCAGAGATCCGTCGATGCCGCGGCCGCCACCAGCGGCCATGGCCGTCGCATTAAACACTGCCGCTGCGTTCCTGCTGTCGAGGAGAGCGTGTAGGCGCTCAACGACGGCTTCGAGAAGGCCATCAATTCTGTATGGCCGCGCGATTTGTAAGAGAGAGCAGAGGATCTGCGGTGTGCACAGTGAAGAGGTCGGTGAGGGTAAAGAGCTAGTATACAAAAAGTGCAGGAGGGCCTGAATGGTCAGGTATGTGTGTGGAAGATAGAGGCACCGCGGCCTCGAGTTAGGCATCAAGCTGCGAGGGGTTGGGGCGTTGTTAACGGCTGCAACCGCTTCATCATTTTGTGTGGTCGAATTTCCTATGCCGTGATGGATTGTCGGTCCAGAGCCGCCAGACGGTCCTGAGATGGAACCCCCCACGGAGCCTACCGTGCTGCCAACCAGCGTTGCCGTATCGTCGAAATTCCGGTTGGGCGTGATGGTCAATGCTGACGCGCGCAGAGGATTGCTCGACAGGCCAGATCGCAAGGTAACAGCGTCACTGCCATCCTGTGTTGCGGTGCCTTCTCGCAGAAGCTGGACAAAGTATGGACCCCATCTCCGCGCAACAATCCGAGAGTTGACAGGTATCCGCTCACCACCGATACACAGGATGTCCATGTCCGCAAGTTCCCGGAATGAGAGTACCTTCTCCCCCAAGTCCTCGCTCGCCCGAGAGTGGAAGCGGCCGCCGGCGGTAGAACCAGCTTTGCGCGCAAGGCTCAGGGCCAACCCGGAATAGGGACTGCTGGCTGAGATGAAGCCAGACATGGGGTCCGTCTTGCGCGGGTTGTCGTAGAAGCCAAAGGCTTCCAGCTCCACCATGCAAACGTTGGAGAAATTGATGCGTCGGTGATTATAGTCGTCGACCAAACTCCTCTTCCTGTTGCCCAGTATGACAAATGTATTCCGACGGTTCCACAAGACGCCCCTGTTCCAGCTGCCTTGGCTGAATACGCTGCCCCCCGCATCAATCCGGTTCCAGGTGAGAGATCGGAGGTCCAGAGCCCAGAGCGCATACTCTTGCTTCGATGACGTGAGGTACGTCCCGCTGACCACGAAGTGAGTATCAATGATGCCGCCATTCGGGAAGCGAAGACCGGGTGGTGAGTAGCTGCCGGTCATGGGCCGTTCCGTCAAGGTCCCGTCAGGAGACCTAATCTGGAGCTCGAGTTTCACATCCAAGAAGTTGTAGTTGGAGTAGATGAGCATCGAGGATCCGGGCTCCTGGCCAGCGGTGCTATCGGTGCGTTGCTGGCCGTTCTGGGCGTTCATTCCGATTCTCGCACTTACAGCGGGAGGTACCGATGCGGCGACGCTCCTGTAGGCACCGCAACTCTTTCCCAGAGGTTGGTTTGTCGTCCACTTGAGACTTCTCAGATTGAAGACACTGATCTGTTCGATGTAGTGATTTGCACCATCCTGTCCTCCGACAATAACCAACTGGGCGCCTCCTGAGCCGTCAATGTTGATACCAATTCGGCCTTCGTTGGGGTTGCCGTTGGATGGGTTGTGCTGGAGAGCAGAGAGAGGGGCAGCTTTGGACGAAAACGTGGCAGAGGACGAGAGGATGGTTGCACAGTGGGCATAACGGCCCTGGGGGGCGTCTTGTGCCGGGACGTAGGACCATTTCTTTGTCGGGACGTCGTAAATGTGAATGTCGGACATGACGGTAACTTCGGGCTGCTGCTGATCTGCGCCCACGGACTGATTAGGCGCCGGGGACATGCCACCATAGCAAACCATCTTGGTGCCCCCGAGAGCACACATGGAATGGAAGTATCGCGGCGGTGGAATATCGCCAGTCACCTCGAGTCGCGTCCAGTGGCGGCGTATGAGATCCAACTCGTACAGGTCAGAGGTCAAGGGCGCGGGACGGCTCCGCGAGAGAATGCGGCCGCCAAACACGTACAAATTGTCACCAAGAATCGTCGTGGTAGCTCCAACCAGCGGTGGAGGCTCCTGGCCCGTCGTCCGGTGTACGTTGCACATCAAGCCCGACAGGTGTGCCGACGACCCAGCTCCCTGAGAGGGACCGCCGACTGGGGTAGCAGAGGGAGTCTGCATCTGGGGCTGCTGCACAATCGCGGGCGACATGCCCGCTGATACAGAGCCGTTGCTCCTCGGAGTCAATCCCTCCCTATGCGGCTCCCTATGCGCATCTCTATGAGCTTCTCTATATTCATCAGCACTGGCATATCTGGCGGCGGTCAGGCCGCCGCCCATGTTGCTCGTCATCTCTTGGGTGTAGAAATTGTCCTGGCCAGATGCACCGTACATCTGGCTGGCGCCAGCCGAGCCCGCCGAGTCCATGGGGCTTGTTCTGCTGTCCAACCGGGACTCGACGAAGCGCGGGTCTACGGCACCGATGCTCTGCGAAATGCTGTCGAAGGAAGTGTGGGCCGCCGTCGGAGGCGTAGTGGGACTTGTCGAGGCCGGCGGCTCTGGCAATGGTTTCTCAAGGCTGTGTTGAAGGCTCAGCTGTCGCCCATGCTGCTGCTGAAGCCTGGACACGGACGCCGCTCTTGATTTGGAATTGTGAGACGAGGATCCGCCGCCGGAAGCTGAGGTCGCGTGGCCCTGGACCGTTTGGAGAGACGGCTTTCGAGGAAGTCTGGTGGAGGCTGTTCGATAGGTACTGTCGGTGTTGCTGCTATGCGCACGGGGGTCATTGGCCCCGGAGTCGGAGTAAGTGTAGAAGCTATTCGGTGATGGGCTCTGAAAACCGGTCAGTGGTGCAAATTCGGCCATGACACCGGCCAATGCTTCGGGAGGCGCAGAGAGGAGAGACGACGCCGCTGGACAAGGCAGGTGAGGGAGGAAGACGGCGAAAGGGGGTTTGTGGTGAGGACAAGCAGGATCAAGAGAGCAAGAGAGAGAGATGAGAGAGAGATGACAGTGGCAGTGGCAGTGACAATCCCTTTCCAGGACACTTGTCAGATGGGATCAGCCCTTTCCTGGCCAAAGCGACTATGGGGATTAGGACCACCCGCTTGGGTCCTAGAAGAAGAGGCCGGGAGCAGGCAGGGGGGTGAGATGATTTTCCCTGACCGCACCGTGGCCCAGTCGAGATGGAAAAGCAATGATGGTCGCCACAGCCTCCGTCTCTTGCAAGGCCCGGCAGAGGCAGCGATTTTCAGGAGCCCGGACAGGCGATCCGGGAAGCGAGAATCTGGAGCGGGAGGCGGAGGAGCGACGTGGGACCGGCGAGGAGTTGAAATGTGTCCAAAGTTGCGCGCGGTGATGTTCGCAAAGCAAGCAGAGAGGACACGGGGGACGGGAGCAGAGCGACACAAGGGACAAGGAGAGATTCAGATCCAAGGCGGCCATGACGTACCATTCAAAGACGGCAGCCGAAACTGTCTGAGAGCCAACGTCGCACTCGTTGCTTGTGATGTGCGCAGCCCGTTCGTTTGGCGCGATGGAGCTGACGATGTGGGCTCAGAGGGAGGTCGAGCAACAAAAAAAAAATACAGTCTCCAGCAAACAGACGCACAGACGCGAAGAAGGGGGGGGTTGTGGGCTTTGCCGAAGAACTACAGTGGACAAGTACAGGCTACTGGCAGAGGGTGACAGGCGGGTTTCTGATAGGCTGGACAGCGGGGGGGCGGGCTTTTAGCAGTTAGCAGTGGCTGGAGAGTTGGAGCAGACAGGAGTTTAGTAGGGCAGTTGGTAGGTTAGTAGTGGTAATAGCAATAGATTGTGAGAGCGTGAGAGAGAAAGAGAGGAGGAAATTGAAGACGAGGATTTACACAAGGTATTGGATGCAAGATGGGTAAGATGGGGGACTGTTTACAGGGGGGTTACGGAAAGAAAAAGAAAAAAGAGGTGGAAGAAGAAGAAGGGGAAGAAGGGGAAGAGAAAAGAGGTGCCAGCCAGCATCGACAAAAATACATTACAGGCCAGAGACTGCCAAAGGCCTCTCGATAAGGCCGTCTGTAGTACGAGTAGGTACACCTACTCGTACAATCACCGGCCAGTTAGCGCCAGACCAGGTACTGCTACTACCTCCGCGTGTATCCGTACCGCTCCCATCCCATCCCATCCTGTTCCATCCCATCCCATCCCATCCCACCCCATGCCACTCCATGGACAGCGCCAAGGCAGGGCCGCCGCCTGCAACTCCGTATTCGCCCGCCTGCGTGTGGTCAAATGCAATATGATGGCAGCGGATGATGTAAAGGCAACAAGAAATGCGTTCGACCACTGCTAGTGTGCATGCATGCGCGGCGGCCAGGGGCTCTGCGGCAAGGGGAAGAAGCGCTCAATGGTCAAGAACTGCAGGACAAGGGCCGTCCGTCCGGTACGTGTATCCTCTGATTGTCGTCATCTTGCTTCAAACAAGGCGGCAAAAAGGTGACAGCCTGCCTGTTGAAACTTGACAGACAAGCCCGTGGATCGAATGAACGACTCTCTGCAGTTTGACATCGGCCCAGAATGACTCTCCATCGTGGGGGCAAGCACATCCACCCTGTCCACGTCCACTCTCCGAAATGCCCAACATTCAGCATCATTAGAATGGAATTGGATTGACTGATCAGTTCCTCCAGCCTTTGTCCTGTCCGCTAAGCTTCTCACCCAGCCCAGAGCTAGCACCCGGTCCGCATTTCCCCTCACCGGAGGCCACTCAAGCTGCAGTCCGCGGACATGTTGATACGGAGCAATGGGGTGTTTAGGTGCTGCTATACTGCTCCAAATATCTCTCCCCCTTTGCTCAATAGGGGTGTTCGCGCCGCCGACCATCCATCGCAGCGACTACCGGCACCCACCGCAGCAACGGAGCTCCTTGCTGCATCGGAGACGCAAAGTGGGAACTCGATAACGCAGCGACGCAGCGAAGGGGGGGGGGCTGAATCGAATTTGATCCCCCTCGGTGTCCCAATGTTTGCTGGGGCTGAGATGGATGGCCCCGTCCAGCGTGGATTCTCCATCGTCCCAAGACCTCGTGGACGGCCAGGGGCCCGCGTGCTCGTCTGCAGCATTTTGACAACGGCGAGTGAGTGCGTCAATTACCTATTCACTGTTCCTTGCGCAAGCTCCCTCCTGTGCTCGTACATACTCGTAGCATATGCAGTGAGCACGAGGCGAGTCCAATCCCTTGCATGCTCCGTCTCCACACGCTTCCTCTCCCGCCCTTCTGGACGCCTCGGGAATTGCCCGTACCTGTAGTGGCACTAGACAATAAACAATTCCATAGTGCCATCATGTTGGCATTGCATACTAGCAGTATTCGATATAGATGCCACTGCTAGCTATACAACCTTGAAGCCATACTACTCCAGCGAGCGCCTAAAGCTGGGTGGCTGGGCTTCTCGAATCCCCCAGGCTCATTTGTCGCCGCACCGCTGCCAAGCAAAAGAGTTCAGGGCTCGCCCATTGTCCACATTGTCCAGCCCGGGCATATTAGCACGTGGGATGGAATGGAGATGCTTCCAGGCTAAACCACTTTGATGCTTCATGAAACAAACGGCCCCGTCTAGTCGTTGTGATGGCAGACGTCAGGTCAAAATGGACAATCCCCTTATCCAGACCCTTGATTACGTGATTTCCGACAAAGAGGCTCAAATCAATTTCCCTCCAGTCCCGTCCAGTCCAGTCCAGATAAGCTCAGCTCTTCATGTACTGTATGGATGGCTTGCATTTGACTCTGTAAGATGACATGCGGGAAATCAACGAGCAAATCCTCCCAGGGAACAAGTAAAATGAAGAACACGCACACGCACATAAGACTCCATGCCGTCCGGCAGTTGGCACTCGGATCTTGCCTGTTCCGTCAAGCTCATCAGGGCAGTTCCATGTCCATTATGCGTACTAATTAATACTGCAGCAGCCTCTTCGTCGATCATGATGGCACCATTGACCCTTTTTTCTCCTTCTCTTGCTCTTCCTTTTCTGCAATCTACAGTACAGTATCTTACAGCACAGTCACAGCTACGTGTAGTTTTGTTTTTCTCCTCTCCCTCCAGCCGGGTCTCGCGGATGGCACACCAAATTCCCCAATTCTCCAAGCATGGGCACTGCCATGATTCATATCGTATCGGCGACTCAATATGCATGGCCGATGCAAGTGCTAGACGCTGGCCTGAAACGTTAGCATGATGTAGCTCTGCCGCCATGACGGCTCACCAAGAGGCGCCAACGAATTAGATGCCAGATTCGGCAACAAAAAAGACACTGTGACGTGCAGCACGCGAGCAACGGTCACATCACTTGCCTACTTGATGCAATTGTCCAGTGCATGTGTGTATTTGATATGATGTTGATGGTGCCGCATGCGGAGCAGAAGACTCTCGTTGGAATGTATAGTTGTGCAATCAATTGCTGTGATGCCAAAAAGTTCATCAAAGGCTACAGGGTAACATCAATGTTGGTGAAGGCGGGAGGCCTGCAAACACATGGTCTACTATATCTGCCGTTGGGCAGCATTATGGCCTCGTCTAGACTACGTTTAGATGTCATCTTCTTTGTTTCAGCATGCCTTTTATCAAACAAAACTCACATCATGTGGTCTCCGATCTAGGCGTTGGTAGGGAATACCGTCATGTAGCACATACTTGGGGGAGTTAAAGCCCCATGTCTGTTTCCATCCATCTCAAGAAGCAGTACGACGACACTCTTCTCACACCCCCACGGATGGCAGCGAGACCAACAATTACTATGGCTCCTTGAACGAAGCGTCGGGCAAGGACTTGGGCCACAATGGCTATGCAGAGGAGATTCGTGTGTCTGCCGAAAAGATGCTGGACTGGGAGTATTTCATTATAAGATGGCACGATAATGGAGGTTACCAGCTGCTTGCACCATACTAGCACCGCCAATCGTGGTCAGTAGACGTTGCTTAGGATGGCAGGAGGCTGCAGAGGAGAGTTGACGTCTACTTGACTCTGCTAAATACATGTATCAAGTTTGACAGCCGCAGAAACGGTCTATGCCTACCACATATATAACACAACAACACGCTGAATGCATTAACGCAAGCTTTCAACACCAATGGACGGGTTTCTCAGCTTATACCACACACTCATCGTCAAACAATGCCATTAGGAAAAAAAATTGGTATCTTTTTTATTATTCAACATCATAGTCATTGCCACCATTTAAAAAAGCCCCCCCACAGGCCATGATGAGGGATGCATGTCATCAGGCTTTCCGTGGCACAAACAACAACATCTAAACACCGGTGACGTGCTTTTTGATATAGATAAAAAAACCGCCCTCAAGCGCCATGCCGTAACTTTGCACGATTAGCGGAACTTTGTCCCCCTCTTGACACTTTCCCATCCCCCATCGCAGACCCATGATTTGCTTTCCGAAACTAGGGTTTTTTGTCTTGTTTTTAAATTTTTGTTACTTTTAAGTATTCGGCGGCTCATAATCTATGAGACCTCAGGAAGAGAGGTCAAGCGGAGGTAGGGCTTGATGGTGCGGAAGTTGGGGAACAGCTTCTTGGCCTCGTCGTCCTTGATGACGGGGGCGACGATGACATCCTCGCCGGGCTGCCAGTTGATGGGGGTGGTGACGCGGTATTTGTCGCCGGTCTGCAGGGAGTCGATGATGCGCAGGACCTCGGCGGCGTTGCGGCCGGTGGAGGCAGGGTAGGAGAGGATGGTGCGGATCTTCTTCTTGGGGTCGATGAAGAAGACGGAGCGGATGGTGAAGGCGATGCCCTTTTCATCGACGTTGGTAGCGTCCTGGTGGTCGATCCTGTTTGCATTGTTAGTCAGGAAACAAGTAGAAGCAACAGCAACAAGAACAACAAAGACTTACATGTCGTAGAGGAGAGAAACCTGGCGCTGCTTGTCGCCAATGATGGGGAACGTGACATGGCCGCCAGTGACCTCCTTGATGTCGTCGATCCAGCCCTTGTGCGAGTCGACCGTGTTGGCAGACAGGCCAATCAGCTTGACGCCGCGCTTGGTGAACTCGGGCTGCAGCTTGGCAAAGGCGCCCAGCTCGGTGGTGCACACGGGCGTGAAGTCCTCCGGGTGGGAGAAGAAGACGACCCAGCCGTCGCCGACAAACTCGTGGAAGTCGATGGGGCCCTGCGTGGTTTCGGCCTTGAAGTTGGGGGCTTCGGAGCCCAGACGGAGGGGGGCAGGCTGAGACATGGTGATGGTGATGATGGAGGGGTTTTGTGTTGTGTTGTTTGGGGTATAGAAAGGTGCAGAGCTTGGTGTTTAAGACAAACAACAGGAAACAGAGAGATCAACTACAGGAAGAAAAAAAAAGAAGAAGAGAAAAAAGAGGCTTATATATATCTCTCATCACCCATCCGCCCCCAAAAACGTAATCGAGGGGCCCATCAACGCAACCACATCCATCACCCAATATTCCTCCTCCCTCTTTTTCCTTTTCCCCTCCAAGCCCCTCCCCCTCCATCCGTCTCATCACCTTTTTCCTCTTTCGCCCCAAGTCTTGCTTACGGAGCTAAAAAAAAAAACACACCAACACAACACACAGCAACAAGAGCATCATCCCCCCCCGCCCACCCCCGAGCTTCAAGCTTTCTGCTCCTTACCAAAACGAACGAACCATTGCAACATTCCACTCGACAAACCCCACGATCCGCGCCAAGTGCCTGGCCTAGGGAGGTCCTCAAAGCGGCAAGGCGCCGCGATTGCGTGCTGAGCTCGCCGCCTCATTGGCCCGCCGTGCGCATTTTGCAATTCGAGTCTCTCTGACGCAATGGGCGACTAGCTCCCGCGGGCTCCTCTTGATAGCTTTCGGGCTCATGCAATCACCCCCAAAGAAACTGCGGTTAAAGAGAGACGCTTGCGGGCTGAATGGATCCTCTTTTGCTGCGGCTGGTCGGCCATGGGTCACACCCAACGCCGATGGGCCGGGGAGTTGAAGCTGAGCTGATTACAGTAGGTATGTAGCTTTTTTCTTGGCTGGAAGGGCAAAAGACAAATCACGGAGACATTTGTGTAAGCCTTACGGTCGATAGTACAAGGCGCTTGCGGTGCTGAGCTTGGCCAAGGGCTAAGCAGGTCTCGACCTCTGGACTAATACTTGCTGTTAATCCTTTTGTTGACCAAGGTCTTACTTGGTCTCTTGTGCAGGCGGCCGTGGATCGGTAAACTAGCTACATGCACGACTCAGATGGAGATGATTGATGATAAACCCACGTGTCATCTCGCCGTCGAACGAATATGTCTAGTACGGTAGGCGAAGATATAGAGGGGAGGCGGTTTTGTATGTGGGTTTGTAAGTGAGCATATTTTTCTTTTCCCCTCTTGGGTACCACGTTAGGAACGGCGTTACCCTTCGAACGGTGCATTATTGTCATCCCAGCTAGCTCTCTTTCCTCTCTCCTCATTCTGGATAACTTCAATTGATTCCAAACTCGTAGGTTGTAACAGACGTACACGAGTAGCACAAAGACCATGCCATCAGCCCCAACCTCGCAATCTCTATCCCCACCAACAACCAAGGTTATTCGCAAGGTGAGCCACATCGCTGAAAATCACCCCACGGCAGTCAACATCGTACGTGTTGAAGCGAAACTACTCAGCCGCCACAGTAACAATCGAACCCAAATGGGGCTTTCTGGCGCGCCCTTTTCTGTGCTGACCCGAGATCCTGAGCCCGTGTGACGACTGCCGACAGCCCGAGATCCGCTCAGCGCTTCAATTTGCTCTTTCGATGCCCAGGATGCAGCAGATGAAACGTAACAACTTTGCAACCACGCTGTATGCATACAAACGAACACCAAATATCAATCAAAATGAGCAAAAAAAAAATTATGAATTTGACAGAAACTGCAAAAAGTCGACCACGCCAGGAGTCGAACCTGGAATCTCTAGAGGTGGTGTGTACCAACCGAAATCTAGCGCCTTAGCCATTAGGCCACGCGGCCGTCGATGCAGATAGGCCTGCTATTCTGGTATATGGCGCTCGCACAATGAACAAGTCGCTAGGCGCAAATATTGCACGACTGATGCTTGCAGAAACGTGGGCAATCTCTTGGTATCAGTTTGATTCAAATATAGGTATGCCAAGATGCGTGTTTGACCAGCAATGCTACTCCTCTCCTCCGACTAATGTAGCGTTGTTCCCTCATCCCATGCCGAATACCTGCATCGAATTTCGCCATAACGGCCGACTTTCTGGGGCCTCACAGGCCAGACGCCATGTCCTCTCTATACCAAAGTGCCACCGTCCGATACACAAACCCCGAAATAGTTGACTTGAATAATAATGAAAAAGAAAAGTATCGTAAGCGAAAGGCTTCCATTTGTCCAAGAAAGTATATGATAACGCCATTCTATGCTTGGATTCCGTGCGGCTTGATCCGCCAAAACACCATGCCGTGTCTTCCCCCTTCCGGCTCGTGGTTGGGGGTCAATCCTTTATACTCATCACCAAAAGCCGCCAATGACTTGCCCAGCAGGGCCAAATGCGCCATGATTAGCTGGTTTGGGAGTGTCCTCAAGAGGCGCAGACTGGCTGTCATCGGGGTCACTCTCTTCGGTCCCTTGCTCCACTTCCGTGTCGCTCGTGTGGTTTGGCTCACTCGTCTCGATTTCGTCAACCGGAGATATCGCAGGCCCCAACGACGGCCCGACGTGGCCATTCCCATCGTCACTAAAAGTAATCGGAACTCTTGGTTCCAAATAGTTGATGTTCGCGGCATCAATAGCATCCAGCTCGCCGTGAATACTTGCCGGGGGGGTTATTGGCTTGGAGAAGTTGAATCTTGGGTTTGATTGAGACTGGGAGACGGACAACTGAGGCACATGCGTCTGACTCAAGGCCGACCTTTTTAGCTGCGGCTTGCGCAGAGGAGTGGAAGAGGCAAGTCCATGTCTTCGTGAGGAGATTTCCAGGCGTTCCTCCTCAGCAGTCTCCTCATCTGTTAGATCGGTGTCGAGGACCAATCCTGGGCCGGGCAAAAGGAGGCTCCCGCCTGATCTTCGTCGCTGACGCTTTTGGCCGTGACTGGCAAGCGGTACACCAAGATTGGCCTGGTTGGGTGTCTGATCATGCTTGTTGAGCCGCAAGCCTCCCATGTATGAGACTATGCTTCTGAGGTTGCTCTGGCTCTCTGAGAAGACGACTCTCGTCCGGAGCCGGTGCACTGCACGATCCAGCGCCAACTCTATCGCGCAGCTATCGCGTATTCTAGACAGCTTTGGCCAAGTCGCTCTTTCACCAACGAGACAGCACTTCAGCATAAAGTCTACAGAGGGATTGCTGAGAAGCACGGGGAGGTTGTCGAGGGTCAGGTCAGGCAAAATATTGATATTGCCCGAGTATTTTTGACTGAGGATACTTCGAAACTTGGTCATCATGTTAGGGAAGAAACCCATCTCGGCCATAAACTGCAGTCGGTGGAGAGCCTCGTCTCTGGCTAGCGATGTGCAGGTATATATCCAATCCATGTCATCGCCACCGTTTTTGGCGCTCTTGTGAGCATGCTCATTCTCGGGTGAAAGGTGATCATCCTTGGAGAGAAACGGGGTGACGTGCGGGTTCACCTGCGACACGATGAAATGATTGACGTTGAACATTTCCGCGAGGCGCGTCATGGGCAAGTCATTGTCCACCGAGCCGTCGATAAATCGTTGGGGCGAAGGGTTCCACTGGCGATGTTCGCCCGTAACCGGGTCTTTGACCAGCAGGGGCGACGAGTTAAAGATGAGAGGCACCGAGCAAGACGCCGCTACAGCAGACCAAATCATGACGTTGGGCGAAGTGACATAGTTGAGCAGCCGTGGCAGTTCGTATACGGATGCAGATGAGACGCAAATGTTGAGGATGCGTCGAGTGCGGTTGTACGCCTCCTGAAAGGTGATGTCGCCCATCATACCCCTCATGACTCTCCTGAGATGGGCAATGTCCGACCAGCAGCCCTCCGTTAGCAGCCGGCGAAAGTGGTCCAACAGGCCATCTTGGTTGTCTTGGGCTTCGAAAACCGCTAAATCGCCATAGGGAAACTCTTTAATCAGCTGCGGAATCTCTTCGTCCGTCCTCGTGCACATGACGGCGCAGACTATGCTTCCAGCGCTGGCGCCGGATATGATCCTGGGGAGAAGCTGGTTCTCGAACAAGGCCTTGAGGACGCCGACGTGGGCCATGCCGAACGTCCCGCCGCCAGATAATAAAAGGGCGCTTCGTCCGAAGCTCTGGCGCGCGAGCAACATGCCTTCTAGCAGGTCCTTGTAGGCAATGCCCTGGTCCGTGGCGCTGTGGACAATGGCAGCGTCGATGGTTTCGATTGTCGACTCGACATAGCGCTCAATCAGCGTCTTGGTGCCAAGATAGGAGTGCCGGTAAAGATCGACGTTACCCATGCCGCCGAGATCGCGCGACAGGGCCGTTCGGATGAGGTGCATCATGGTGCGGATGTCCCGACTTTCGCGGGCCTCGTCGAGCGCCCGGAGCCGCTCTTCGATGAGCTTGGCGTTGTAGTCGTCGCTTTCATCGTCTCGTCTCCAGTCATCGTTGCCCTCGAGGACGTCGAGTTCCTGTGCTGCCGCTTGCCATTGTTTCAATGTCTCAGCCTATCACATCGGTTAGTCCCATATGGCCAACAACCACCGGGAGGGGGATTCAATAGGCACATACGCTCTTCATGCGCAGGCAGAGTATGTTTTTTCTTTCTTCGAGGAGCCTCGCCTTCTCGCGCTCTTCGCGACTCACGCCATCTTTCCAGGATCGCAAGAAGCCCGCCGCTCCTCTGACTGTCTGCGATACGGTTTGTGCGAGGGTCCGGTCAGCGGGCTGCAGAGGCTGCGAAGATGCCGAGGCGTGTTTCTGGCGCTTTGGCGACGGTGTAGAGGTGCTGCCGGTGTGTATTTGAGGTATCGGAGGTGCGCGGAGGAAGAAGTCGGCCATGACAAGAGACGCTGCGTTGCATCCGGGATTTGTTGAGGATCTTCGATCTTCAGGTGGGCAGCAGGAGAGTTTGGCTCGGCTGCAGTCCCATTCCTGCCGGCAGCGTCGATTCTAATAATAATTATACGAGCAGTTGAGGCAGCGGGTTGGAAATCAAGAGGAAGAGGCTACGGAGCAATGCGACTGGGGGAAGCAAAAGTGCTGTTGGTAGGGAGGACGGGGCGACAGGGGAGGCTTTGAGGCAATCTGGGAAGAATCCGGGGATGGTTGGAGCATCTGACCGCTCTGCCACACCCGCTGATGGCATATGCAGGTGGGGACCGTAGCGGCTTGGGGCGCGGGCTGGGCGGACAGGTGTACTTTGGGGGTACGCTGGGCGCCGTACCTGGGACCAGTCGGCAGTTGGGCTACAGTTGCGCTATGAGCCTGTGTGGTCGCCCTACAAGCCGAGTGTAGCGCTGCGTGCAACCCATGAGGTGGTACAGCTACTTTCGTTCTACTGTCGCACATCGTAGCGAGCAGTCACTAAAGTCACGCAGCTTCAACATAACCTAACCTTTTAGGTGCAGGGTCACCCCCAAATCTCCATCCCCCATGCTGTAATAAATACCTAAGCCCCCCGTAATCCTTCCCCCGGTTACTCCCCCCGTATTCCCGCTGCTGCGTCCACGTGCTGCCGTGCCGCTGCGCTGACTCGGGGGTTCGCAGATGCTGGCGACAGATCAATCTTCACATGCCAAAGGGGCCGCATTCCGGGGATTGTCTGCAGCTCCCTGTATCAAAGTCGGGTACCGGCACATGCTTCACCTGTACATCAGGCGTTCCGATCGGGTACCAATCAGGCTGCGTCTGACGTTGGCAAACCCAGAGTAGCAGAGACTCCCCCATCTCGTACCCCAGGATCCCCGGACTGGTATTCGGCTGCAAAAGAGGCGGTAATGGTTTTAGCTCCATCTACCTTGGATGCAGCAGAGGGGAACTAAGGTTCCAATAGAGCTCCAGAAAACGCCATGCCCACCGCCGCGACCGCGGGTTCCGATACGGTCGGGAGCCAGGAATGACGTCGGCTGTGTAAATTGTCTCATGATGTGTTCAAAGCCGTGTGTCGGGTGGACGAAATAGCGCTGATCAGCTATCCTCCAGGAAGCTATTTGGGGTGTCTCATATGCATGTCACGCTGACGTGTTCTAGAAAGACGGGATCGTTCCGAGAGGTGCGTCATCGAGATGGGTTCATTCCAGCTGGAAAGACGGGAAAAAGAATCGTCTTTTAGTCATGAACCTGGGTAGGGCACGATACACGTATAAATACAGATTTTGCCATAATAAATACATGACACAGTGAATGACTCACCAAAACATGAGTGTACCCTGCAATATATGCCATGTTTGGTGCTAATGTTGAAGCAACCCGTCACACGGCGTGACACACATAAGCAGCCAGTGACTCACAAATGCGCGTTTGCACGACGTCTGGGATTTGATGCGCAATCTGCCTGTACAAGGCATTGGCCGTAGCAATGTGAATGCATCACCCATCATGTATAAGAACAGCAGAAATATTCAACAACGATGCTGCGCTCTTCAGCAAAGCGTTCTACATCCTCACATCCTCCAAAATGGCTGAGTCAACGAGCAATACTCACTTGGACGAGAAATCAACCGACCAGCAAAACACCATCACAGCCGGAGAGATGCACTCAACCCCAAACCTCGTCCAGGGTAGCAACCAGGCCCCGACCAATCCACTCGACCAAGAAGTTGAGAACCAAAAGTACCTCGAAGGGCGCCTCGATATCGACGAGAAACGCAAGAGATTCGACGAGACATCCTGTACTGTCGAGGAAAAGGAACTATCTGAGCTCTTCAGGAAAGGATTGCTTGACGATGGAAGTACAGGACCCTTGAAGGGAGACTTTACCTTGAACGATCTCCCTCGACTGAGCGGCGATGAAGCATGCAGTGTCCAGTGGACGACCTCGAAACGGAAGCCAAAAGACAAGACTTCAAACGACGCTCGTGCGATGGGTGGCCTATCCGACGATGAATTGGCCAGTGTTTTACAAGCCTGTCCGGACTTGGAGGACTTCATCACCAAGAAGACCTAGCTATTCCAGACTGATAAAAAAAAAGATTCAAGCCCGTGAATTTGAAAAATGGCTGCTAATTCCATTACAAGTGTCTTACTTTTCGTTTCCCCCCTTACTCGAATTCGTTCACTTCTCATCCCACCCAGCAAGAACAGTCGCTAGTTGCTCGTGGCGAACCAAAGCCGTCTCAAACGAAGGCGCTCCCTCAAACTCACCGTCCGCAAACTTGTCATAAAGAACACCAACGCTTCTCCCCACAATCGCCAGCTCCTCTTGCCAGCTCTGCCAGCTCCATTCGCCCTTCTGCACCTGGTCCGATGCAAAATCGTGAACCTCAATGGTGACGGGAGCGCCGTACGAACTGGCGTGCAGAGAGGATCCGCCAAACGCCTGGAGTCGAATCTCGCCCTTTTCACCATTAATTGTCCATGAGAGGGCAGGGTCGTCGGGGAATTGCTGGCCTCGACGGAAACGGAAGAGCACATTGGCTCCCTCGGTGGCGATTTGCGATGCGGCGAGGGTGCCGTCGATGATGATGAGATCGGGGACGTTGGACTTTACTGTTTCGACCACCTTTTTGGTGGAAGGGTCGCGGAGGAGGACGTTGGGGCGCTGGAGCTGGAGGTGTGATTGGATGTTTTGAAAGTCCCCGATGACATACTGAACTTGGTCAAACACTGGAAGATGTCAGATGTGAAAAGAGGACAATCAATATACTCCAGGGGATGAAGATTACTCACAATGCCCAACTCCAATCGTTACAATATTGCCACCAACAGCCCTGTCAGTAAAGTACTTGAGCCCTGACAGCAAAGCCTCTCGGTCAACGGATCCGCCAAAGGCCCTGACCTCGCTGCTGAGGATCTTGCCAATGCTCCCCTGCTCAAGCAGCTGCCTGACCTTGACAACGGGAGGAGCCTCGCGCCCTTGGTTGCCAACCAGCGTCCGTCCACCCGCAACTCGAGCCGCGTCGACGAGCTCCTTTGCATGGGCTACATCGTGAGCCAGCGGCCACTCTACAAAGACGTGCTTGCCAGCCTTGACGCTCGGCAGGGCAGTTTCGTAGTGGACGTCGACGCGAGTGCTTACAACCACGAGGTCAATGTCCTCGTCGTCGGCAACGTCCTGGGGGTTGCCGTAGGCCTTTGTCTCGGGGGGCAGCTTGAAGACTTCAATGGCGCGCTTCGCCGACTCGACGCTGCTGTTGCACAGGGCCACGATCTGATACTTTGCACGACCGCGGGGGGAGAGAAGATAGGGCAGATGGGCGGCGCTGGCCCAGGATGTGGTTGCGGTGCTGGAGAGGCCGATAATGGCTGTGCGGATGGGCGCCATGATTAATAGTTAATCAATTGTGTGGCTAATTGTAATTACAGGTGATATCTAAACCTGGCTACTTGTACAAAGTAAGTCTCTTTTCGTCTACATGGTCTCTTTGTATATATAGCTGGGTTATTCCGTATTTCCTCAACTATTGCGTCTTGATACAAAATATCGTGCAATAGTGTGGAGGGTGCGGGTGGATTTCTAAGCAGCGATTTATAATGCTAGAGGCTGCAAAGGATCTCAGTTTTGATTTGCTTGTCTGGCTATTTGGAAAGTATGGCGGGTGCATGGCATTACCCCAAATCAACTACCTATGTCGTCTTGTCCGTGTACATGTATATGAAAGTAGACGCATTGTACAAGAACAGTGATTTTTCCCTTTGGGGTGAGATCCCGGTTACTTCCCTAGAGTCTTGGAAGTGGAGGTCTGTCTGAGGCGTTTGGCTTCCATCATGCGTCTCTTGTCCAATGGGCTTTCAATTTTAGTGTTTCTTGTGCTTCTAAACTCTCAGTATGCTAACGCAGAGCATTCATCCCTCCAGGTACAGTAGGCAAGGTGGCAGGATACATATCTGTCTTCAGCACGTGAGGGCGTCGCAAACAATAGGCGACTTTAAGAGTTATAGGATGAAATTTGGTTGAATTACAATTCGATGAAACAAAAACTGAGAGTCCGGGGCAATTGAACAAGTATAAATCCCATTTGCTCGTAACTCAGCTCTCCACATATTTCACCTCTTCACGAGCCCTGTTAGTTAGTGCTTAATACCTCTCAATGCATTGGTGGGCGTTTAATCACTGCATACACGTAGCCAAGAGATGGCATTTCTCAAAAGATCAGACTCAGTCTCGACAATCTAAAAGTATTGACCAAATCTCAATGTAATGATCATCATCTTTCAACCCATCTTTGTTTGTCTTATTATATCATTGGGCGAGGTTATGAAACAAAAGGCGTGGGTTTCCATCTTACATGAACGCTCACCATTCTCCACACGCTACCGGCAAAATGAAATCGCCCGCACTTGAAACCAAGTATTGAGCTAAACCATCACGTCTTCCTCACTCCAGATAGTCTTTCAAGTTGTTTACTATCCGTCCAAAAAGTTTTTTATTATACAATACCTAAGTCGGATTTCATTCGTTTACGCAGACTTCTGCCTCTGTCTTTTGATATCTTTAAGTTGTACTGAGTGAACTATCACCAACAAGCGAGCACCTCCTCCTTACAAATACCGCAATGAGTTCATCATCGCAACATCTAACCAACTATGCCGCGTTTACTCGCCCCGAAACGGGCATCAGCCAGATAGGTCATTTAGACGCAAAAGCCGGCACAATCCAACCGCTCAGCCTCCTCTCCGGGTACCCCATCAAAGATCTCTACCAGGTCATCGAAGCCGGCCCATCGCAAATAGTGGCCTCTGGCTCTGCTCTGCCCCTCTCATCTGTTAAAATATTGGCACCGCTTGTAGGACGCGATGTGTTAGCTGTGGGCAAGAACTACATGGAGCACGCAAAGGAGTTCAATGCCTCGGGATACGACAGTTCGGACAAGGTCGACAAGCCCAGCCATCCTGTCATCTTCACAAAGCGTGCGACGTCGATCATTGCAGATGGCGAGGACATTTACTTGCACCCGGAGTTTTCCAAGAGCGTGGACTATGAAGGTGAGATTGGAGTTATTGTTGGCAAGGCCGGGTTCCGGATTCCCAAGGAAAAGGCCATGGACTATGTCTGGGGATACACGATTATCAATGACATGACGGCTCGTGAGAGGCAACGAGATCACAAACAGTTTTATATTGGCAAGTCGGCGGATACATTTTGTCCCATGGTATGTCTAGCGCATGTATTTCTTCTTCGTTGTTTGGCTGCTGATTATCGCAGGGCCCAGTTGCCGTTCCAAAGGAAGCCCTTCCGTCGGTTCTGCGTGTTCAAACCCATGTCAATGGCGAGTTGCGGCAAGACGCAACGACAGACGACCTCATTTTCGATATCCCAACCTTGATAAAAACGCTTTCTGAGGGACAAACGCTATTACCTGGGGATGTGATTGCTACTGGCACGGTTAGTTTTATCCTGTGATATACATACTGCAAGTCCTGACAGTCATGACTTTGTTAGCCCGCCGGTGTTGGTATTGGACGCAACCCGCCTCTCTTTTTAAAAGAGGGAGACGAAATCGCCGTCACCATCCCTGGTATTGGCGTTCTACACAATAGAGTCACCGCTGTGAACGCAACGACGGAGCGTCTCGCCTCCCAATCCGTCTTCGGTCTTGACAACGCCGCACGTTCGTTGAACGGCACAGCTGGACTGACCATTATCAATGGCAAGCCGTTACACTACAAAAGACTTGGTGTTGAAGACAACAACGGTGTCGTCTTTGTCCACGGCCTCGGCGACACATCAGAATATTTCTCGCCTCTCATTGCAGACTTTGAACTCCAAAAAAAGGCAAACGTGCACTTGTTTGACTTTGAAGGCCATGGCCTCAGCCCTACGCACCCGTTGAGCGTCTTGAGCGTAGACTCCTTGGCGGCGGATCTCGCGGGTGTGTTCTCGCACGCGGGACTCAGCGAGTCCAACCCCGGAACACTGATTGCGAGTTCCTTTGGATGTTTGATTGCCATCAAGTTCGCCATTCTCAACCCTCGTTTGGTGAATAAGCTTGCGTTGTTGTTCCCACCGTCTTCACCACTCTCCGACGCCTCTAGAAATGTGTGGAAGAAGCGCGGTGAACTCGTTCGCGCTTTGGGAATGGGAGCAGTGGTCGATGACATTATATCTGAGGGCACGGCTGAAGCGACAAGGTCAAGAGAGCATGTTGCAATGTCAGCAATTCGGCTAGGCTTGCTTGGACAAGACCCGGAGTCATTTGCAAAGGCCTGTGACGCATTCGCCAAGGCTGAAGCAGATCTCCCATTGGAAAGTCTTGGTGTGAAAACGCTTATTATATCAGGCGGCGGAGATTCAAGTTGCTCAGAGGAAGTGGTGCGGGGATATGCACAGAGGATCAAGGGAGCACATGTTGAATGGAACAAGGACCTTGGCCAATGGGCTATTTTTGAGAACGTGAGAGCAGTATCCGCCATCTTGGCGGAATTTGGTCTTTAGAATATGTTTGGTGGTGACTTTATCCCGATATTGTGTACGCAGAGTTGAAGAGAATAGTACATGTAGCCATTCATCAATTTGAATGACAGATCACTTTATGCTTGTCAATCAAGGTTAAATAAAATCTCATATAGAATAATAGCCATCCATAGATCACATATCCATATATACAATGATACTCTAGCTCTCCTTAAGAATCGTTCGGAAACGCATGTACCGATACCACCTGGATGCGTGTTGGACGACTTACTTTGCAAAATACCACAGACAAACCGTGGAATGCCACACAAACCTAATCCTACATACAAAAAGATGCCAATTCCAAAATTCAATGCAGAATTAACTACATGTAGCACCGGAACTCCTCAGATTCAGCTAGGCGCAGGAGCTGAAGGCCACTAAAACCCACGCATCGCACACGCACCTCCAAAGGCCGAGCCAGCGCCATTACATCACACAGCATCAATCGCATCAAATCGGGGAGCTAGAAGGGCAAATCTCAGTTTCAGCCGAGCCTATGAGAAGCCATCGATAATGGCAGTTTTGCACCAAATCTCAAAAGATGATGCGTGGACATGAAGATTGGGTGAATCCTCCTCACCAAATTTGTGCGGAGCGGCGCTACTCTACTCCTCTTGTGTTTGAGCTTCATACGTCATGACGAGTTAATTCGCCATGCTGCGTATCTTCTCATAGAATCTATAGCTGGCCATTTTCAAACAATCTTGAACCTCATTCGGATTGATACTCAATGACACTTGGCTGATTTTAATTCACGCCGACAGCAATTGAAGCCTCACTTACACACAATCTCACCATGTCCAAGATCATCACCGTCTTTGGCGCCACAGGCAACCAAGGAGGCTCCGTCGTCGAAGCCATCCTCGCAGACCCAGCCCTGTCCAAAGAATTCAAAATCCGCGGCGTCACTCGCGACGTAAACAAACCAGGAGCCAAAAAGCTCGCAGCCAAGGGCGTCGAGCTCGTCACGGTACGTAGAAAACACCACATGCCTTCTTCACTTATATCCATCCGGTAAAGCTCTAACCAGAGATGATATATGTATAATCGCCCGTGTATACAGGCCGACATGTCCTCATCCTCCTCCGTCGCCCCCGCCGTCCAAAACGCCCACACCGTCTTCCTCGTCACAAACTTCTGGGAGAGCATGTCGTCCGACACCGAAATCTCCCAAGGCAAGGCCGTCGTCGACGCCAGCAAGGCCGCCGGCGTCCAGCACCTCATCTTCTCCTCCCTCATCAACGCCACCGACGCCAGCAGCGGCCGCCTGCCCAACATCTCGCACTTTGACGGCAAGGCCAAGATCGAGGAGTACATCCGCTCCAGCGGCGTCCCCGGCACCTTCGTCCTGCCGGGCATGTTCATGAGCGGCTTCGAGACCATGATTCGCAAGAACCCGCCCTCGGAGCCCGCAGGCTACACGTTGGCTCTGCCCGTCGAGCCGTCAAAGGCCAAGGCGCCCCTGTTTAACGCCGCCCAAGACACGGGTAAGAAATGAATGATTTGATTTGATTACCTCGCAAAGCTTTTCACATTTTTTCAGCACAAAAAAAAAGAAAAAAAAAAAAGATCCACCACGTTGACAAACAAAATGCTACCTCAGGCAAGTTTGTAAAGGCAGCTATAAAAAACTTCCCCTCGCAGGCGGGAAACCGCATCCTTGCGGCGTCAGACTACTACACCATTGACCGGCTCATCTCCGAGTTCTCCCAGGTCATGGGCAAGCCCGCCCACGCCGTACAGATCGACGACGACAAGTTCAAGTCGTTCCTCTCCCCCGCGGCGGCGCAGGAGCTGCTGGAGAATATGAAGCTTCTGGAAGACCCCGGGTACTATGCTGGCGAATCTCTGGCGGGGAGCTTGGCCTTGCTGGAAGAGAAGCCGACGACATGGAAGGAATTTGTGGAGAAGAACAAGCAGAAGTGGGTGAATTTTGATCACTGAGGTGACGATGAGCACAGTTGTAGTAGGGACTCTTCTAGGGAGTCAATCATTTGCTATTTGGGACGTGGTTGCTAGGGTTTCATGTGGCTGTTAATCTTGAAGGATATACTCGTTGAGCCACTTACCTCGGCTCTAAACTGCACACTACAAGGCAAGACAGAGCAGCTGTCAAAAGGGGTTCAATGAGCGTGGCAGCATCCACGTAGTATGAGTGCTGATGCTAATGCTACCTAAAGTACTATTTAGGAATTCAAATGAGAGAGGTCATCAATAGTTACATATTGTTCAATCCTTCAATCTGGTCTCATCAAAACATATTGCATGCGGCGTTTCAAGTCATGGAATCTTACATTCGATAGTCGGGTTGACTCAGGTGTCGTTCAAACATGGGTACATACCGTTGAATTCGTTTTTTTACCGTGTATTCATCATCTGCTCCAGGCAGTTATCCAAAAGATTGTTTTCTTCAGCGCAGTCGCACATACTTCATCACACATAATCGGCAAGTCGGCTCTTCAGATCCTTGACGGTGATCTCACTGGCGTTCTCTGAATGGTGGTGGCGGTGGCCTTTGCGAGGGGGCAGAGGAACTCGGTTGACAACCTGGATGACGCCGTTCTTGGCCACGCCGTTGGGCACAACCACTCGCGAATAGCCGTTCACCTTGATGGAGGCAAACCCAAAGATGCGGGCAATGTCGACGCTGATGTGTGCGTCGCCGAGCAGCGTAGGCAGGTCGTAGTGCTCGCTCGTCAGCTCCTCGACCGGCTCCTTTTGCTGCTCCGAATCTCTCTCGTCGTAAAAGGCATCGGTGTAGAGCGTAGCGTTGGGCACAATGTTATACTTGAGAATGGCCTTTAGGTACTTGTGACCCTTGTTGGTGTTGAAGAGAAAGGCGTTTGCCTTGGGCCCCAGCCAGTTAAAAGCCTCGTTGGTGGGGACAAAGACGGTGCTGCCCTTGAGGTTGAGGCCGTGAATCTCCTTGACAAAGTCCGTCTTCTCATAGGCAAGCAGCAGGGTCGAGAACCGGTCAGGGAAGAGCGTGATGATTCGACCGATAAAAGGGGGCGGAACTAGGATGTGGTTGACGGCATGGATGATGCCGTTCTTGGCTGCCTATTTGATTGAGAAGAAGGGAAAATGAAAGGGTCAGTCCACAGTACAAGTACGAGCAACAGGATGCCGGCGACGGGTTGGCTATTATTAGACGCGATTGCTCAGCGGGGCAACTCACAATGTCAGCAGCGATCACTTTGCTGTAGAAGTTGAGCTTGACTCCGCCCAGGTTGACAGAGGGACGGAGCCGCTGGGGCTCACCGCCGAGAAACTCCTCGTCGTAGGCCGTGGGCAGCGTGTACGAGTGCAGGATCTTGCGCGCGGGATAGTCGCCCTCGGCAATGTGGTAGAGCAGGGCGTTTTCGATAAACTCTTTGCTGGGCTTCTTGTGATGGTCCGGGATGTCCTCAAAGGCCTTGTCGACGGGCACAAAGAGCGTGTAGTTGGCAGAGGTGCTGTTGAGCAGATCCACCACGCTAGGGTGGTCGTCGACTAGCTTGGCGAACTTTGTGGTGAACTTGCTCTTGGAGATTAGCTCGTATATCGTAAAGCTGCTGTCCTCGTCGTGGTGATGGTGGCCGGGACTGCCGACGTCCACTTGTCCATCTCCCGCGTAGCCCAGCCCCAGCCCGACGAGATCGGCCACGGCCTGGCCAAAGTCCTCGTGGATGTGGCCGCGGATGGACGACACGGCGTTGAAGAAGCTCTCGGCCGCCTCGATGTCGTCGTCCAGGTGGTGGGGGCCGATCATGGCATGGTCCTTGATCAAGGCTGTGACCTCGTCAGTTGCGCCGAGCGGTGCCTGATTTGGCGCGGCTGGTGCGGGTAAAGCCAGCGCGTGGGCTGCTTGGATAGCGGCCAGCGACAGGGCGCCAATGGCAGCGAATCTGGCCATGTTGGTTGTGCAGAGGACTCGTATGGATGTAGATGTTGGGGATCAACGGGGGCCGTGTAGCAGCACGAGGCCGTCACGGAGCACAGGCAGGAACAGTAGCTCGTTGTACAGCACAATGGCTAAGGTAGGTAGTCACAAACGCTCCAGGCGGTGATGATGGAGGACGGAAACAAGCATCGCCTCTGCCCGCCCATCTGCAGGGGGGACATGACATGGACAGCAAGACATGAACTCGAGCTGCAAGAGGCAAAAAGCTACAAGCTCCAGCAAGGGGCATCGCTGCCAAAGACACCGGCGGGCTCCACCGCCAGATCTATTTCAGGTATCCGGAAGTACTCGCACCCGCTGATGCTCTGGGCCGCAAAGCTTCCCAACGGCCAGATATTTCCGAGACAAGTGGGACAGAGTTGTCGGAGTTTGACAGGGATCAAGCCCGTTTACACTTTTACAGCAACGGCCTTGTGCACTGGCTGATGGGCGTTTGAAGGACCCTGCTGAGGACCAACAATTCGAGTGCCACAGTCGGGTTGCTGCGTTTCCGGCAGGCGGTGCAAGAGGGTACAAGTGCGCTACTCGAAGCCTAACAGCAGCCGGCGGCGGCATGTATTTACGGACCGGAGTTTGAGTACCGAGTACATTGAGCTGGACGCGCAATCGACGGATCCTACGACGTTATGTTACCCAGAAGCTTTGAATCGGGCATTGACCAGCTGCTGTGATCCGGGACGTCTGACGTCAAAGCCACGCTTCCGCATCATCGATCAACTTTGGCGGGATCAAGTTGAGGCCCAGACATTCCAAGCCCAGTCAGTTGCAGTTCCCGCGGGCTCCGCCGCAAGCGCACGAGTTGTTCGTATTAGTAGACAGAGATAAGGTGTAGGTACATGCATACTTGGAGGACTATTGATGTGATGAATGATTACGCATTTGTCCGTGCTTTGTATCAGTTTACCAGGGACTGCTGGCACCTTCGATTTCGAGTTACCAACAATACTGACCAAGGGTCGGGTTCTTTACTAAGTCGGGTTCCACGGGTTGCTAAACTAACAGCGAGTGTGACTCTTGTTTCTCAACCCGTACAACCAACACTTCTCGTATGCACAACACACAACACAGCACGGCAACAGCACAAGACTCTTACTGCTTGTAGCAACACTCCCGGGCGACTCCTCGAAAATCTGTCCATGGATTCGGGGGGGCGAAGCAGCTCGCTAACGTTGGTGGCGTGCCCATCCAGACATGCTGACATGGAGGACCATGGAAAGGGAAAAGCCTTGCCCAGCCCAGTGCTTACTATTTCATTAGCGGGATCCAGCTATGCGGCTCTAGGAAAAGCCTGTGCGCCCCCGCCCCAAGCAGATGCTGACGCTGGGAATTTGATTTAATGCTCCAGGGACTCCAACGGCGCGGGTTCGTTTAAAATCTTTTTTTTCCCGGCTCTGTTCGAGTTTTGTTTCTTCATCGCCCGTTTCGCGTTTCCTTTCTCTGCCGTGTCTGTGGTTTAGATCCATCTCAACTCTATTGAAACTAGGTACTAATTACTACCGCATCCCGCCTCGGTACCTGTACTCGTACATACGCTGGACCTCCGCTAAATAAAGTAAATCGAACCCCTACACCCACTCGAGCGTGCGCCAATTACGGGGGGCTTCAGGCTGGTTGCGGGGCTGAATCCAGTTATTGTCATCGCTATTGTCCAATTCGAACTCTGTATCAAGGGAGAGACGTCAGAAGGATCTGATCTCACCTTTTTTTTTCCCTCTCCTTTCCCCTTCTTCTTTGCTTCCTTCTACAGCGCCGAAAACTCTGGCTCTCTCAGAGTTTTCACTCGATAAATGAGCACCATGTTGCGCAAGAAGGAGGCTTTTACCCTCGTCACGCCCATTCCGGGCTTCATCCCGCGACAGCTCGCCATTGACATCCTCCACTCCCACAGCGAAGTCATCACCCTCAACCCGCTTGTCCTCGGCCACAAGCCCATCTCGGCGCCTCGCAATGCCGCCGCCGACGAGTTTTACAGCACCTGGTATGAGATCGAGGAGCGCGTTCAGGTCATCCCCGGCATTGGCAAGATGGGCGGCAGCAAGATCAAGTTCAACGGCTGCTTCCACGACATGCCCTGGGGCCTGCAGACTCACATCTACGCTCCCCTGAACATCGATTTGCGCAACACGTATCGCATCTGCGGCAACCAGCCTGGAGTCGAGCCGCCGGAGCATCGCGAGATTGGCCTCGAGGCCCTCGGAGCCCCCTCTGACGGCTTGTACCTCCGCGAAGACATCGAAATCAAGGCCAACATCGCCATGGTCAGCTTTGTCAAGGCCCAGCTCAAGGCCGCCAACAAGGAGATGGTCCAGCGCATCATCAAGAAGGCCGAGCTGCTCGATGCTGGTGTTTTGAAAGCAATGATGGAGGACGGCAAGCTCAGGACGGTCAACCCCAACGACCGGTCGCATACGCCCGCAACGGTCACGGATCCCAGGCGGCAATCTTCCGTTTCATATGCAATGGGCCAAAAGAGCCCTCAACTGGCACAGGCATCCAATATGCCACCAAATTATTCCCCGGGTTATTCGCCCTACGCCTACCCCGCTCCATCGCAAACGCCGCAGTTGTACGACCCTCGACAGTCAACATACCAACAAACGCCCCAGCCTGGCATGTACGCGCCCCCGCCGATCCCTCCCAAGGAGCAAATGGTCATCATGGAACTGCCCGGCGACTACCCGCCCCAACACGGTCTCTACCCGTCTCCGCAGCCGAGCCCGGGATTTCGTCCGCCCTCTTCATCCTCGTCTGACCCACGCTGGTCTGGCCAGCCGAGCCCGTCCATGATGCATCCGCAGAGAATGAGCACCGGCTCTACCAGTAGCGCGGGCCAACATCCCGGCTTTGTGTCAGAGCTGGCAACACACAATGAAAAATCAGAGTACTAGATGCACCCCTGAAAGTTCATGTTTGGAGTTTTGATGAAGACGGCATAAATGGAGCATGGCACCAGTTTACGAAAGACGCGAAAAGTCGCATGATGGAAGCAGCCAAGAATGAAAAGAAAGAACCGGTTAATGTTAAAGATGGGAGAGCTTGGGCCCAATCTGCCGGTATACATTTTGGCGTAATTCTTCTCAGTTTCCTTTGTATTTTTTACTTCTTTTTTCTTTCTTTCTTTCTTTCTTTCTTCTTCTTATTGTGTATACTTTATACCCTGCGCGGTATTTTCTTGACATTGCATTGATTTGGAGGAACTTGGAAAGATAGTTTGGAACTTTGGAATACCACTGAGCGCTTTTTTTTCTCTCTTTTGGATACCCTCTACATGCTTGATCTTGATGCTTTGCCAAATGTGTTTCTAATGCTAATGCAAATTAAATCTACTTTCTCTCTCCCTTCTTGGACTATTCAGAGAACCATCATGATGGCGGATACAAAAACCAATGCCAACGTCACTCCCGACATTTTCACAGTTACTGGAGTTCCGCCACTTGTTGTGGTCGCTGGGGCTGGCGCAGTTGTTGATGACGAGGTGCCTTCAGTGGTCGTTGTCGACGTGGTCGATGGTTCCGGGAGAAATGGAGTGACTATGGGGTGGTTGATTGGTATGGAAGAGGAACTCGGTGGTGATGTCGATATGGATGTCGACGTCGATTCTTCTGCCTGTGTCTGTGTTGTTGATCCCCCTGCCTGCGTCTCTGCCTGCGTCTCGGTCGATGTTGAGGCTGGAGCTTCTCCTTGAGCCGTCTCGGACGAGCTCGTGCTCTGGCCCCGAGGAGAACTCGACGTCTCCTTGATGCCAATGGTCCCTCGAGTAGTTTTGCTTCCGCCATCATTCGGATCGCCACTCCCACCAACACGCTGGCAATAATGATCGAACCCATTCTGGAAACACTCCTCGCCAGCCTGGCAGTACGACCCGCTCGGACAGCAGACCCCGTTCTTCGGCATGCACTTCTTCTCGCCACAAGGCACCTCGCCAAGGTCACAAGTGATCTCATCGCCGCAGACGTGTCCAATGGGACAGCACCCGTCGGCGACGCAAGAATTGCCCTGCTTGCAGTATCCCCCGCCGCCGTCGGTGCAGCACACTCCCACGGAGGGCATGCAGCCGTCGTTGCAGACTACCTCGCCGGGACGGCATTGGGCGGCGGTGACGACGGCGGAGGCGTCTTGGAAGTGGGAGGACGGCGAGAGTTGGGCGAGGAGGCGTGCGGGAGGCTTACGCGAGAAGAGGTTTGTGGCGGCGAGAGTTGGGGATGACAGGCTGAGGAGGAGGAGCGTGTGGAGCGAGCATCTCATGGCTGAATTGGACACCATTGTTTATTAAGAAGCTGGGAATTGTTATGAATGTGGCGAGTAGATGGAATTCAATGGTCATGTCTGGAGAGTCGCAGGTCCGTCTTTTGCCTCTGAGGAGCCTGACAAGCCCTTTATAAACACTTTTTTCAAGGACCTTTTCGTAATTCTATATTCTCCATCAGGTTCAACATGTCCTTGTTGGGCTCCCAAACCAACACTAACACAGAGGGAAAACAGCCTTGAGCCGCATCATCACCACCCAAGGGGTTTTTCAGCTCGTCTTGGCATCATGCAAAGCGCGGTGAACTGGCCGACGCTATTTACTGCAGGGTAGTGCCAAGCATCAATTTTCGATTTATCCTCTTTTTTTCCTATTGGGACACACAGGAGCTCACATGAGCTACTGCCTGATGCTAAAAAGGTCGGTTAGGAGGCTGTTGACGAAGTTCGGGGCTGCAATATCAGGAGGCATTGCCTGCTTGGTAAATATTGAGGCTTTTGGGAGATGATGCATCGTGCGATGTGGCTGGGTTTCTGGATGTTTGTGCCACTTAGCTTCCAGATCTCATCCACTACCTAATGTTTTACCCCATCATGGTGCCTCTTTATATCACTAAAGCTGCTCTGTTACGTGTCTTGGTGAACTAAAGTCCCTCTGCTTTTGCCGAGCGTCGTTTTGCCGAGCGTCGGCAGCTTGGGTTTTAGTTGCATATACGGATGTTGCCTAAGGAGTAGAACAAAAAGCCGCGCTCTCTCTCTCATGATGGACGAGTTATGTAAGGAGTCACCTGATTCCGATCCCTGCTTAGGCGGAGAATCAAAATCCGACTTCAGGGCCTCTTCTCTTGCCGCGGTCTTTTCAGTGTTGCACAAGCTTATACTGTTTGTAAACCGTCATTGAGACACTGACCCCCCATAAATAGCACAGTGACGTGATGCTCAAGCGAAACATGTAACCTGAAGCAATGCTATAATTAATTATTACGCGCAAAGTTTGGGGTATAGTACCACCTTTACTAACACCTTAGAGACAGAAGGGCGACCAACACAGAGACAACCAACGGCAGGTTACGCGCTTTTGTAGCTGTTGGGCCTGACACATAACCACATAGACACAACCAACAGCTCAAAATTACACGTTCAGCAAGACCGGCAAAGTCTTTCCCCCCCCGAAACAAGGTCACGCTGAAACGTTTCCTCTGCCCTCATGACCCGCATTCTCGATGACCAGTTCGCGCGGCCGGCTTTAACTCCGTCGAACCCATTCAAGCCTCGCTGGATCTCGGCCTCGGGTGGTCTCGCGGCGGCCGTTCTGACCAGGTACCGTGGCACCAGTTCGCAGCCGACAAGGTACACGCACAGTACCCGCTGCGGCCGGGCCAATCAGACCAGCGCGGTAAGATCCTAGCGCGGCGCTTCTTCGACCCGCAGGCCAGAAATAGAACCCCCGCTAGCGACGCTCAAGGACTAGCCCCAGCTGAGGCTACCTAAACGCGCGCTTGATTCTCGCAAACGAGCCAATCGCGCGTCACCCGTATGTGGGGACCGGGCGGCCGCTATAGCGAAAAAGGAAGAGAACCTGATCCCCCCATGTAATATCCTCTCCCTCCCATCGACCCTACTTGGACTTATACAACATCGCTGCAAAAGATGCGCAACAGCTGGACCGTTCTAGCAAGGGCAGCGCGGCAAAGAAACCCTGCAGCTCCATGCGTCTGCCATGTGCGGGAAACGGGCCCGCCATGCGAGTGTCTTTGCTCCCCTCCTCACTCTGGACTTGAGCGTCTAGGCGCGTCTTTCCCCCCCACGGGTGATCATCCCGCTCTGGCCCATGAGAGAAATACATGCAATGCAATGCAATGATCCCGTTCATTTCCTGTTCGCGCCGCCATTCGTGGGCATTTCAGGGATGGCTCGAGGCCCTTTGGAGATGGGCTCTTGATGTCATTTTCGGGCCAGGCTGTGGTGATCCGTTGCCCCCCCCAGCCTGGTTTTTTTTGCTGGCCAGGGGTGAGCATCTTGGGACATGCCATTTTCTGCAAGGCAGCGAGCGAGCTTTTTCTCCATACAACCCTGACGGCTCGGCCTGGTCCACATGGCTCATTAAACGGGCATACAGTAGAAGAATTGTGGACAAGGGGAGGGAAAAGAAAAGACCTTTTTCGAGGGTCCTTGTTTTGTCTTGTTTCCCAATGTCCTTGTCTCATTACTATTCTATTAGCCGCCTTGCAGGCTCGAGGCGAGCGCTTCCTGGGAACCACCATGTCAACTTGCTTGCTTGTACCAATTTCCCCCAACGCAACGCCCATCAAAGTTCCCTTTTTCCTTGCCCATGGAATTTGTGTACTGAGGTCCCCGTAGAGCCATGTCCAGCCTTCCCAGACAGACGATAGCCGCCTTTCCCCAAGAGGCCGTCTAACCGCCCGTGGCCCTATCCTCGATGCAAATGGACCAATACCAGCGAGCCATTCCCAGAGGACTGGGCTGTTCAGATACACGCGCTCCGTTTCATGTCCGATTCGGCTTAGATCTCGTTGTTTCATCCTGACAGCCGCCCAAGGCCCATATTGGAAATTTCATCTCTTTTCCTCTGACAGAATTGATGCATCGCGAAACTTAAAGCAGGCCCATGTCCTCCCCCGGCAGCCTGCTTCTCCTCTCCTTTCCTTCTCCAGAAGCTTTTCTTTTTTATTTTGTCTGTGTGTGTTTGTTTTCCTTTCACTCAAAAAATCATCCAGTCAAAACTTGTTTCGTATCTTGTTTCCTTTCCGTGTTCACTCCCCCCTATTTACTATTTACTTTATCCGGGGCTTTGTTATTCCTCTCTCTTTTTTTTTTCTACCTCTCTCGTCAACTCGTCAAGTTTGTGGAGATCTCCTCTGGCTGCCATCATCCATTCTTTGGGGACCTCTTTTTTCTCCCCCCCTGCAGACGATTCGGCACTGTTTCCCCCCTCTCTTACAAGGACCAGACCCTCACGGTAGACCGCACTGCAGGCCACTTTGGTCAAGACCGCGAGGACCGACTTCGACCAGTCATTTCAACTTTTTAATCAATAATTGTTTCATTACTTGGCAAGTGGTTACCGAGCCGGTCTCGTATCACCTCATCCGAACATCAAGTCTTCTTTCCCACCTCTCTTCCATCATTTTTGCATATCATCACCACGACTTCTCCACCTGTGGCAACTCCATTCGCCTCTTTTCATCGAACCGAAACAAACCGAACTTGTCAAACCTTTTCCTCCATGATGCCGAGACACACTAGGAATTCCAGCGAGCAGGGCTACAGCGGCCTCCAGGCCGGCCTGGCACCGTCTCCCATGTACGCCCCGTCCCGCATGATTCCTACACCAAACTACTACGACGTCGCCCCGTCCTCCTCGTCTGCTGCCATGTCGATTCCGCCGCCTCTCTCTCATCCCTCTCAACAACCGCAATACGGCCCCTACTCTACCAGTGCCCCTTCGCCTACTCTCCCCATGCCTCCGGCCCAGTCATCGCAGCAGCACCGGCCCAGCTCTGGAGCCTGGACCCAGCAGGACGACGAGCAGCTGCTGGCCGCTCGCCAGCAGGGCCTCAACTGGAACCAGATCAGAGATCAATACTTCCAGTCCAAGACGCCCAATGCCTGCCGCAAGCGTCATGAACGCTTGATTGAACGCAAGAACGTCGACGACTGGGACACCCGCCGGATGCAAATGCTGGCCAAGGAGTACATGAGCATGCGTAAGGAGATATGGAGCGGTCTGGCAGCTCGAACCGGAGAGAAGTGGAACGTTGTCGAGGCCAAGGTAAGCCCATTTTTCGTTTCTTCTTCTTATTGTATACACACATTCACATCTCCTACGTGTGACTTCTACACACTTACACCGACTCGGAGAGGAGGAAGAAGACACTCAATCTTCTCTTCACCGCCGTGCCCCCTCCCCCTTCTCTGTCCTTTACCAGGGACGCCATTTGCTAACACTGTGTGTCCCTTTCCACCCGTCTAGTGCATGTCCAACGGCCTCAAAAACCTCCAGAGCGCCGCCCGCGCAGCTTCGCGCCGTGACCGTCTCGAGACGGGACTCACAGGGTATGACGACGATAGCGGCATTTCCGGCATCGGCCTGACCCCCGTTGATGAACTAGACGCATCCTACAGTAGCCCCGCGACGAGCTCCTCCGGCACACACTCCTACTCCAGCTCCGCCAGCTACCACCACCACCAGCAACAACAGCCGCCGCCGCCGCAGCAGCAGCATCTCCAACCTCACTCTCACCTCCACCCCCAGCATCACCAGGGCCCTTACAACATGGGGCCCGCGTACTACGGCGGTCACGGATACTCGTCGAGCGTCAGTTCCACGACCAGCATGAGCCACGGCTACGTGTCCCGCGGCGGCACCGGAACCAGTCAGGACAGCAGCCCTTACTTGGATAGCCAGCGTCTGTCCAGCGACATGGGCATCGAGTCTCTCGTCCACCGTCCCAATGGGGGTCGAATGTGATTTCTCTCTCTTTCTTTTTTTGTCAAACTTCTTTCTTTATAATCTTGGCATTCTGTTTTGATCGTTGATTCCCCTACTTACCCTCCCCCCCTTTTTTTTTTAAGCTACATGCTTTCCTTTCCTTTATTATCCGACTCTACGTCGTAATGGCAGCTCATGAGCTGCACCTACATTCCTTTTTAGGTCTTCTTATGGCTGAGTCCTGTCTTACCTATTACATTCATGGCACAGTACTGGCGTTAACTGGCGTTTTTTGACCCCATTCAATCCCCTACGCACTCACGTCCACTGGACAACAATGAAGCTGAGAAAAAACAGAGAGAAACTCGATACAGAATCATGGTTTCTCAATCTTTCCTTGTCTACTTCAATAGATAGATGCGTATGGGATATACAGATTGTTTGTTTGGTTTTTTGTCGACACAGGGAATTTTGGATCACAGAGCAAAATTGAAAAAGACGTGATGGTCTTGGGATGAAGGCAGCGTTTTTAACGATGTATAATAGTGACAGAGGCATCTTATGCATGGGAATCTGGTGGAACGGAATTATAAATGTCTTGTTTTTTTTATTGCTCATCATCGTTGACGATTGTACCCAATGTGAATCTATCTAATTGTACAAACAGCGTTGAGTGAAGCTCTACTATACATGCGCCGCCCAGACATTATATCAAACACATACATACCTCCTTTTGCACTCTTTCAAAGAGATCATAAAAGCTATTCCTACATGGAGCAGTGATCATCACCGTCCTGGCTGTGTCGTCTCGCCCTTTTGTGCCACCGTAGTGACTGTCATGCTCGCCATCTCCTCCAGCTCTTCCTCCTCCCACTCCCCTTCCTCGTCATCTCCAAACACGCTCCTCCAAGCTCGACTCCACATTCCCTTTTTGTGCAGCAGCGCGAGTATCATGACGCCTGGTAAATGCCAAACGCTTGCCCAGAACAGACCCCGTGCGCTCCCTTTGTGGCCCTCGAATTTCCAAAAGCGGACAGCCTCACGGGCCAGCCAGAGATTGATGGGCGAGCTGGTCAATGCGAAATACCAGTCCGTCACGCCGGCCGCACAAAGACCAAAGCACAATGGGAAAAAGACGAGGCTGTATCTCAAAGCGACGCGTCCGTTCCTGGCCGGATTCGTCCACGCGAGCATGCGCAAGCCGGCGGCTTTGTATTCCTCGCGGACGGGCCAGCTCAAAGCCATGAAGTGCGGAAATTGCCATGCGAAAAGAAGGCCGGCAAACAGCCATCCGCCGATGGACGATCCGTCACTAGCCAAGAGCAGCTCCCTCCAAGAACCGTCCTTTGTTGCAGCTTCGCCGGCCGCGGCGGCCCAACCCATCAGGGGCGGGATCCCACCGACAACGGCACCCACCCAAGTGTTGAAAGCGGTGACAGCTTTCAAAGGTGTATAGACGCCGGCATAAAGAACAATGTTTGAAAGGCCCAAGAACGAAACTGTGGGGTTGACACCAAAGTAAAGAGCGCCGGCACCAGCTGCGCCGCAAAGGATGGCGAACAATGCCGCAGCTCGGTTCGAAATCAGACCCCTCACCAACGGCCGGTTCCTTGTTCTCGTCATCTTGGCATCGGTGGATGGCTCGTACAGCATATTCAGAGTGTTTGCGCTTGCAGAGCACAGCGCAGTTCCCGTTGTCAAGAAAAAGAGGGTCAATGGGCTCAGACTTGGCGTTTCCGTCATTGTCGGCATCAGCATTTCGGGAACCGGATACAGCGCGTACGGTGCCATGGCGGACAAGACAACGAGGACCGTCAGGCGGGGCTTTGAGAGAGACAGAAAGGTGGAAAATGTTCGGCGCAAGGAATCTTTGGGCTGCGCGGCCGCGGCTGATGTGAGGAGCGACGACGCATCGGGAGGTAGAGGAGCTTCGGACGAGGTAGCTTGAGCAAGGGCTTGCTTCCGGGCCTGTCGTCGACGGTGGGGAGCGAGTTCTGAGAGTTGTTGAGGCGTTTGCGACTGGGGATTTGGTGGCGGGGTTGTCGAGCTCGTAGAGGTTGAAGTTGCCCTGGAATTGCGCCTCGATATTACAGAATCAAGGCAGCTCGACCTGTCAAATAGGCGGTTCTGCAGGAAAAACACAGAGCCCAACGGCGCCTTGGAGCTTCGAGGAGCTCCCAAGCTGGGGCTTGTGGAAAGCCATCTTGGCGATGTTGTTCGAATGCTGCGCCTGGACAGCAATTGAAGCTCCGGCGCAAGAGCTAAGACCAATGGTGACCGCATAATCGCCGACTATCAGAGCGCATGGCGTCCGCAAGGCTCAGTCCATTTCCCTCTGCCGTAGAGAATTTTTTGGCGGTTTGGCGGTGCTGCAGCTCGACGGCGATGGCAATCGAGCGCTGATCGGCTGATGGCTTGGAGTTTTCTCTGCTTTCGGCTATCAGATGGGGAGGCACGTGCTGGATCATGTGACCACCCTCGGCGCCATCAACCCGAGGTCGACAGTTGGGCTGATATGGGGATGATACTGTACACACGTGTATATTTTACAGCAAAAAGAACATTCAACTCTTCTTTATTTGAATACAATCAACAAGCTCAGTTGCTTCAAGACGATTCCGCACGTTTGGGAACTGAAACTCCCCTCTTGAAGAGTGGCACCACCACAAATAGCCGCCGTTATCGGCTCTTGCTTGGCTCCCTGAAGCTTCGAGTTGTTTAAATCGAGATTCTCTGGCTATTCAACCACCAGGTCTCATTTTTAGAGTATACAAGTGACTTTCAGATACACGATGCCGTCTCTACTAGATGCTCTCCGGCAACACAGTGCTATTGATTGTGATACACTAGACAGCGAAGGTAACACCACACTCGTTGGCAAGATATGGACCAGTCACTAATCAGCTTCTCAAGTGGCCAAGAGTTTGGGGCCTTTTGTAGACTGTACTTCGAACCAGGTAGCTCAAGACGCCATCCAATTTATCCCGCAAACAGACGTTGACTATGTCATCAGGCCATCGCATTCTTCGAACTCACTAAAGTTTCCAACGGGGGAACAGGTTTACATCATGAAGTATTGATCCGAGAGAGCGCGCGAGATGCCGCTAGGCTGAATGAGATTCGAGGCCAAGCGTCGTTACCCGAGTTCATAGTCGAAATTATGGTGTGTAAATGTGTAAAGCCCTTCATGTATCAACCCACCTCGCTAATAAACACAGATGGTCAAGCTGCAGTTGTTGATTGCTCCCTACATCACAGGACACGTGCATGTTCAAACGAATCCCAAGTTGTCATACTCACAGACGGGCACGGTCGATAACGCTCAGAGTAAGTCATTCGACTAGGCATGGCTCAGAGACGCAAACTGATTCAAGTAAGGGATTGTTGCCATATTCAAGGGACTGGCACCTGATTTTGACACCAAACGTACCTGCATCAAGATACCTGCGACATGGGACGGTCTCTGTGCATGCCGCACCTTGGAAGCCAACGGCGTGACCACGCTGGCGACAACTATGTTTTGCATGGAGCAAGCTGTTCTGGCCTCGGATGCAAACTGCACTTATATCGCGCCATATATCAACGAACTGAAAGTACACTTCGAAACAGGGTATGTGAAGCAATACCGTATCGTGAACTGGCTGACCCTTCTTAAGGTACATCGACCACCATAAAGCCTTCGCATTCTGCCGTGAAGCTCAGGCTTACTACAATGCAAACAACCATCGCACCCGCGTTCTTGCTGCCTCTCTTACGTCTGTCGACGAAGTCTTACAACTAGCAGGTGTAAATCACGTCACAATCTCTCCAATACTTTTGCATGCGCTATCGCGTATGGATGTTTCTACAACGACAAAGAGACCTGGCCAATATTTTGCAGACGAACTAGCCGCGGAGAGCCTGGAGGCGAAGAAATATGCCTCTATTCTGCAAGATGAGAGCGCTTGGAAGCTTGCATTCACAAGGAGCGGGTTTGGAACAAGTGAAGGAAAGATCATTCAAGCCATCAATTACTTTTCCGACTTCCAAGAGAAGCTGGAAGAACTTGCTGGACGTTACGCATCATAAAGAGCATGTGGGGCCTCTTGCTTGTCATCTCATTATTGAAAGAGCAAATATACATCTATTTAGGGAATCTCCTTTAACGGATACTGACTTTATTTTGTTGTCTAAAGGTTAACGTGCCGAATGCGGTAGCAAGAGCATTGAGAGAGCCCCAGAATATCTGTGCACGAGCACAGGACAAGTGATGATACAAAGAGGTTGCTATGTGCTCATGTCCCCAATCATTGTTAGACTAACAAAGAATTACACTCAGAACGCGGGCCCGGGTGAGGTGGAAATCTCAATTGAAGGCATCAAAGTCTCATCGAACGGAGCTATGGGATAACTTTAGTCTCATGAAGACTCACACAAGTGCGTGGACTTCATCATCCTTGCCTCGAGTATCTAATAAATATTGTAGGGAAGAATGACTTCGTCAAGGATACACCAGGTATTGTGCCGACAAGATGGCATAAGAAAGCTGCAACCAGTTCTTTGTAAGTATCGCATTGAGATGGGTTTTCAAAGTCCTAAATTAGAACACATGTTGGTTGTTTCCCTGTCATCTCAAAGCGGATATGATATCATCTCAAGTGCACGTCCTGCTCTTGAGACTTGTGAATACAAAGAGCCTTTGAGATACGCTTCATAATGGCATTGCGACAAAGACATTCCTTGATGCGGAGACCAACAACACCTGGGAATAGTCATACTCTTGTTATTTTTGGATCACATATTTCCCTATCATTTATCTTCCACAAATTCTCTCTTGCATTTCACCATACCCATACATAATTTACCTTCTTTCCTCGCCTTCGACTCTATACCCATTTAGCGCTGACGCATCTATACACCTATTTTTGAGAGTGAATCTCTTTTTTTGCCCCTTTTCTTCTCTCATCGTTTGATAAGCAAACATCGTCTTAGACTACAAGACGATATGGTCACGCAGAGCGGCGTCGCAGAACTATTCTCAGGAGGCTTCGAACAGACCTCATCAGTTACTGAAGAAGAAGCCCAGAAGCGAATCGACTTGCGCGTTACACCCCAGGACAAGAAGTGGAATGATGTCCTTCAGGAGTTCCAAAGGCTTCATGCAGATGCCGACATGACGATAGGTCAAATTTTATCGGAAAAGTTTACCACACACGAGGCTCGTCTGTTTATACCATCAGAGTCGGAGATCCTAAAAGTCATACAAGCGGAAAATGTCCGCCGATTCCACGAACGATTTGAGTCACGATTTCAAGGCATCGTGCTTGATATTCCCACAAAGTTGACAATGCTATACTTTGGGATCCCTGTTGAGCCAATGAACTTCCCATTAGCGGAGATGACTTTTAAAACGGATAGTCGAAAGCCAGAGCCGCCCCGATATGCCATTGATCCACCGTTGCATTTTCTCACGGCGCATAAAGAGCGCAATTGGGGGAATGAGATGCTTATAGGTAAATTCGGTCTTGATTGAGATACAAATGTTTTCTTTGTTAACAGCTGTCTAGGGAGAGAGGACCCATCGTATCCCATACCCGTTGAGCTACCGCAGAGTTGGCTGTCAAGGCTTTCGGATACCTTTTTGAAAGAACAAGATTCGCAGATTGAGCAACCAACTGTGCGACTTCGAGGTGGTGGAGCAAGCGATAATAGCGACTGGAGCCAAGAGATTGAGGACTGGAATGAAGATGACAACTTCACTGGCAGTGAAAGCAATGGAGACGACGGCAACGAAGACAGCGACTATGAGGACAACACACCAGAGGACCAACTTCACAGGGAAGAAAAGGAAGCCGAAGACGCCACCATGGAAAACATTAACAATGGTGGAAATTTCAGTTCCAAAGATCAGCCAGCCGTTACTCCCCAAAGCGAACTCTGGCTGAGACTCTACGGTTTTCAGGGGTATGTGCCGTTTATCACAGGAGATAGGCAGACATATGAGACTGCAATTAGGAGATTGCTCTCTCTTGGGCCCCAAGATCACGAACCCTTCTCCCTCGTGCATTTCGATGTACAGTCGGCGACGGTCGTCGATATTATCCACGATTCCCTTCCTTTGCATCCCGATAGTATAACGCTGCAATACATCGTGGAAAAGAGACTTGAAGAAGAAGGTTCTCCAGTCGACAAGCACTCATTCTTTGTTCATCTGGAACACGAGTCAACCCCCATTCACTGGGAGCCTAGCCAGGAGCAATTCAACGCCAGTGTCTCTTGTGTCAGATGTCCATTAGACGGAGTGGAGGGCAAAGCAAAAGACCTCGTTGCTTCTTGTTGCTACTTGACTTTCCCCAAATTTAACGACTCGCAGCCTTCTCTGCAAGACGTGTACGGATGGGGAGCTGACCAGCTCAATGCCTACGTCAACACCGCATTTGAGGTCTTGTTGGGTCGCTCACAGGACTCCTTTCACCACGCAAATTTTCAACTTGGCAGCTCGAACCTTGATTTTATCACAGCTCCTCCAGTCTATGGTCTTTACACAACTGCCTCGTCTGACATCCTTCCACTGATTCCCAACGGTGATGGGAAGCACTTTCGCCTGAGACGCAGCCTCCTTGGCAGTAACAAAGTCGAGATTGTGCTGCCTGGTTGTTTCAAGACCGATAGCCCAATGTCTGGACAGGGTGGCGAAATAACCATGGCCAATGTATTGGACTTTATGCGAAATATAATATCGTCAGCTTTTGGTGGCCGCACCAAGCACCTCAAATATGTGCGCCTGCTCGATGGGCGTGCAACATTGGGACCGGAAATCAGCAGAGATCAGGAGTACTATTCAATTTGCATGTCTGATGAGATACCCCAGAACTCCGAGATTGACTACTCTTCGGCTCTTTCTAAGATTGCTGCAACCCCAAATCCCTTTGTTCTCCTGTACCCAGAGTGGGAGGAAGATGAGAACGTTCTCCACCTGTCGACATCTGATGGAGAGGATGGTGCTGAGCACTCTATACACATGCCCTCACTGTCTTCGACGGTTGACGAATTTAGGGCCCGCGTGTTTGAGCTGATGCAGCTCGCTGAATTTGAGCCCAGTCGAATCGAAGACATGAAGCGTGGAGACGCATTCATAAGTGTTCAGCCCGAGATGGAAAACGAGTCCGCAGGCATCAATATCGATATGCCTTGTTTCTTCATTGGGCCCAATACCACAGACGAAGAGTGGTTTGGTATTCGTGCCAGGATACCGACTCCATCGGCGAAGATTAAGATTCTTGATTCGAAAGCATGGAATTGGCGGGATCAAGTTGACAAGTCCAACATCTGGGGCCCTCGATATGGACTCATGGCTGGCGTTCAGGCCACAATCAGCGAGCCCGAGAGCGAAGACGCCAGGGAGCGAGAGAAGGAAGAAGCTCCTCAGGATAGAGCTCAAGAGACAGTTCAGGAGGCAGCCCAAACACCGGTTCTTGACACCTCCGTTGGTGTAGAGGCTCTTAGGGCAATACTACGAGAGATAGAGCCGTTTAAAGCGACTCATGCTCAGTCGGCCAAAACCCAACGCCCAGGCAGAGATGCACCTGGTGATAGCAACGTGCGGCAAGGATCATGGACCCCTCAACCCAGTATCTATGACAACTACGGATCGCACTCATGGCCGAACGACTCTGGCATGGAAAACCCATCGAATGCGCCAACTATCGGAGGCACGCTTAGCAAAACATCCAGAATGCCAAGAGTACGGACAAATTTCATGACGTTCACGGAACAGGTACGCCTTCAACAAAAGAACTGGGAGATGCGAAAGATTTGCTTGAACCGGACAACACTCCTGCATGATGGCTCTCGCGTTTCTGATCAGCAGACTACGAAAACGAACTCTGAAACTTTCCGCATGGTGCGAAAGTGTGTGTTTTGCAACAAGATGATACCCAACCATTGGAGCACGGAACAGATTTATCGCCATCTGAGGGGAGAGCATAGGAACGAGCTCATGAAAGTGCTAGGAGTTACCAAAGTAACAATACGGCGGGTCGGCGGCAAAGGTGCCATCTCTATCCCACTGAAAAGGGGTGAAAGGCGTCATAACTCTTCGCCAGTGGCGCTGGCAAATGATGACATGATTATCGACAAGCCAGAAGCACAGGAGCATCACCTTGAGAAGGCTTCTGAGTTTTGTGATTGTTGTGGCAGCGATGGAAACCAGCGCGAATTCAACACGTCTCGTCCAGCTCAAGATGAACGAGACCAAACTCGGAAAAATTGCACAGGATCCGGCGCAGAGTCTGGAGAATTTTGTCTCTATTGCGACGAGAAATTCAGCGACAACGCTACTCAAGCAGATTGGAATCGGAACAGCGCTCATATGGTCGCTTGCTACGAGAAGAATAAGGGAGACAAATCCCAGCTTCTACCGCCAGATATTGCGGCATACAATCAGGAGCAGGATAATCTTCGAAAGCAGATCAAGGAAGCCGTGCCTCGAGCCATCGATTCTGATGAAGCAGAGGAAATCGCGGACATTGAAGGTATCCTTAATGCCATCGACTCTGAAGCAGAGCAGGATCCGAACGAAATGGATCTGGATGATTTCAATGAAGAGCCAAGACGACCAGAACCGAAAAAAGGGTACCATACACTTTTGGAAGCCATTAAACGTGCAATGTCTGGCCAAAAGCCATCTTCGATTGTTACTCTTGAGCAAGATGGATATCAAGAAGCTCACCGTGACGCAACTTCGAGAGGCATCGACAACATTTCATTTGATGAACGCAATGTGCCTTCTCCAAGCATCACCCAAAGCAGGGCTCCCTCCGAACCAGCAAGCTCAGATCCACTGGCGGTCGAGAGCGAAAAAGAGCATGAAGTTAGCCAACCAGCGACCCGAGAGGTGGCCGAATCCCCTGAACTCGAACCCCCCGAGTCTTCGGAATCTGAGCAGGACAAGGGGTCTGATTTCGAGAATGAGCCAGATCATGACAAGTCTGATGACGAAGAGTCGGAAGATGACCCTTATGGAGATTCCTCAAGCTCGAAACGTCGCAAACGAGGAGGGAAAAGGCGAGGCAAGAAGGGAGACCGCAACTATACCTTCTCAGACGACGAAGATGACGACGAGGATAGCGAGACAGACGAAGATGGGAAACGCATCAAACCACCTCGACGCGATCCATCACCTAATTGGCAGAGGATTCTTGGGCCTGAAGATCCAGATTTTGAGCCGACTGACGACTATTACTGCTCGAAATGTTTCCGCAAGGCTCCCAAGAAACATAAACGGGATAGGTCCCCCCTGGGAAGGACGAAGGAAATTGAGGTATAGCATAATTCCCAGATTGTAGCTTTTCATGTCTTGATAACTAACAACTTACAGCTTCATTACGATAAAAATCGCTGCTGCGGGATCCGTCACGGCATAGGATCAACCCAGGGACTTCCCAACCGAAGCGGCTGGATTCCATCAGCCGACATGCCAAAACCTCTCGGCAATCTTAAAAAACAGTTCCTCAGTCAATATCCCGCCTACTCTCGCACCTTGTACCCCCTCAACGCCTCCAACGCAAACGGCTCCTACTACCGCTCCGACCCAAACAACGACGACAACAAAAGCTACTGGGACATTCCCTGGCCTCCATTCCAAGGCCCGACGCCTCTACCCAACGGCTGGGATGCTCCCGACGACCTCAATATTCCAGCCACCGGAAAGGCTCGGAAGCAGTTCAAACTGAGGTCAGAGGGAGACTCAACGTACGTCCAAGACAAAAATGTTCATTATTCAGATGATGAGGAGATAGCATCGGACAAGGGCATCAACGGAAAGAGGAAGAGGAAGAGCAGACCTTCTTCTGCGGTCAACAGCAGACATACGACTCCTAAACCTGTCGAGAAACCACAGAAACCTGACGCAAAGGCAGAGAAAGCGGCCACACCTCGATCCGTGAAGAAGAAAGAAACGGTATTGCAGAAGGCGCTGAAGGGAAAGGCAGCCAGAGCACGAAAAGCGCCGCAAAAGAAAACGGAAAGAAAGGAGCCGACTAGAAGATCAGCAAGGAAACGCCTCAAGACCGGGTAGAGGTAATAGAATGGTGAAGGGTTTTAGATTTTGGATTAGAATGTTTGCTGGAGTGTCTGTTATATGGTAGTTGTGTTACTTGAGGTTGACATGTTATATGTTAGGAAATGTTTTGTTTTGTTTTGGCTTTTATTTGATAGACATAAACACTTGTTTGTACAATTACATACGCCTTTACTTGAGTCATAGACGGATGGACACACTTTGTTGGCCCTTAAATTATGTCTAATATACGTATTTGTATGCCTTTACGCCTCAAGCCATATGCGTGGTTTATATACCCTCCTGAAACACTCATAAAAATCCCTTCTAACAATGCCCACAAACACCAGTCCGAAGTTGTGAGATCAATGCGCCACCTCGAAACTTTTTATGCTAGAAACGCGCGCAGAAATATCACAGGCTTTCAATGGCTTTAAGCAAAACCTCAACCCCCTTCGCACCAACATCGCCTTTGTTCCCGAGCAAAGAACCAACATCGCTGAGAATGCCCAGTGGAATGTAGCATCCTGTCTTGGCCTTGTCCAGGCTGTCCTTCAACCGGCTGGTATGCTCCCATTCCTTTGCAGCTATCTCAGCTCTCTTAATGACGCGGTCCGAGATGCCACACATGGCGGCACAATGCATACCGAAACTGCCCTCTGCAACACCGTCTTCAAGCTTGTACAAGAATGTAATCCGGCGTTCTTTATCGTCAACATGAATTTGCATGCGGCGAGCGCGAATCTCTGGATGATTCTCAAATTCGGTAGCAAGAGAATGGTAGTGTGTTGCAAAGAAGCCAATACAACCAATGTGAGTTGCCACATGATGGAGCACAGCTTGAGCGACAGCTACACCATCGTATGAGCTTGTTCCTCGGCCTAGCTCATCAAGAATGACGAGAGAGCGCGGAGTAGCTTCGGCGAGGATCTTCTTTGTTTCAGAAAGTTCAACGAAGAAGGTGGATTGCGCAGCGAAAATGTTGTCGTTGGCTCCCAAGCGTGACATGATGCGATCAACAGGAGTGAGACGAGCCGACTTGGCCGGAACGAAACAACCAACTTGGGCCATGATGACGGCAATGCAGGACTATGCGCGAGTTAGATTTCCACAACGATTAGACGAGTGTTGGAAAAGTGTAGATAGGAAAGCTTACCATTCTGAGAACTGTAGACTTACCAGCTGCGTTGGCGCCGGTAAGAAGATTAATCTTAGCCTGGTCACCACCGAGCTTGATGTCATTTGGAATGAAATCCTCCACCGTATTAATCATGCAGGGATGCCTCAGCTCTTCAAACTCCAGGACACTACGTTCCTCATCGACAAACTGCGGCCTGCAGCTTGGCTCTCCAAGTGACATTGATGCTTTGGCAAGACTGACTAGACAGTCAAGCTGGGCAATGATTTTGATGGCTTTCAGCCAAGTCTCATAGTCAACGTCAAATTTCTTGCAGAAGCGCGACGCAACCTCCCGGATGAGTTGGGAGTGAGTTTCTTCAGCTTCCTGGAGTTCTCGAACAAGGCCGGTGAGCTCAGTAAAGTACCACCGCTTGACGTCCTTTGTTGCAGACATTTGACGCCAGCTGGATGGGATCTTGACGCTCTTTGGTGCTTCTATCTGATAGATTTCCTTGCCAATATCCGTAAACTTGAGCGTCTTGCATTTGAGCTCCGCCTTCTTCTCAGCCAATAAATCATTGAGCTGATTCTTCACCTCCTCAATTCGGGCAACACTGGCGTCAAAGTCTTCATCGACGCCTCTCTCTGGAATCATGAGTTTCTCTTCCTTTGCTTTCTGACGATCGAATGCCGTGCTCCAGTATGCTAGGGGTTCCTCGAGGTTAGGCATCGACGAAATGAGTCTATCAATTAGGCCGTTTCCACCTTTGAAAGCACCAACAAGAGTCATGGTATACTCGATTTGCTCAAAACCCTCGAGAACGCGGACAAAATCTTCAGGTTTGCAAGCGCCGGCATGGATGCGTGAAATCAGTCGCTCAAGGTCGGGCATTTTGACCAGCTGGGAAGCAAACTGCTCGCGGACGGAGGGATCGTCGTTCAACAACTCAACGGCATCCAAACGCTCGTTGATGCGATCAATGTCACATAGCGGATGAGCAACCCACTGGCGGAACAGACGCTTGCCGAAAGGTGTTATGCACTTATTAAGCAGACCAAACAAGGTACCATCGGAATTGCCGTTAACAGTGTTTGCGAACAGTTCAAGGTTGGTCAGTGTCTGGCCGTCCAGAACAAGCGTGCTGTTCTTTTGGATGGGGTTGTAAACCTCAAAGTTGCCTTGCGACAACAGCGGGCCTTCCAACTTGAGGAATCGAAGATAGGAAACGAGACCACCAATAGCAGACATGACAAGGTCGTCATCCTTGAGTTCCTGGAGCGCTTCTGGCCAAATATCTTCCTCGTCCCTTTCCCTAACAAAGTATTTGGCACAAGCGAGTTCTCGTCTAGTGGTGTCTGCATCCCAAAATTCTGTACCTGGCTTTAGGTTCGTCCATATGGTGGTGGGGCTCGTGTTGTTCTTGAGGATGCGAAGAGACTTTGTTGATAAGCCGGACTTTTCCAACAAAAGCTCTCGAGGGCCAATCTGAGCAACCAGCGTTTCGAACTTGGTTCGATCAACATCGTCGACAAACCCAGACAGATAGAATCGACCGGTAGCCGTATCTGTAAAGGCAATGCCAAAGGCTGGCAAATCATCCACAACGGATTCCTTGATCGCAACGCAATAAGCGGCCATGTCGTCTTGGAGCATGCCGCCATCAACCAGTGTTCCCGCAGTCAAGATACAGCCAAGCTTTCGAGAAATGACTTTGTCGGCTTTTTTGCCGCTCTTGTCTTGGCGCTCTCTCATCTCCTTGCCCAAGTTGGTCTCCATCTGCTCTACACGAGCCACCTTGTACTGCTTGGCGATGAACTGATTGACCCAGTGGTCCAGTGAGCCCTCTGGGACACCCACCATGCGCATGTTGACTCGATCAGTCATCTTGAAATCGAACTCTTGGTGGCCAATGGTTGCATCTTTTTCATAAAGCTCGTAGAACTTGCCCTTCTTGAAAAAGACGATGGTGTCCCAAAGATCTTGTTTAATCTCCCAATACTGCTTCTCAAAGGGTGAGAATTTGTTCCACGCGATGGGAGGGATGTAAAGAGTTCGTGGGTCATAATCAGGATCAGAGGGCGAGCGCTTCTCTTTGTCTCGAATGTTAGCGAGCCAAGTATAACGCTCGTCAGGCTCCTTCATGTACGCCTTTTCCTTCACCTTGGGGTCCTTTGTAGCGACTCGTTCGAGAGGTTTAACGACTGGCTGTTTTTCAGCAGAGTCTGGGTTGTAAGACCATTGCTTGGCTGTAGATCCGGCAGGAATATCTTCCATATCCACGTCGTCATCATCGAAAGTTGTAGTATTCAGCTCTACGTCTTCCTTGGGAGAAGGCGAAAAGTTTGTGCGCTTGCGTGCGGATTGAGGCTTCGAGGGTCGCTTCCTCTTTCTGGACCGAGAAGCCTCTCCGTCTGATTCATCCGACACAACAAAGTCGTCCATTTCATCTGCAACTCTCGTTAGCGCCATCTCCTCGAAGATGGAATAAGGGTGGTTTGGTGGTACGGACCTTCTTCTTCTTGCTCGGCTGTATCGCTTCCACCGTATTCGTCTTGGTCTCTGACAACGTTGCGGGCGGCTCTACCACGCCGCCGAGTCTGTGAAGCCGCTCCATAGGCAAAGGGTTCATCTTCATCGGACGATTCGGCATAGTTGACAGCCCTCTTCCCCTGCATAGCCTGATTAGCAACCATTAAAGGCCTGGAGAGAAGACGATGCAAACCTTTCGGATGGGACTACTGGGAGCTACCTCGCTCCCCTCGTCTTTAACAGATCTAGATTCAGAGGCCTTGCTCTTGGTTCGCTTGACAGTCGATTCCATATTCTCCTGCGAGCTCGTGGGTTCTGGAGCATCGCTGGAAGGCACCGGGGTGGAGAATTTGGCAGAGGCCTTTGTCTTTGGCAGAGAGTTGGCTTTGGTCTCTTTCAGAGGGGAGGAGTGTTGGTTATCAGAAGAGACCTTTTCTCGAGCAGCGGAAGAAGCAGAGACGGGCGACGACTTCTGGAAGAAGGACATTATCGACTTCTGTTTGGCTGAAGAAGAGGCTGCAGCAGCTGGCCGGGTGGCCTTTGCCGGCGTGCGAGCAGCGCTCGCTGCTTTGTCACTCGGCATCTTGACTCAATCACAGACGACCGCTTCAGACAGATCAACGACGAACACCAGGCGAGGGAGGGGCAGATTGCTGTGTATTGTTGGAGCCGGTGAGGATATGAAGGGTAACGAATGAACAAAGTAGAAAGCAATGCAGAATTGGAGGCGGAGAATTATAGAATTGACAGGCCCGGCACCCCAGCGGGCTGAGAATCAGACGACATGGGAGAGAGAGAACCCATGCAACGGTCGAGGTGCAGCGCGTCGCGATCGCGTCGGGACTCGTTAATCGCTACGAATTGGGCTTATCTCGCGTAAAGTGTGGCGTGCGATACACAGGTGCACTGTCCATCAGCACTGTATCCCCTGAAGCGTTTGGAGGAGAGAGCCCACTCAGTGGCAGGTACAGTGCATACCTGTAGCGTAACGGAGATGCCTGTACATGTTCTATTTTACACTCAAAACTCAATCCGTCCTCTTGATCAGTCAACAATTTTCTTGAAATAGGTAGCGGCCCCAGTAACGACATCAATAATAACATATCCAGCAATCTAATCCGTAGCAAATTATTCCTAGGCACGGTACAGTATTCCGTGCAATGACCTGTCAACCAATTGATAACATCCCTGCATAAGTTCTAGTCTGCCGCCTCTCCCGCGACCCGCCCAGCTCAGTTCCCCGTCTTATACAAGACCCATCTCACAAACTTGCCCACAAACAACATGCACCAAAACAGATAGTATCGCAAGCCGGTGTCATGAGCAGCCTCTATCAGTCGTCTTGATCGCTTGATAAACCGCGCTGCTCTGGGTACACTCAACTCATCGTATGCTTTGATTGCTTCCTCTAAACTGTTCTGGCTGCAGATCTGGTTTGCCAGATCCCATCCATCCGCCAGCGCCAAATTGCCTCCAGTTCCTGCAAACGGGCTCAATGCATGGTTGCTATCACCAAGAAAGATGGCAGGTATTTTTGTAACGTCGTCATGATAAAATGGCATCTTATCTCGCGAGTTCAAGAGCAAAACTGTGTTGGGGTCTGTCCGTTTGACGATGCTCGAGAAAGGCTCAGGGATGTGTGATCCAAGCTCCAAGCTCTTGTCTATGGCAGCCTGCGCCTGAGCTAATGATCCGCGATCCATTCTGGGCACCTGATTTTCCTTCTGCCCAATCGTCCAGAGGATTCTGTGTTTATCAACGGGGGAAAAGAAGGCCGAAACACCTGTGCGTGAGACGACGAAGCCCCAGTCCTCACTCAGTGGCTGCGGAAGAGACTCTTTGAATGTCGCTATTCCTCCTCTGAGGACTGCGCCATTGGAGAGAAGAGTGTCATCTGGGCGAAGGCTTTGTCGTAGTTTACTGCTCGCCCCGTCCGCGGCTATAAGGAGATCACACTCTGGCTCGCTCTCGTCGCCATTCCCATGAACTACTCGCACTCTTAGGCGACCACTCGGGAGTTGGGTGGCAGAAACACATTGTGAATCCCAGTTGATAACACAATGATCATTAAGACGGAATGAGTTGTGAAGGACTTGACGGATATCCTCTCGAGCAATCCGAATGCTGGTTGTTGGAATCCCAGCGACGGGGTTTCTAGTGAAAGAGACCTGTTCTCTCCACCTCGCATCCCATATCTTGAAAGAGCCAGCTCCATCGACTCCGGCCGCAGCTTGTTCCAAGATTTCATCGAGTAGGCCGAGATTTCTGAGCACAACGAGGCCACCCGAGCCATCATATCCTGTCAAGGACAAATTATACGTCTCCCTCTGAGCAGCCACATCCTGTGCATCGCGTTCATATATGATGATGTTTGGTTGGCTGAGTTTAGAATTCCATAGTTTCTGAAGGCCGACAACGAAAGCAGACCCAGCAAGCCCTGCTCCCGCAACGACTATGGTCTTGTTTTCAAGAAAGTGACTGGAAGAGTGTTTTTCACTGGCATTAGACATTGTACCGATGGTGTTTGTCCGAGACTACGTTGTAAAACAAGAGTGAAGATGGGACACAAGCAGGTATTTTAAGTGCGCCCGCCTACCGTGAAGGGTCTCACATGTCACGAGTGATTCATCAATCAGAGGTTTGTACAACAATGTCAATGCCGTTAATTTCGTACCACGATCCATTCAATTTCGAAAGCAACGACGCCATGTTCAGCTTGGTCCAACATGATACTACAAATTACCAAACAAGACATTTGGCTGACAGACAATCTGAGGTTGCCTTGCGTCCGATTGGACAATCGCACTTGTAGATACGAATTTCCATTTCAGGCACACTCTTGCCAGTGTTTAAACCGTACGATGTCAGTGCAAGCTCTCGGAAGCGAGTAACTGCCAAGCGCTTAGCGGTGAATAGTTGGAAGACTTACCGAGCTTGTGGATGCCGGGATGGTGATGCTTTTAGCTCGGTGGACGAGTATCCGCTTGTGGTAACTCGTAAAAAAAGACGAATTTCCCGTTTGGATGAGACACCTCTAAGACATTGCCTCATGTTATCAAGGCCAGAACTGTCACTCGGTCTTCTTGTAAAATCACCAATAGGGGTTATGAGTATGTCTCGCTCTTCCGGGTCATCCCTTGATCATGAGGACCTACCAGTCCCAACACAAGTCGTAATACACAGTTAGTCCAATGGCTCTAGTACAGATGCAATGTTATACAGAAGTACTAATGAACGTATACTTGGAATACGCAAATGCATAAGTGTATAAAAAGCACCAACTTGATAGCTGTCTTTTAAGCCTCTCTTCTGGTGATTTCACCATATAGATGTCGAGTCTCTTGTTCATACCAGCTCTCCAGGCATCATGAATGCTACTACTAGGTAGGTAGGTAGATCCAGTGCATAATTCACACCCGCCTTGCCGCATTCTCCAGCGCAATATTGACACCCGCACCCCACTATTACACAGGGCGCTCTGCCCCTCCGACTTCAACTTTTCAACGCCCTTGTGAATGACCTGATATGAAATTTCTTTCCAGCTATTCGCCAACTTTTCCAAACGCAACCAGCCGGTCGATTTGCGACAAACAGATACAGAAATAGGCGGCCATGGCCGAACTCTCTTCAGCTCCCGTGCTGTCGACTCCAGACGACAACCTCTTCGCAACCACCCAACAAAGCGAAACCAAGTCCACGCTCTCTCTCGATGCGCTCAAGACGACATACGAGATCGCGCGCACTGCGACAGAGATCCGCCAAGGTGGATGGAAGAGAGTCGCGCTACAATTTCCAGATCACATGCTCGTCGACGCTCCAAGAGTAGTGGAAGTGCTAAAGCAGGAACTGGAAACCACAAGCACGGAAGAGGGCGCGAAGGAATGGAGGATATGCATTCTGGCAGACACAAGCTACAGCGCCTGCTGCGTCGACGAGATTGCGGCCGAACATACACATGCAGACGTGGTAGTCCACTATGGAAGGACATGCTTGAGTCCGACGAGTCGATTACCGGTGATATACGTATACACGTCGCAGGAGCTGGATTACGATGCCGTCACTGAGCAATTCACCAAAGAGTTTGGTCACAAAGATACAAAGGTCGTCATCATGGCAGACTTGACATATCAGAACCACGTGGAGCCGATATCAAAGGCGCTCGGAGAGTTGGGATACAGCAACATAGTAGCGACGGAAGTAATCAGAGACCCTGCTGGGGTAATACCCAACAGGAGAATATCGGGCGACCCAATAGAAGAAGAACTCCTCAAGTCGCATTCGCTATTCCACATTTCCGATCCTCCCGCATCTCTGCTTCTCGCGCTCCAGTCCCGATTCGCCTCCCTACATGTCCTCTCTATACCTTCACCGTCGTCTCCCACCCTCGACAACCCGACCTTCAGAACAGCAGGTCTTTTGCGCCGGCGCTTCGCTCGCGTCCTCACCCTTGCTTCGGCGGGCGTCATTGGCATCCTCGTCAACACACTCTCCGTATCAAACTATCTCTCATCGATTGACCTTTTGCGGAAGAAGATTGCAGCCGCTGGAAAGAAGAGCTATACCGTTGTTGTGGGCAAGCTCAACCCCGCCAAGCTGGCCAACTTTGCCGAAATTGAGGGCTGGGTCGTTGTAGGATGCTGGGAAAGCGGGCTGATTGAAGAAGATGCCGGCTACTGGCGGCCTGTCATTACGCCTTTTGAGATGGAGGTGGCGTTGATGAGCGAGGAAGTACGAGTATGGGGTGGAGAGTGGTGGGGAGGCATTGAGAAGCTAAAGTTGGAAGTTGATGATGGTGCTAAGAAGGAAGACACGGACGGCAAGACAGACGGTGAGAAGGTTGAGGGAGATGCGACGGCTGAAGATGGCGCTGGAGACGATCTGGATGAAGAGGAATCGCTACCGCCCGTATTTGACCTGCGAACGGGAAAACTCGTCAGCAGTAGCAGGCCAATGCAGCTTCCGATGAGAAGCGCACCCAAGGCTCAGCAAGTGGACGGCAACAGTGAGCCGCGGTCATCGGATGCATTGATAAAGAGAAGAGTGGGCGAATTGGCGAGCATCAACGGTGTGGCCAGCCCCGGCGCGGAATATCTCCGATCTCAGAGGACATGGCAAGGACTGGGCAGCGACTTTAACGACGACGCCAGCACAGTGATGGAAGAGGGCCGAAGCGGCATTGCAAGAGGCTATCATGTGGGTGAAGAGGCGGACAAGCACTAGTGCTCATGCGGAATGTTTGAGACGTGAACAAACGTTTTCATGATGACCACGTGGGACACGTATGGGATATAGAGTTGGATAAAGTAGAAACTTTGGCCATTGATCATTCACTCATCGCAGGCAATCAAGGCTGCTAGATATCATCAGGGGCTTCCACCTGCCGGCCCTCGTACTATATACAAAGCGCAAAAAAATGTAAATATCCTCCTGAATTGGGACTGCCCAACATGTACATCGTCAAAAGAAGAAGAGAAAGACCGGACAAAACATAATCGTTGCAGCAATCGTGCCTCTCTTTCAGTCATTGTCATCAGTACGGCGACTGATCATCCTTTAAAACCCAGCCACGTCCTTCGTGTACGGAGACGTTGACGTCTAATCCGTTGCCAGTAACCCCCCCTTCATTAATTGCGCTTGCCTCCCCCCTTGTTCCCTTTGAGCGCTCCCCATTATACGTATACTCGCCGAGCAGAGTGGTAGCTGTGCCCAGAGCCCGAATGGCTGCGATGATGATGGCTATGACGGCCGCTATGCGAGTGCGAGCTCCGTCGCACGACGCGCTCCTCCACAACGACGCTATCGCCATGCATCCACGCGGCAAACGCAGTCACGGCAAAGAAGACGGTGTTGATAATGGCAAACGCCCACGAAGCCTTGAGCATGGCGCAGGGCTTGTTGACGCCCCAAGAGAAGCCCGGGATGCCCACATCATGCACCTTGTTGTACCAAATCTCGTCCCTCGCGGGATCTTGACAATCGGCGAATTGGATCCCGCGTAGAAAGTAGATGCCGGCGATGAGGGCGCCGAGGAAGCAGAGGTCGACAAAGGAGACGAAGAGCGCGTTGTGGGAGGAGCGGCTGTAGGCGAGGAGGGTGAAGAGGCACCAGGCGAGGGCGAGGACGGTGACGATGAAGAGGACGAGGATGGCGTTGGGGGTGAGGACGTTTGCGTCGTTGAACTTGCCGACGAACCAGCTGAGCATCCCAACCGGCGGTGTCTAGAAGGGAATGAGTATGTTTGGTAGAGAATTGCGATGCGATGCGCTGAGAGGAGGGGAGAGACGATGAGTGGGGGAGAGGGAGAGAGCTTACCAGAGTGACGATTTGCGAGATGCGAGTGCATACAAAGACGATTGCGAACAGCATCGTGGGCGGTTGGGGAGGGTCGCAGATGCGACAAGTGACGATGACGACGACGATGTGACGGTATGCAATTGGGATTGATCTGAGCCGGTCCAATTTGGAGCGCCGCAGCTGAAGCAATCAAAAGTCTCAGGCAACACAAAGCTATGCTACCTTGTGTACAGTATAGCAAGCAGCCTTGGTTTCCAATCACAAGGAATGATGCAACACAAGAAAAGAAAGAGAAGATCTCTCAAAAAAAAAAAAAAAAAAAACGTGGCAATGCGCCTCCACGCCGCTTTTATTATTCTACCTGGTCTAGTACCTGAATCCCAACCCATGCTAGCATTGCGTGCATATGCGCGTCGACTGAATATGAGGTGGTTGGGGAGAAACCCGCTGCTTTGGGTTTAAAAACACCAAGAGATGGTTGTCGTATCTTGGGGGGGGGGTGTGGCGGGGAAGCTGAACAAGGAAATAGAGAGCGAAAAAGGCCCTTTGCGCGGGATTTTCTCGTCACGGATGGGCTAGAATGTTGGCTACCTTGCTAGACAAATCAATACTTGGCAGTATGAAGCTAAACCCAGCTCTTGTGAGAGGCGGGATGGAGTCAAAGAAAACAAGATGGATGCATGTTGCGCAATCAACGAAGCTGTAAGACAAGCATGCAGCAGCAAAAAGCAGGGGAAAACCCGTCGTTGGTGGTGGGGGGGGGCTGCCAACCAACCGATAAAAGTGGCTGGGCTGAAAGGCTGCTTCTGCCAGGGGTCTTTTTTCTTTCTTTCTTTAATCTTTTGGAGAACACGAAGAAGAGAGAAAAACGTGGCTGGTAACCCAGAGCAGAAAATAAAAAACAACCAGCCACTCGAATATCCGCGTAAAACAGGCAAATAGTTCCCGCAAGCTAATGGGAGCCAAAAGTTGAATTGCGGCAACGGCGTATTACTTTTTGGCGACGCCGCAAACTCTACTGTATGCGAGAAGTTACGTACTAGCAGACGTGAGATGAGATGAAAGGAACTGCAGTTGGTTGACCCAGAATCATCGATCTCCTCTGCAGAGACCTCATTTTCAACCCCCAAACAAAGGCACTTATACTGCATACAAGGCATTGATCATGCAAAAGTTGGGCACACCGCCTGCCACGTGTTTGGCTGTCAACGCTGTGTTCGTCTCGTACGAGTACTCGCAAGCCCTCAATGCTGGCAACGTGAAATCAACAAAGTAACTGTCCCGCTTGTTGGACGTGTCACTTTTCTCCTTGTCAACGTCTTTGTTCCGTCACTCCGCTTGTGGGCCGAGACAACTTGAACTTGTGGGGTCGGCACTCAGCAGTCGCACAGACTTTTAATTCCCGGATGCACGATTCTGCTCTCGTGGGTAGGGCGGCATACAGTCAGGACTTGTGATGCGAACCACAAAGACGCAGGGATGAACAACCACCGGATTCCATGCTGCATCTGACATTTCAGCATCGAAACAATCACCGTTGAAGCAGGAAATCGATTCAAGACTCATATATATTCATACTGTCGCTCTTTTTGGCCGTTGCTGGCATAATCAATAGGTAGTGACATCAAATTCCGTAGCAAACCGTTGGACAAGAAGGAAAATCCTCATAAAGGTGTATTAGGGTATCATCACTCCAGTTCCAAGCATTCAGCATCTCCGCATCGCATCGCATCGCATCGCATCATTGCCGCATTTCATGTCCATCATTCTCCCCCTTCTTTTTCCCATCTTCCGTCCCGCTCGTTCCCATCAAACAAGGCTCAAAACTTCTAAACATTTGAGGGAGTCGTCTTGTCAGCCCGTGCGTGGCCCCTCAAGGTAGTCAAGCCCTCGAGAACCGTGAGCGCCATGAATCCTGCCCACAAGAAGAACCCAAACGCGACTCCGGCCTGCGAGGTCTGGCAAAAGGTGTTTCCGTGGCATGCAGGAACTCCGATAAAGGCGGCCATGGCGATCGCACCGGCAAACCAGAAAATAGTCGTAATGACCAAGAGGACAAACGCTGCAAGAGCATGGTAGAGGCGCGCCAGGTAAAGCGGCGTGATGGCCAGGTAGACGAGGATGATCAAGCTCCAGATGGAGTTGAAGAGCATAAACGCATAGGTGGCGGGAGACGAATAGCCAAAGCCGGAAGTGACATTGACAACTACAAGGCGCAATGTTAGTCGGAGACACAGTAAGAAAATAACAGGCTTGTCAAGATCAACTCACGATAGCCTGTGATGCCGAGCTCGATGATGACGAGGACCGCAAGCACGATGTGGATAATGGTAATCATTCCGAGCGCCATGTTGGGCAGTAGTTTAGGCAAGCGGCCTTGTTCTGGTGATAAAAATCGATGACTCTTTTCTGAGAGGCCTTGTAAAGCTCTGGAGCGCACAACTTTGCAAAGAGCCGCACAGGTGTCTGGAGAAGCCGATCAAACGCAGAGGGCGGGAGGAGAGAAAGGTTTTAATAACACCAGAGAAGCTGTGAGTACAAGGAGTGGCGTCGAATTGGATGTTGAAAGCTGCGGAGCTAACTGTGAGGGTGTGTCGGCTAGAGGATGGCGTGTAATGACGGTCCAGTCACTGCAGAGAGAGGCCTTGGTGAAGGGGCCAGTTTCGGGCTAGTTGGGCTTGAATGCGTCTGTTCTCGTTTTGGAGCGACTGTGACTGTTTGACGTTGACTTGCTGCGAAGGAATACAGTAATCACCACCAGAGTGTGTGTTGGTCAGAGTTTGGCGGGTGAAGAAGGATGAGAAGAGAAGAGTTGAGAATGGGATCAACAGAACAGACACGACACGATACGAGCGAGGCACGAGAGGATTTAATACTCGGTAGATCTACCTGCTTGCAAGGCAAAGGCAAGGCAACCGACGACTTACACAGGACAGGATCTACTAAAGCAGCCGCTGCCGTGCAAGGCAAGTCAAGTCAATCACAGCAACAAAACAAAACGCTTGGAAGAGCTCGACTGCGTGATGTCATGCGATGTGGCTCGTCACTACGTCACCATGAAACCCGGCAGCGTTAACAAGAGACCCGGCAAGAACCAACGATGCCAACCGGTTAAGCGCCAGCTGCCCTGTTTCATCCGTGCCGCGCCCAGGTATCTCCAAGGTACCAGGCTAACCGCGGGAGGTCGCCTTTTCAGCTCCACTGCAGGCTAGCAGCAAAACCGGCAGATGATCAGACAGTGTCGACTTGCACGTTCGCACTGATGATGCAAGCAAGTCAAACAAGCTGCGAATCTACTGCTACTGTACAGTACTCTAGCCTGACACCGGACCAGGGCTTGCAGGGCCCTCTCTTTCACTGCCCTCGACAAAGGACAAAGAAAAAAGAATTCAGACAGAATTGATGGTGGTCCAATTTACACGCCTCCCCTTGATTGGGCCACAGTGGCTGAGCTATGCCGTTTTGTACAGCCCAAATGGCGTGGCCTGCCTACGTGCTGATGACGGCGCGTAGTGGCTGGTTTAGCCGCAATCCTGCGTGGAATGCTGGGTGATGACGGTGAGACTTGGAGATGGAACCCTCTGTCTGATTCCAAACTTGAAGCGAGAGCCACAAGACAAAGAGAAGAACGGATTGATTTTGACTGGCCTTGTCGCGAGCTGCTGCTGATGCTGATGCTGATGCTGATGCTATTTTCAGATCCCGGCGACGCTCTTTGCGCTTCACATTCCTCTCGTTGAAGCAACGCCTTGCCCTCATGATTGGCCCGTCTAGCATCAGTTGTAAAACAATCAGGGTGGCCAAGCGGAATGCTGGACAAGCCGACAGGACAGGGGTCGGAACACCAGCAAGGGCGCGCGTATTCGGACTTGCTGATGCGCCATAGGTCAGCAATAATCAACTGCCACACACACAAGCTGCAGAAAGCAGATGCTCAGCTGCCATGACGGGAAGCAGAATGCCGAATATTACGGGAGTTTGTCCTCGCTGTGCTGTCCGCGACGAGTTGGAAGCTCGCAGCTCGAATCCACTCATAATCGAACCACTAAAAAGAGAAGAGAGAGTGTGTGTGTCGCTTCATGTTGTTTTGATTTGATTCGAGATTTTTTTGCAAAAAAAGACGTCGTGAAACTCGATCCAGCCAGGGGTCGAACCTGGAACCTCTGCCACCGGAAAGCAACGCGCTGCCATTGCGCCACTAGACCAATTATATGGCTTCGCCCGAGTCCAAACCACTTGTTGAGGATGCACAATGTGAAAGTCGAGGCGGCAGGATATCAGTTGGTTGGCTGAGATCAAATCTCCCGAGCAACGTGTTTGTTGAGCATGGAGCTTCTTGTGCGACAGACGCTGGTTCCTACTAGAAACCGACTAAATGATTGGCCAGAGGAGCGCCATTGGATCAAGATCCAGTAGTCTCGGTATTTGTGATGAATGACATGGAAAGGTTACAAAGAGCTGTATCCGCTCAATGCTTTGAAAGACCAGAGCCTTGTTTCTTATGATTGTTCAGCTTCACCATAAGTCGTCATCTGAATAAGCAATCATGGATGCCACTCGCGGCCTTCACTTTGCTGTGCGAACCTGCGTACTGCTAGGAGCCCACGGGAAGAAGAATGCGACTTACATGCCTTGTTATTATGCGGCAGTTATCACGGGTGTCTTCTGACAGCAACTGTCAGTGAAGAAGCACCTCACTTGTCTCTTCCACAGAGTCGTTTTCATTTCATGGCGGAATCAAATACTCTTGGTGTCCGACTCGGGATTTGTAAGCCAACTACGTGTGGACTTTCATTATCGAAATACCAAACAGCTTTTGCAATGTGCTCATCATGCTCAGCTCATCCGCATCCTACTTCGGGTCTAGATTGCATACGAGTACTCATAGTGATTTGCATGGCCCATCCAAGAGAATGGAGCCATCAATTGGCGGCCGACCGCGGCCGCCCACCAACCTAGACCATGTCCGCACAAGTCCGCCAACATGGCTCTGGCATCTCAAGTCCGATACAAGTTACACCTCCGTCTCAATCCACCGTCCAATCCTAAACACATACTTGCACATCTCGTTCTGGCAGGCTCATTCTCCGCGTTTTCATGGTTCAACGTTGTTGAGTTCCCATAGTTTTGCAGTTATGAGTTTCGATCTACCTTCTCCTGAAAGTGTTGAAGGACCCACACGGGAACGGGCAGACAACGTCTGTCTCTCTTGTCGCCGTAAGAAGAAGAAGTGTGACAAGGCGCTGCCCAAATGCCTACATTGCACGCGGTAAGCTACTAGATTCCGTTTTTGATCTTTTGACGAGATGGTGGGCCTAGACTCATACTGCCAGGTTGCATATACAATGCGTATACGAAGATGCCGGCGATAGCGTGCCGGTAATAGAAGAGTTCCGCCAGCTGAGGAAGAGACTCAAGCTCTTCGAGGAGATGCTCGTCCCTGGCGCTTCCAGAGTGTCCAGGTCAACCCACTCAGCCGCAGGCCCGGACCCTGCCGAGACAGCGAGTCAATTGGGACCAATCGATTATGAGGCCGATTTCATCTCACGCCTAGACGCGCTTGCCTCCAAATTGAATGTTGGTGAAGAGGTCTATCAACTTCTCCAGTCGCATCCAGGGGAGATATACAGAGCATTAAGCCTTTACTTTGACAATGTCCACAAATGGATACCCATCATGTCACAAAAGCTATTCTATAGCAGGATGACAGACTTTAGCAAGACGAAACGTCCAGATTTTGCCATTCTCTTGCTCAGCATCCTCTTGTCGATCCACTGCCCCGCAACGGGCACGGCACCAGAACCATTATACGAGGCAACGCGTTCCATATTCTGGAGTGTAAACGCAACCGTAGATGCATCCTTGGAAATGATACAAGCAGGAGTGCTCTTGTCATGCTACGAGTACGGGTTCGGCATGTATAAAGAATGCTACAAAACCATTGGCGTATGCGCACGAATGGGTCATTGGATGGACCTGCAAGATGAAAAGCCGCCGTCCGACCATCTTCGATATAGCGATGAATGGATCAGAGTAGCCGAGCGATGCAACGTCTGGTGGGCATTGGTTATACGCGACAGGTTCGAGCACCGGTTGATTACCCAAAACTCCGATCGAGCACCAACTGATGCGCTTACATGCAGGTCAACCATGTTGCACGATGCCACGTTCTCCAAGCCGTTTGCAATCAACCTGGCCTCAATGCCGCAGCACCTTCCCTTTGAAGCCTTTGATCTTGATCCTTCCTTTTCTCGCCTTGGCGACGCCGTTCTTACCCAGGATCAAGAGCCCGGCGTGTTTGGCTATCAGGCAAAGGCGTGGTGTTTGTTTGACAGGACAGTATCTTTCCGCCATAGTCTAGCGACCACCCAGGCATCAGATCATGGTCATCTGGAAGATGAGAAATATCAATTGGATATTGAACTTCAACAACTGATGAGAATACTCGTTGAGCTGTCTGGTGGCGCCGTGTGTGGATATTGTGAGCCATCCGCCATAACGCTCGTGTAAGTCATCGTGGTGATGAGCAACAAAAAGAGGAAAAGATGAATGCTAACTTGTTCTTGTTAAAGTTCACTTCTCCTTCTACACAGTCGACATCCACTCCTCACGGCGGACAATCTATGCAAGGGCGATGTGAAAGGTTTCCCACCATCATGTCGTGGGGCCTCCGCATTAGTAGTCAAGACAAATTGTTCGCATGGTTGTCGATGTGGCGGACACCATTAATAACCATTACCGTAAGATTAATATAATATCGTTCCCGCCGACGTATTGCCACGTCATTTATCGGGCCACCTTGGAGCTGATTTCTTTCCGCGACGACATGGACGAGGCGGAGTGGACGACGGCGCTTGAAACACTCCGAGAGGCTACCTGGAACTATGGCAGGAGGTGGCAGGCTGCGGGTAAGTTCTTTTTTTGGTGAATGATGGCGTGGAAAGCAATGTATGACTAACTACTTATGCCGCCTCGTTACAGCGAAGCATCTTCAAGTTGTGGATAATGTGCTTTCGGATGTCTTGCCTGATTCGCCATCCACCTTTAATTACTTTCAACCAATTCAAAACGATCCGTGTTTGGTCGCATTACTGTCTAAATAAGACTCTTCTAGCTCTGTTTTGTATTGTACAGTTGCAAATTTCAAAGAGACATCATATGGTTTGGATAGAAGGTGGTAGAATGTAAAGAATGTAATTGTATCATCACTAGAATCGTCCACCAGCTAGACTTTATAACTAGAGAATGCCCGTTATATACAAGTCTTTGATTATTTCTTTGTCTTAGTCTCCGCTCTCGTCCAAGAATAACATGTCCACCGGCGGAGTTGCTAGTCAGTCAACTGGGGCCGGGAACTGCAAACCCAGGTAAGAAGCGCGGCCGCCGTCGGCCGCGACGAATCAAAGCAGGGGGGGGTGAACTACATTGCAACTTGAAGGCGGACGTAGCAAGATGAATAGCGGCGAAAGGACAATTTGACCGTTGGAGTTTTGCTTATTGATTGTGGCATTTGTAACAAATGGTACTTATTAGCAACAAGGGGGGTGATGTAGTATCAGATGTATATAAATGTGCCTGTTCTTCTCGACAAAGCAAGAAGATGATCATCACACTCACAGCTCAACAATACAGTCTATTCTTTCACACTTGTCACCCATTGAGTCTAAACATCTTTTATCAAAATGGTTACCGTCGCAGTCGCTGGAGGAGGCTCAGCCATCGCCTCCAACATCATCAACGCCATCCTCGCAACCAAGAAGCACCAACTCGTCATCCTCTCTCGCTCCCCACGCCCCGAACTCGAAGCCCGAGGCGCCATCGTCAAAGTCGTCGACTACGACTCCCACGAGCAGCTCACCAACGCTCTCCAAGGCGTCCACACCGTTCTCAGCTGCATCTGGGCTTACGGCCCGGCCGTAGGCACCTTGCAAATTGCTCTGCTAGAGGCAGCCAAAGAAGCCAAGGTGAAGCGCTTCGTGCCATCGGAATGGTCCATCCCCGCATACGACCGAGTCGCCTTTTACAAGGCCAAGGAGTCCGTCTGGGAGGCTGTGAAAAAGTCTGGGTTGGAGTACACGCGCTTCATCAACGGCATGTGGATGAACATCTGGGCCGCCGGCGCGCCGCGAGACGAAGAGGCTGGCCGGGCTGGATACAAGGGCCCGTCCTTGATAGTCGACATCAACAGCGGCAGCGTCACCATTCCGGGGGACGGCTCCAAGGTAATCAGCGTGACGGACATGCGAGACGTCGGCAAGTACGCCGCCGCGGCGCTGGATTTCGAAAGGTGGGATGAGGACAGCGTGATTGTCGGCGACAAGTTTACCGTCAATGAGCTCGTTGACAAGGTTGAAAAGATTACGGGGAAGAAGTTTGACAAGTCGTACATCTCGCTGGACGCTATGGAGGCAGTGATTGCTGGGGACGCGGATCTGGGGACGCGGATGATTCATGAGTTCCTCAAGATTATTGCTCTGGGAGAATATGACCTGACGCCTAATGTCAACCAGAGGGTTCCAGAGGTGAAGCCACTCAAGATTGATGAGTTTTTGGCAACGCACTGGGCTGCGTGAAGGGAGTCGATTTGATTAAATGGGGATTATACATCTGGATGATGTATGAAACTTGCACTACAGCATACGCTTTGATATAAATGAAGACAGTTGTTCCAAATTTGAGTAGATTCTTTCAAGCTATAAACCCTGTTTCGTATAAACAAACTCCCCTTTTTGCAAATGAAGTACATGATAACCACCCATTGATCAACGCGATATCCAAACATGCATACAAACATGTATAACAACCCATATTTACACAGACAAGCAAGCCTTCCACAGAGTCGTCGACTTGTTGAAGAGAGAAGTCTTGTTAGGCTGATCGGTAGCACCGCCGAATCCTCCAAAGACATCCAGCTCAGCGCTAACATCAACTTCAACACCAACCTCAGCAATGCCAGTGTTGGCACCACACTGAGCAGTACCAGCAGAAGTAGCCTGGCCGGCAAAATCAGCCTTCAGAACGGGAGCCTGGAGAGCGAGTCCTCCGACAAGACCCTCGCCGAGGAAGGTAGCCGCAAGCTGCAGGGTGAAGACGGGAGCAACCTGGGCCGACAGGGACACCTCGCCGCTGAGGCTGAGGCCGGTGGCCTGGATAGTGGGCTGGAGGTTGAAGCCCTGGCCGAGGGTGAAGCCGGAGCCGTCGGGGAGGCTGGCCGAGGCGCCGACGGTAGCCGTGGCCGAGGCGCTGAAGCCGGAGATCTCGGCGGCGGCGACAATGGTCAGCTCGGGCCCGATGTCGACGACGTCGGCGATGGAGAAGCCGGCCAGGGGCACCGTGGCGATGGGGATGTTGGTGGACAGCGGCGAGCTGATGCTGCCGCCGGCGGTGACGCTGACCTCGACGGTGGCGCCGAAGTTGCCCGAGGTGGTGAGCGAGGCCTCGAAGCCGTCGGACAGCGACAGCGTGATGTCGGCGTTGAGGGTGCCCTGGGTCTTGCAGTTGGCGCAGGCAATGGCCAGGTTGACGCCGTCGATGGTGGTGCTGTAGATGGGCTGCGAGAAGTCGTGGCCAATGTCGATGCTCACGTCCTTGCTGACCTCTCTAGCCGAGTTGCCCGCCGTCGGCACGCCCGAGATGCGGATGCTGGCGTCCTCGGCAAAGTCCCTCCAGGCAGCCTTTGTCGCGGCGAAGAGCGCCGTGTTGGCGGCGGTGTCGTAGGTGATGGACTCGACGGAGAAGGGCTGGCGGCCCTTGGCGCCGGCGCAGGCCTCGTCGTCGGCGACGTAGATGATGGTGTTGCTGGCGGCCTGGTTGACCCATTTCCACGCGGCCTGGGCGGCCTGCAGGGAGGAGGCGCTGCCAAACTTGATGGTGATGTCGTCGTTGGAGCAGTCGACGGACTGGACGACGTCCTGGAAGTTGGGGGCGCTGAGGAGACGGAAGTTCTTGGAGGCCTGGAGAGTCATGTTTGCCTGGATGCCTAACGGAATGTGTTAGAATACATAGCCATCACGAGATGAATCTTGCTTATACGAACCTTGGTCATCGTGAGTCCAGATGAAGTTGTCCTGGCTTGCCAGAGCCAGGTTCGAGCCGTCGCCGCTGGCGGGGGCAGCAGGAGTCAACAGGATCTTGTTGGCCACAGCTGAAGCCGCAACATCCCTCTTCAGGAGCACCGGGCTCGCAGAAGCAAAGTTGGTCAAGGCCAACAAAAGGCCGGCCGAAGCAGCGCTCTTGACAAACATGATGAACTGGTGTTTTTGTTCTTTACAAATAAGATGTTGTGATTCGAGAACAAGGTCCTAGGCCTGCAAGAAACTCCAAGGTCGAATGAAGAATCAACTGCTGGCTTGGGAGTTCCATCATCAACACAGAGTGAGGCCGTCATCATTCTAATATACTTCGCGATACCTCAATGGCCGATGAAGGAAATCGTACCAGATCGTGCTCGGCTGCCTTCAATGCCGTGAAAGTAAAGGGTCCTCCCAGGACTGGAGCCCGCTGTCAGCAAGGCCCCCGACTGAAACACCACCTGCCTTTACGGAACCATCCGAAACCCATGCGCGGACAAGGGGTGCCCCCCCAAACGTGCGTTGATCCTCGCGATAGTCCCTTGATTCTAGAAGAAACAGCCAAGCCTTAGCACTTACTCACTGACTCTTTTCCTGCTTCATCTTCCCTTATTATTTGTTTTACTCTTCTTTTTTTTGTTTATCGTCGTGCACAGCCTCCCGCGGCATCCCCGTGGAACTAGCCGAACGGCTCTCATAAACCCCCCCCCCCCGTACTAGCGTTTCGCCATTTTTGTTGTTTACTCGCTGGCTAAGCTTAATCAGTTAGGTTGCAGATTGCAGCATCGTCTTTCTGAGAAGGTGTACTCGTATTGTGCCATGTGGGGAGGACTGGCAGAAGTGCCACAAATCGGACAAGGCGGGTTGATCATTCGGAATATCCACCACTCGGTGAAAGAGATACGAGATACACACACGCGATGAGCTACTTTTTGTTTCTTCAACCTTCTTTGTTTGTCTTCTTTTTAACTCGGCTGCCTATAAAGATCGGATTCGAGGCCCACGTTCCGAGAGTAACATCCGGTACGGACGGCAAACTGGGCCATGGGGGGACAAGAACCTCGCAATGATACCGGGGTAGCCGGCCGGGGGGGAGGAACACGCTTGATTGCAACGTTTGTGGAGGTGGAGGGGATCGCCGCATTGAGGCTCATCAAACTACTCCAGCCGCGCCTTTTTCTTGGCTGAATCGCATGTGAAATCTAGCCTTGTCCTCGGCCAAAACTGCACATGCCTTACTTTCTTTATCTCCTTCTGTCTGCATGGCGCCATTTGGGTGCCGGATGCCGGCCCCACTTCTGGGGGACCCCGGCTCCGAAGGCATCCCGGCCATCGGCAATTTAAGAAAATGGCCGTTAGGCGAGTAATCGCAATCGATGCAGCGATTTGGCTGATGACGTGCTATAATTATTGTTAGAAGAGTCGTTTAGGTACGTATCAAGCGGCGTCCGCTGCGTAAATCATCTAATGTGTCGTCAGTATGGAGTACAGAGCTACGGAGTAATATTTCAGCAAGGTCTCTAAAGCATACGGAATATCTCCATTACAGGCAAGCTGACACTAATATCCAGCATCCAGCATATAGTTTATCCATCCGGAATTATTGCTTGGGGTTGGGAGAACACTACAATATCCTATTCGTGGAAAGTACTGCCGGTCCTAACTTCAACTGGCACCGAAACGATTAGCCACCTCCACCATCCAGGTGACGACATCGCACAGGATATGCCTTCAACACTACTAGCAAGGGTTCGCTACATAAAGCTATAACAATACACAACATGCATAGATTTGGCCAGATAAACGCGCGCTGCCTCCGAAAGAGGCTCTGCACAATACGAGCCCCCATGCAAATGCGGAGCCTCTAGAAAGCCATGTAATTGCCAATTGCGGAATGTCGACACAGAATGGCATGTGGGATTCACCGTACTCTTCTAGAACGGGGTCGGAATGCCTTGTTGGGCTAAAACCGGCCGATTATCCATCTTTAGACTCGAGATTGTGACTTCGAGATGGCCCGTCAGTTTACTCTCGTATTATCTTCGGCCGATTAGCAATATCGATACATTGTTGCGCGCCTTTTTTGAGATGGACTTGCAAAATCGAGCACTGGGAGGATGATATCACGTCCGAATGTTACGCCACAATCATGAGGCATCTACGCAGGTTCCTTTGATTATAAAAGATCCCGGTATACTTGTAAAAATGCTACCTGACTTGTATCTCATTCGCCCATGTACGAGCAAACCGCCAAACTGGGCATGGGGTTTCCAACTGCTACAATGGGCAAATGATACCTTTTCTGTTTTTGGCTACCAATTCAATCTATCCGTGATTATATAATGCAATTCCAAACTTTTGTGTGTGTCCAGTCTAGTTGCTCTCAGTCTTGAGATCCTCCTCCACCTGGGCTTTGACGACCTCGCGCACCTTCTCCCATGAATTCTCCACGAGTGCCACGCGCCTCTCCTTTGTAGAGAAAGCCTTGAACTCTTCAGGAAGCACCTGCTCTTCAAAGTTGAACTCAGGCTCCTCGCCCAGCGCCGTCGCAACGACGCCGGAGAACTTGGCGGGGTGGGCAGTCGAGAGCGAGATGTGGTGTGTTTGCGGCCCGGCGCGAGCAATGGATCTTTCTGATGCCGTGACACCCACAGCCGAGTGAGGATCCAGGACGTACTTGGTCTTCCCGTAGCACGACTTGATCGTCTCCACAGTCTCCGCATCGCTTACGCGCTCGCTCTCAAAGGTTCGGCGGCCGTTCTCCAAGATCTCCTCATGGACCGGCCCGAAGCCCCCAGTCGTTTTCAGGGATTTATACCAGGCAGAGACTTCCTGTCCGGCCTGCTTCCTGTTGAACTCCTCATCCATGCCAACCGTCGCGGCAAAGTCTAGAGGCGAGTTAGTTTTGTGAATGAGGAAACTGGACACGAGACCGAGAAAAAAATACCTCTTGCAAGGAACCACATTAGTCTCTCGAAGTTGCTAGAGACCAGGATATCCATGGCTGGGCTCATGGTTTCCTTGCAGTTTCCGGCCTTGGAGCCGTTCTCGTCTGGAACACCGCTCTTTTCATATCTGCCAGTCATCCAGAATCGGTGCAAGATATCGTTCCTATGGGTGACGGTTGTTAGCAAAATCCCCCCTCCATCTGTCAACCACTCTTTCTTGTGAACAGCTTGACCACTGGGTGGCTAATGCAATCATGGGATTCCTTGCTACTTACTCATTCGTTGCCACTAATTGATCAATTAGTTGTGATTTCACATACGGAATTGGTAGTTGGAACAAAACTTACCAACAAGCTTGGCCACAGGAAGACCCATCTGCTTGGCAAAGTATCCCGCCAAAATGTTGCCAAAGTTTCCCGTGGGAGTCACAAATCTGACCTTGTCTCCAACCTGGAAAGAAGAAGACTGTCTGGCGAGGGAAAAGTATGAGTGGAAGTAGTAGACGATTTGAGCGAGGATTCGGGAAAAGTTGATCGAGTTGACAGCGCCGAGCTGCAAAGCTTCGTTGGAATCGGGGTCGCCAAACATGGCCTTGACGATATCCTATATGCCATCATCAGTAAGCAGCCCTCAAATTTTTCTCAGTCTCCAACCAACCTGGCAGTCGTCGAAAGTTCCCTCAATGGCAAGGTTGTGAACGTTTGCATCCAGGCAAGTCGTCATCTGAGCCTCTTGAATGGGGCTGATGCGGCCCTTGGGGTGCAGGATGAAGACTGAGACATCCTTCTTGCCCTTGAGGCCATAAATGGCGGCAGATCCAGTCTATGTAGGTGTCAGTTGTATCGTTTTCTACTGTGTACGGTGTGAAAGCTTACATCACCACTTGTTGCGCCCACAACCGTCAAATGATGCCTGTCTGCCGGCCAGTTAGCATCCGACTGGAGCTTTTCGACATGTAGAAAGCCCACCTTTTCCGACCTTGCCCTGGTTCTTTCGGACAAGAAAGTATTCAAACAGATTTCCTAAAAATTGCAAAGCACCTTGTAAAGTGTCAGATTGGTGATGTCACCACAGTCGTTCATACTGAACCCACAGTCTTTGAAGGAATAGCTCGGGCCGTGGAACAGCTCCAGAAGGTATAGGTTGTCTTCCAGGTGAGTCAGGGGAGCGACATCCTCAGCGCGAAATGTCGAATAGCTTCGGTCGATGATGGCTTTCAGGTCGTCGGCGGGGATCTCGGATCTCGAAATGTAGAGGCTGAGGATCTCAAAGGCCAGCTCGGCGTAGGAGAGGTCTTTCCAGTTGCGCTGCAGCCAGTCTTAGCCATTGGTCCACGCAGACGCAATAAGACGGCAGAAGCCATCCATGCGACAGGATAAACCACAGTGCTGCATACGTACCCAGTTGTCCGCAGAGGGAATCTGGTGCGGCAAGAAGAGCCCTCCGTCAGCGGCGAGTCCCTTGAGGACAACGGTCTCGAAGGAGAGCTGCGAAGAGTCAGCAGGTGGCCACGGGCATCGCCCAACGGGGGGGGAAAAAGAGAACAAACGTCGTAATCGCCGCCTCTGGTGGAGAGATAGACTTGCGACTCGCCGTGAGTCTTGTCCTGTGTGCTGTTGGCCATTTTGTCGCAGTTGCACGTTTGTTGTTTGTCTTGGTGATGCCCCTCCGATCTGTGGTGGGTAGGTTTTGAAGTGTGAAGTCCGCCGCCGGAGGATCAATCGGCCGGCCGAAACCGGAAAGCCAGTGAACAGTCAGAGGCAAATGCGCTATAACACGTGGAAACGCCGCCTGTGCCAAGGACGAATAGGGATCGGTCTCTACCTTAGATGTAGGTACATGTACCTAGTAGCCATTACCTGTTAGACATATGGAAATGTAACCATGTACGCATTATATCGGCGAATTACTCTAAAAGATGCCTGTATTCTCTCTCGATAATACCTACTTGCGCGGAATGTATATATATGTATGTACATGTACTCCGTCTATAACACCGCAGCCCTCTTCCAAGGAACAAGCCAAAAGCAAAATAACCTGGATCCTGATGGAAAAAATGAAAGTCAAAATGAAATTCAAGTAATAAGGTTCGCCAACCGAAGAGATAAATCATGACAAGGGCTCCTGGTCGTTAAATGTAAGAACAAGGTCGCTGGCTTGGACGTATTTCATCGTCGCAGCGGGCATCAGTAGTCCTCCAAGCACCTCCAGCCCATTCTCATTCCCATCAGGCGTCTCCTTGAGGCCAAAAATCTCCCAAACATGGCCCAGCTCCGTTGCGATTGCAGTCGCCACGGCGAACCCACTCCCAATCCTAGAGATCAGCTTGGTTATCCAACCTCGCTGCCACTGTGTTCTAGATCTAGCACCAGCTATCCGCAATGGAAACAAGAACAGCAGCGGCGAGAGGTTAGTCGTGTCTAGAGCCAAGCTAGAGAGCCCAAGTATTGTGTTTGTATGCGTTTGGACGGCTTGTTCATCCAGCGTGGGCGGTATGAGACCAAGCTGGTGCCAATGAGTGAGTTCGTAGTCGAATATGCCCGACAAGTAGATGCTGATGGCGGCAAAGAATATTCTCGAAAGTAACATGCTAGCATCTTCATCATCAGAAAGGCAGGTGGCTGATTTAGCTGCAGGTTGCGCATATGATGTATACCAGCTGCTGAGAGCTTCTCTAAGAGTAACGGCGTCGGAGCAAATGGAGTGAGCTTCCGGAGTAGGTTCCTCATCGGGGCACTCTTCTTGTGTTTCGATAAATTTTGCCGTTCTATGACATGGTAAGCAAACGAAGCAAAATGAACTACCAACGTTGAATGCTACAAGGTCTACTCACCGAACTCGCAAATTGGATACCATGACCATGATATCGAGCAAGGAATCCAAGGGATGCCACTCATCCCCGTGCTCATCAGTCCACATCCGTCTAGAAAGATCCATCCATTCAGGCTGCGTGAGAAACGTCGATTCGTTCCCCAGGATAGTGCGTGATACTTCGAAAATGCGTGCTTGAACAAAGAATTTTCGGCTAGGGCCAGCTCGACACTTTACCGGGCCGCCGGCTTCAAGAGCTTTTGCTGTGCCATGGGTCATGTGCTGCTGCCATCCATCACCAGTTTCGTCATTAATCAACTACCCGGTGTTAGCATCTCTGCGAATTCGGCAAGCATAAAGTCGATACCCACTTCGAATAAGCCCAGGAATAGTGTTGTCCACAGTACTGTGTCATGTAGACTATCGTCACCTTTCCTTGGACTGTTGATGGAATCGCGCAGCCCTATGATGGACTTTGAGTAGTATTCTAGAGCAGTTGCCAAGCATTCATTCCGCGGGGGGACGTCCGAAGCATTCAGCTTGACTGCTTGTATCGCACCGAGCGACAGCATGGCATCTATGAGATACGAGTTGGAATGAAGGCCGGAGAGCTGCTTTACCTCGTCAACCAATGAGCGTTCCTTTCCAGTAAAGTTATTCCGGCCAATAAAAACATCAAAGTAGTACAGAAATGGCAGGTTGTTGTCTGAAATTCGTGACGGGGAAGAAACAGCGGATCCTCCATTTGTTGATGGTGGTGTCTGTTTCCGCCTCTCTCGACTGGGTGACTTGAAGGTTGCGGGAGTCTTTTGCTTCCCTCGATCAACCAGAATAATTCGTGTCTTGTCCTTTTGGCCAGTTGCAAATACGCAAGCGATATGCCGACGCTCGCAATGGCTGCAAGGTACCTGACCAGAACACTAACACACACACGTATTAGCATGCATCTGCGAGCTCACAATACATATGGACTCTTTTACATCTCACCTTGAGGTGGCTGGTTGAACATGCTTGGCAGCGGGACCGCTTCTTGCGGCCGTCAAAGGGCCCGACAAACATGCTGGCTAGATGGACGCAAGAATACGAGCCGAGTAAAATTGAGAACCGGCGATGATCTCTATGTATGCGATGATGCAGGGATGTTTGGTCTTGTTAGTGTATTGACAAAGGCGTGTAATTTGATGTCTTTGCATGTGTTACCCTTGACCTAGGTGATGAGCCTCTTACAGATAGGGGGGGCGTGAGTTGGACTGCACAAAGTGTAGTGCACATGTATACAAGACTCTTAAAAAGATGGCTTCTTTCTCCTGATGTTCGACCCCTTATCCGATCGGATGGGGGCTCAAACGGGTTTGCTAAAAGTGAAATCATTGCATCTTCCGCCCTTGCTGAGGCGGCTGCTTTTAGCCCTCGCCGGGGTGAGTCAGCGCTCTCGGTGAGGCCCGATGGAGTTTGACCACCACAGACAAAAATCCCGAGTAAACTAAAAATATATGATGTATAAGGAATATTGATCCTTTTCTTTGTCGTTGTTTACATTTACATTGTTCAAGTCAACTGCCTCAAGCCAGCCAGGCTGAGTACATAGTTTGCTACATAGACATGAAGATGGATGGCAATACGGATCTTTACCTCGAGCAGTCATAAGTTGCCCACTTCCGAGGCAAGGCTAATTCCAAAAGAAGAGTAACGAGACTCAAAGATTGGGAAACGAGTAGTAATGGATGTTCTTGTCTGAAGGAGGCCATTTGATTCAGTTCTTCTCTGCCAAGCAAGAGGAGCAGTCGAGTCTGGTACTCGTATCAACAGCCCGGATCTACAAGTGTCGCTATGAGGGGTTGCACCCTTGCTCAGTTAGCATCAAACCCAATGCAACCTTGGTGCTGAGATCCCCTCTGAGCCGTCTTCCCCTAGCGCATTTGCCGTGCTGTAATGCTCCGGAGCTCGATGGAGTGTGTATGCCGATAATTGCCACAAGCTATCGGGCACTTTGAGGCTTCCACACTTCAGGTAATCAGGACAGGTTTAGAGCCTCTAAAACACGGCAAAAAGTACTAACCTTAGTACAGGTAACTATACGAGGTACTAAAGGTAGTAGATTATTTGTACTTGTATATATACTTTGGTATTGACCTATCATCTTGTCTGATCTCAGTTAGATTAGGTACATGGACCTAAAGTGCACGCACGCACACAGACACACTCAAATCCAATCCAACGCCAACCTCAGGCCGCAGAGCAGCTACCCCACCTTTTGACTGCGGGAGCTGCATCACGTGGCTGCCTTGGATGCAATCGCTTCGTAAACAAGAAAAGCGACACCGATCGCGTCTTTTGGCCTGCAAGCCTCCAGTCTCCGCACCTGTGGGATAATCGTCATTGCATCCTCCCGCTCGCTTTGCCGTCTCTTTTGTCTTGTCCTCTCTTGCCTTGCCCTGCCTCGCCCAATCTGACTCTGACCCGTCTTGAACTGTGCTGCTGCTGCCATTGAGTCGTTCAAATCATTCATTTCACGGCTGTCTCTCTGCCTCTCTGTCCACCTGCCTGCCTGCCATGTCCTCTCTGATCGGGCAGACGTTTCTCTCCTTTGAGGAAGCCTACGATGCCATCCAGCGGGCAGAATATTCGCACGGCTTCATCACCATAAAGGAACGGGTCAACCGCCGCAACGGCGTCGTCGTGCGTGGCGAGGTTCGGTGTCGGCACAGCGGCATCTATCGCCAGTACCATCTGAGCCGCAACAAGTACATCACCTCGACTCGAAAGACCGACTGCCCCTTCTTCTTCATCGTCGCTCGGCGCACCCGAATGGCCGACTACATCATCTCTGCGCGGTCGAGCCAGCACAACCATGAGCCCGCCAGCATGGAGGACCTGCAGAACAAGGTGCCCCGTCCCTTTGGCATCCAGGACCTGTTCCAGATGGTGGAATCTCGCCTGGCCGCCGAGGGAGCGTCGATGAGCACCATTGCTCGTGACATATGCAACGAGCGCCCCTCGGTCAACATCTCCGAGGCTGACATCTTCTTCATCCAACGTAAACTGCGCGAAGGCCAATTCTACGCCTCCACTGAAGCCTTTATCAATAATAATAAGCCCCCCAAGAAGAACTGAGGTGGAACGAGCACGCACTGTTCTGTTTCTGTTCTGTTCTTCGATTGATGAACCGCTAGTGGGGGTGCCTGCTTGACGCAGACCAGGTCATTGATGATAGCGTGTGTGCGCATAATGCCCCCTTCTTACGAGATGAGATACTCCATCTTGCTAGTGCGGATCTACCGTCGACCTCATCATCATGCTTTACCCAAAACGGCAATCATATCGCGACGCCATGCGAGTCGAGTCGACTTGGAGTCGCGGCAGCAAATTCGCCCTCAGCCTCACTTGGCACTTTTCGAGCTGCAATCATATTCTTTCCAACATACCTATTTATATATATAGGGGAAGGATGTCTACGTACTCATCTCGCGTCGTACAGTCGCAACCCCATCAGGCTCACACAGTTTCGTCGTCATTGGCTTCGTGCCATCATATACTATTTGGGTTTGGCTCTAGGGGGACTTGTACGGCTGTGGTCATTCAACGAGGCTGTGAGCTGCCTCCACAAGATATTCAGAGGGGCTTCAGATGAGTTTATAAAGAACCAACAACAACCCTCCAAGTATCCAGATTTACTCTCAATTCAGTTCAATTCACTCTACAATCTTTTCCATCTTTGTATACTCCTGCTCCCGCTTCGACTTTATTCCATCACCTTCACCACTTGTTACCGACACCATGCGCTTCATCGCACCGATTTGCCTGCTCTTATCCGTCTCCAGGGCTGTCCTCGTCCCTGGCCCGACTGGCCCCTACGCCGTTGCCATGAAGGAGCTGCCTCTGACGGACACAAGCCGGCATGATCCCCTAGATCCGACGGGCAAATCCAAAAGCCGCCGTCTGCTGGTCTCGCTCTACCTCCCAGTCGACAAATCCAGACGATCATGCCCCGTTGTGACTGTTCCGTACATGACTCCTCCAGTCGCCGCCAGCTACGGACAACAGGCCACTCAGGTAGGCCTGCCGGATACTCTCTATCAGCCGTTTCAGATGGAGTTTTGCGATCTCAAGAAGCTCTCTCCCTGCGGCCAGGCTTCCAACAAAAACAAGAAATATCCTCTCATCCTCTTTGAGCCTGGTCTTGAGGAGTCACGTCTCATTTACGGCGCCATGGCTCGGTCCCTGGCCAGCCATGGCTATGTTGTTATTAGCGTCGACCATCCCTTTGAAGCACCGGCCATCCAGTACCCAGACGGGACCATCATTGAAGGCATCGACTTTGACCCCTCTGATCCTGCCGTTCTCCCAAAGCTTCTCAAGGTAATTCTCGTTCTCCAGGACCAGGAATCATCATGTACTGACAATCACAGGTGCGCACCGACGACATTACCTTCATCATCAACCAGCTCGAGAATCAAAAAGTCATGAAGCCCGTGCTCGCAGACTTCCCCGGCACCATTGACTACCACCAGCTCGCCATCTGGGGCCACTCCTTTGGCGGCGCCACCTCTGCATCTGTCATCAACGCCGACAAGCGAGTCATCGGCGGTCTCGACCTTGACGGCATGGTGATGGACCCTGTTCTGAGCAGCAACGTCGCCAAGCCCTTCATTTTGGTCGGGCACGAGGGCCACGATGACGAGGATCCGTCGTGGAACCAGTTCTGGCCTCGTCTCAAGGGCAAGCGCATGGAGCTTTCCATTGCCAACACTCAGCACGGGGCGTTTAAGGATGACTTGATGCTTGTTAGTGCTTTGGATCTTCCGGCCGCGGCTAAGGAGGCTATCGCGCAGGTTCTGGGGAGCATTGACCCGCATCAGCTCGATAAGGACCTGAATGGCATCTTGATGGCGTACTTTGATCTGCTCTTCCATGGCAAGAAGCAGTCCTTGGAGGCTATTCCTCACAACTTTGCCAACGTTAGTATTCTGCGGGGCAACATTTAGGGGGGCATGGGATGGAAGGTGGCGTATCAAGACGGATTTCATCCTGGCATTTCTTTTGTATTCAATCTCATTCTCATTTTCACCATGATCATTTCATCGATAGACTTTTGTTCATCTTAGTTTATTCAATGTTGATTTTTACACCAAGCTTGACTCGGCCATAGTGGGTGAACAAAACTAGTGATTCGCTCGTATACACCAACTCTATTCTGAAGTTGTATACATCTCTCCACCTTTGTCCATTCATCACAGCATTATTTACATATACAGACAAAACAAAGAATTACCTCCCTCGCAGCAACCCCCTTTACAGTCCAAGCCCAAAGCAGTTGGCGTAGTAAGTCACGGTAGCACTCCAATCAGAAAACATGCCGAAAACACCAACCTGCCTCGCAAGCACATCAACAAGAGTGTAAATATCGCCGTCCCTCGTGACGACATCCTGGATGGAGTTGTAGTAGTAGTCGCCGTTGGCGTGCACGCCAGCAATGGGCCCAGAGCGCTCCAAACTCCAGGTAATGATCTTGAGGCCCAATTTGTTCGCCCTCTTGGCGTACTCGCTGGGCATAATCTTGCCGTCCTTGCTGGTGACGAGGTAAGGCAGGGGAGGAGAGACAATCTTGACGCCGTCGGCGTGGTACTGGGTGAGGTTGGCGACGGCGGCGTCCATGCCGTAAAAGTCGGCAATCTCGTCGAGGTACATGGCCTGCTTGGCGAACTTGGGCTCGTGCTCGAGCCAGTAGAGCAGGTCGTCGTAGAGGAAGCTCTGGGGCCAGACGCGGCTGGGGGGGATGCCGGCGTGCTTGAAGGCGTCGATGAACTGCTGGGCGTACTGCTGCTGGGTGTAGTGCCCCTGGAAGGGCATGGGCACCTCGGGGGTCTTGAGCTCGGGGGTGAACTGCAGGCCGAGGGCCTCTGTCATGGCGATGTGCTCCTTGAGGGACAGCGTGGTGCCGCAGGTGTTGTAGAGGTCGGTGCGCCAGCTGAGGGTGCCGCCGAGGAACTCGGCGGGCGTGGCTGCGCCGGCGTTGAAGGCGTCCATCTTGGAGCACAGCGACTTGAACTCGGCGAGGGTGATGTCGCTGGTGCAGCACTTGGCGGCGGCCGGCTTGCCGTTTGCCGCGGGCTGGAAGGGCGTGGTGCACTTTGCGTTGAGCTCGGGGATGTTGACGATGTTGGTGGTGGTGTGAAGATCGCACTGGCTGTGGCGGCACACCAGCTCCAGGTCCTTGGTGAAGGCGACGTCGCACTCGAGGATGCCCGCGCCCATGCGAGCGCCCGCCAGGTTGGACTCGCGCGAGTGCTCGGGGAACTGCAAGGGCCCGCCGCCGCGGTGGGCGATGGAGAAGGACGACGGCTTCATCTTGAGCTCCTTGCACGAGTCCAGCTTGGCCTTGAGGGGGCCGTCCTCCATGCTGTCGACCAGGTAGTACGGTCGAGGGCCGAGCTCAATCTGCTTGATGGGCTTGAGGCCCTGAGCGGGATGGGCATGGGGATACGGCTTGGCGGCGACTTGGACTTGGCCGATGGCGGCGAGGCCAACGGCGGCGACGAGGGAGGGCGTCAAGTGCATCTTGATCTTGGTTCAAGCAAGCAAACAAGAGAACAAGAGAGAGAGAGAGAGAGGCGTGAGACACGATACAAGGTCGAGCTGCTGCTGCCGGACAGAAACCACCAGAAACTCTCCCCTCCTACGACACCACAACGGCGGGCTCTGACATTGTTTTTATACTCCCCCCCGGAGCAGGCCGGCGGTCCGTCTGTCTGCATTGCACTCACCGGCGGATACGGGTGACATGCAGCCATCGACAATGGCCCTGGAGCCAAGAGCCCCCAAAAGGAGGATCCAATTCTGGAGTCTTTCCGTGCCCATCAAACCGCATGCCTAGGTGCCATTGAGAGGATTCCATGGAATGAGAAGTCTCGGGCCTCGTCCGGGCCAGGCTGCTTGGAGCCCGGTATGTATGGAGCCCGAGGAAACCAGTGTGCCTGAGGCTTACGGCGTGTGGTTGCGTTGGTGCTGTTTTCTCCCTGAATGGGATCAATGTTGCAGATAGATTTGGCGTTCTATTTTCTGGTGTGTGAGGTTGAGTCTGTGCACTCTCCTCTTCCAATTGGGATTTATCTGCTCCTATTCTCGCTTAATCGAGGTTGTATTCACTGCATTGAATATTGCTTCTCTTCTGCCCTCTTACCTACCACATGCTGTCCCGCGACATGCTTGTCCCCCTCTGTTGCCTCAACTGGCTGCTACCCCGAGACACCCGCAGCAGTCCCAGGGGGTCCCCTACGGTTGCATTGCGTCCATGTGTTTTCGTTTCTCATCATGTCACCCACTGGAGAAAGGCGGAGATGGTAATGGATCCCCAATGGGGGCCCCAGAAGCACAATCGGCCAGGAACTCGATAATGACGACCAAACAAGGGCCACAACCTCTGCCATTCTTCCTCTCCACAAATCGCGGCGTGTCCTGGCCTGCGGCCGTGATTCGCCCAGCCAACATGTACTATAGTCTCCGGCTCTGCAGTTCTGCCAGGGGCTCAACCTTGGCTGACTTGTACCGAAACAATACCGAAGCCTTTTTTCTTTTTTTTAAGCTCCAGTCTGATTATTCTTAACGGCAAGGTTAATTGCTAGCCCGGGGTGGCTTTTTGCCCTAGTCTCGCCCGTGCCAGCTTGTCTCCGTCAGCACCATCGCATCCGTCCCGGTATGTCTTCAACATATCATGGACATATCGGGACCACGTGCGGATCTTATGGTTGTGATGCAGAATTTAGCCGGAGCGTTACATTTTCTAGCTCATAGCCCAATGCTCTCGGATACACGCACGTGGCGAAGAACTCCAAGGGGATTCAGGAACAGAAACGCCAAGTTGTGCGTCTAGACTTGGTCCGGTCTGTGAATGACATCAAGACAGCTTCCTAGCGCTCGTATAGGCTCTATAGCTCGTCTTTCCCATCATCATCTCCACGCAAATCCCGGATGCTGTCGACAGTCGCCCTCAGATGATTAAACTGCGGAGCGTCCTCGCCCAATCCCCACGCAAACACTCCGCCAAGCTGCAGGTCGCCGACAAGCCGAGGCACCTTGGTCCTGATCGTCTCCGGCCTATCGTATGACCACCACCTCTTCTCTTCAGCATCCCAATACCCGTAGCTTCCATCATCATCATAGTCGCCCAGGGTTTGGGCCTTGGTGAAAGAATCTGCCAGTTCTGACGGAACCTCGTCGTGCCAGCTGAAAGCACCCGTCCTACCCAGGTCGGCTCCATTGGTTGGGTCTTCCAGTAACTGGGTGCGACACCCCAACGGGTGCTGATTGTCGCAATCTTCCGTCATGAACCACTTGACATAGTAGCCAAGTCCAAAGTTCAACTTGTTCCGAGGCGCACCACGGTCTATATAACGCTTCATTGCTTCCAACGACTCAGCCACGCCGCTGTGATGCTTGACGACACCATCACGTCGGTTCATCATATCGTAAGTCATCACACTAATGAAATCAACGTGTTTCGAAATAGATGGGATAGTTGGATTTGTAAAGGCCATCAGATCACGTTCCAGGGCCGGCACTGCAATTGACAGCAGTTTCCCTGTCCCTAGGGCTGAACGAAGTTCCCCAAGGAGGAGAACAAATGCTTCAATCTCCCACTGACGTTGTGAATTTGGAATAAGCTTGTAGTCGTCACGGTTTCCACTATACATCGTTGGTCAATTCCATTCGTTGACACTCTCGCCTCCACTCACCCCGGATATTCCCAGTCAATATCGACGCCGTCGGCGCCTGTAAGGTCAACCATGGCTTTGACTTGAGTGGCCCACCGCTTCCTTGACGAATCGTCATGCGCAGCTTCTTCGAACCCTTTGGAGTCTCCCCAACCTCCAACTGCCACCATGATTTTGGTATCCGGTTTGAACTGCCGTCGAACTGTATCCACCGTTGTAAACAAAGGGAATTCTGCCGGCGTCTTGTCCACATTAAAGGTATCTGAGCGTATGAATGCCAAAATCACATGAGTAATGGAATCCACAAGATAGTCATCCGAGGGGACGACGACATGTTGCCTGGATAAGCGTCAGCCACTCATCAAACAAAGTAATCATCAGGCCAAAGAGAAAGAGCTCACCCTGTGAGATACATGATGGTTCGAATAGATTCGTGAGCTCCCAGTGCAAGGGAGCTGGTCACCATGACCAGCCACAAGGCGGCATACACCATTGGCTTCTGCATAGCCGGAGCTGTAAATGCCGTTAACCTGACAAGGTGACTGCTGTGAGATTGAGATGAAAGCGGCGTCAAGGGCCAAATTCCGTATCAAACTCGAACGGTGAAACCCATTAGTCCCACGACTGAACAGCACCAAATGAAGCGTATCTTTTTTCCCTCGTTGACGAGTGATGGGCTCTATAATGTTGGTGACACTACTCTCTCTGTAAACATAGAGTGGCAGTTGACAGTCGCACGGTGCTGCGCACGGTGCACCAACTCCAATCGATACGGCTATCTAATCTAAAGCTTCTTTTTTTTCCTCTTCGTCTCTCGAAAGCATTGCATCAGCTGAACCTCCAAGTGCGGCTCTGACTCTGCAACTCTACTTGTTTGACTCCAAGGTTGCTGCATAATGACAGCCCCCTCAATATAATTCCTACAGCTGTTTTATCAATTTCGTTCTGGGCAATTATTCACACCTACCTTGGTCGCCGAAGCTAAGCGACTGCCATCAGTCGAGCCATGTTCGAAAACACCTGCACACTCCCGCTTCATGCGGACATTTTCACCACGGCGCTGCACCCGACAGAGCCTCTATTGACTGTTGGCCTGTCCAACGGCCTTGTCGAAACGTTCCGGCTGCCGTCTAGCAATTCCTCGGACGACGATCTTGATGGAGACTCGAGCGTGCTCAGCGACGGTCGATCGACGATTAGCTCGGTCTGGAGGACCAAGAGGCACAAGGGAAGCTGTCGCTGCCTGGCCAACTCCCACGACGGACAATGTATGTGCCCAATTCATCTTTGGAGGCGCCTTTCTCGCCTCTACACAGCTTCCCAATACTGACAGGCCAATCTCTCAGACCAGTACTCTGCCGGCACGGACGCGCTGATCAAGCACTACGATACCGCCACGGGCAAAGTGATTTCAAAGTTTGCCATCCCGACCAATACTTCGCGGCCCGATGGCCCAGCATTGCTACACGTGCTCAACCCGATGAGCCTTCTTCTTGCTACGGATACGGGCGCTCTACACATTATCGATCTGCGCGACGGCGCTCTAGGTAAAAAGCCTGCGCAAACACACTATCCTCATTCCGACTATGTGTCGTCCATCACGCCCCTCCCGCCGTCGGAAGAAAGCACCAGCGGCTTTCCCAAGCAGTGGGTCAGCACTGGTGGAACCACTCTAGCTGTTACAGACGTCCGAAGAGGAGTGCTTGTACGAAGTGAGGATCAAGAGGACGAACTTCTGAGCTCTTGCTTCGTGCCTGGCTTGGGGCCCAAGAAGAACAGAAACAACGGCGTCATGGTCGTTGGATCTGGATCCGGCGTGTTGACCATGTGGGACAAAGGAGCATGGGATGACCAGCAAGAACGCATCATTGTGGATCCGGCAAAGTCTGGAGGAGAAAGCATAGACGCTGTCGTCATGGTTCCCAAGGAGCTGGGAACGGGCAAGAAGGTGGTTTGCGGTGTTGGCGATGGTAGTCTGAGAATTGTCGACCTTGTGCGGAGAGAGGTTAACACAACCCTCAATCTGAGGCACGACGATATGGAGGGCGTGGTTTCTCTGGCATTCGACTCGGAGAACCGTTTGATTAGCGCCGGCGGTCGAACAGTCAAGATTTGGGAGGAGTTGTCAGCACTCCAGGGCGGCAACAGCAATAGTGAGGAAGATGATGATGAGGACGATGAGGACGATGAGGCCGACGACGATGATGATTCGGATGATGATGAAGAAAAGCCAAACGGCAAACGCGCTGCTGAGAGCGACAGCGACGATGACAGTGATGATGGGGTAGAAGAAATGAAGCAACGGGCCAAGAGACGAAAGGAGATGCAGCAGCAAAAGCTGGGCCCCATGGGCGCTCACGGCATCTTGGGCTTTGATGGTCTGGATTAAGCGGAAGGTGTGTAATATTACTGCCCTAGAGGTGGGCAAGGGTTTCGGGGGAGAAAGGTCTGTGCTGCCTTGGTTTGTGATACCTTTTAAGACTCGAAGAATCGAGCAGAGCTCACATGATTTATATAGTGATGGCATTGCATATCTAGGTGTGCTTGACGAATGGGTTATTGTTGAAACAGAATCCATTCCTTGATTCGTCTCTTTTCCATCCCAATCTGATTTGACTACCTATATTGAGTTAATATACCCCAAACCTCCAGGCCGATTTCTCAAATCATACCTGTTTGTTTCATATTCTTCATCATCTCAACTTCCGCTCGATCTGATGGGAAGTATGTGTCTGTCGGAGAGCTTTTCGCTCTGCCGTCTTATGGGTTTATGGATGCGCAGATGCTGTGATGCGACTATACAGTCTTGATGGCACTCGCTTCAAGGGATCATGGTTAAAGATGATGGGTTCAAACATCTGATGGTCCAGACATGTGCCGTTGCCAAGTTGACGGCGGGCTGAAATGAAAAGAAGGACAACGCCAGGTCTTATTCAGACTCCAGGCAAGTTGATATAGCTCCACTGAGCCGTACTGCTCTGCGCGGATCGCAATACAGATGCATTCGCGCCTGTCGCAACATCCGGACCGACAAGAACAAGATCAGTCTCGACTTCAGTCTCCGTGTCATCGCAAACTCCCGACGGCGCAGAAAATCGTCTTATACGGCTCTCCGTCAGCCTCTGATCATATAATATGACCGTCGGCAAACTCTTCTCGCCATCGCCCCCCTCTTCGCATATCCTCGAATCGCCGCCGTCTTCCCCCAGATGCCCCCACGGCGGTGGGAGATGGCCCGCCGCCCCGCTATGCATCGTCGGCACGCAGATGTGCGGAATGCTCATCTTGAAGCCGATTCGTCTCGCCAGCGCGACAGCCCGAGGCCCCCCCACGCTGATGACAGCGTCACGCCCAGCCAGAATCGCCGGCCCGGGATGTGTATCCAGCGATATAAAACAGGCGTCCAGGTTCGGCAGCAGCGCGCGGATGCGGTTGGCGAGGGAGAGCCGCGACGGGCTGTAGATGACGAGAGGGCACGAGAGGCACAGCTTGTTGAGCTCCGTCGGGAGACTGGCGAGGGCGTCGTGGCCGAGCACGACTCGCGGCGACACGGACTCGAGCTTGGCGACGAGGGAAGAATGGCGGTGCGAGCGAGAGGATGGCGAACGAGGTGCTTTGTGAATACTGCTGCCCGACTTGGAACGGGGAGGAGATGGCATGACTTTGTTTTCTTTTTGTTTTTCTGGTTGCGATTTTGTTCAAGAAAACTACTATAGCACAACACACAATTCGTTGGAACCAAGAAATGCTGTTGCGCTCTATGGGACGATCTTTTTATTCATTTTTGGCAATTTTTCCCACTTTCCGCCACTCCATCATAGAGTGGCGAGATGATGGGAATTCCAGAAATCCCCATAACTTTTCCCATGTTTGCGTGTGTGGCGCACTGTTAGACAAAGACCCCTTTGACTTGGAAAAAAAGGCAACGGCAACGGCGAAAGGAAGGGGAAGAAGAAGAAAAATCCAGAAATCCGGGCCGGTAGCCGAAAGGGGACCATGATCGACTCCGGAGTTTGTGTTCCGGCTTTTGGAGGCGCCAATGAGATTTGTGATGCTTGAAGGGGGGGGGCGAGATTGAGCGGGAGTGGCGATTTGCTCGGGTTGGGGAAGGCTATGGTTTTATTTGCTGTTTTATGGGGTTTGAATGTTCTAGGTTGCTATGTGTGTAGCTTATTGGTGAGGAGGATATAATTGGAGCAAGGAAGCCTGAGTTTGGGAGTGTGTAATTATATATCATGGAGCTGGTAGATGTCATTCAACAAGTTGTTTACTTGCGAGATGATTCATTGGTAGGTGCTTGTTCTGTTTTTTTGTTTTTTTTTTTTGGTTGGGGGATTGTTTCATGTCATTGTCATCATATTGTAGGATAGCTTAGATATTACCCAGAAGAGGCGTATAAATCGGGATCTACTAGGCATAGTCGACTAGACGGCAAAGTAAATCAAGAAACAGGACGAAAAGGAGCTGGCTGTAGGAAATTGCCGTCCAGCTTCGTCGCACGCATCCCTTGCATATCAGCAAGGCAGTCCAATGGCTGTCCAGGCAGTTTTAATATGACGCAGTATTAACATGACCAAGACAAACATGCGTGTAGCCCTACTGCTGGTGTTCTTGGTCAGAGATGCTTGTTCGAGGTACTGAAATCGCAAACCGCGGCCTCTATTTACATGTGTCATCACTAACACGGGAGCCAAACTAGGATGTATTGGTATTGAGCCAAAGCCCCGTTGCCGTCGCATATCAAAAGATGTAGCAATGTATTGAATGGTAACCCACGATGCATTACCTGGTATATGTGTAAGTTTTATAATTAAAAATACTGATATTTTTAGATTGGCTACCTAGGCGCCCAATTTTCGTCTGCTTGGACGGTCGCCGTGAAGCAAACATTCATAGGTGCCCGCCTGAGGCTTCATAAGTTCTAGGGTAAGCCGCATTATGGGTATATGCTCCCCAAGGGAAGGCACGACTCCCATGGATCCTTCTGCCGTCTTACAAGATACTCACCACCTACTATCTACTCACGTTTGCCAATCTTGACTTTACATCAATCTTCTTCCATTTCCTCCCTTCTCATCCAAGCTGAAAGTCTTATCAGTCCTATTAGACGGATAACCCGGAACGCAGACCTGCCGCGACTACGTTAGAAATCATTGCCCATCACCAGCAGCATCGCGCCCTTTTCCATCAGCCGCATGGCGTGTCGACAACACCAAAGACAAGATCAAAAACCCGGAGAGCGCCTTTTCATTTGAGCGACTACATCGGAGCTCACCGAGTGCCTGTCAGCTGCCAGCACACGGAGAACCCCTATCTAGAACCATCTCAAGCATCGACAGACGGGATAATCCCCCTAGCAATGCGCTAAGTCTGGAGAAGCCCTGCAGTAGCTGACCTGAGATAGATAACGATCATGAACAACTGATCTCTTATCGCGGACAGTCACAATCAGCAGCGATGGAGCTGAACCCCCATGTCTCCCGCAATCAGGCCCCCGCAGAGATGCCGGAACAAGGCAAGGCTCTTCATTCTGGATAGTATCCGTTGCTTCCCCCACAAGAGCAGCGTCCGCTGGCCGCCTTGTCCGGGGAATTCACTGCTAGGGCCGTCGGTCGTCCGGAATGCGATGCTGCACCGCCGGTGTCGAAAAAGGTGGTATCATGACTGATGGAAATGATCCTGCAGACAAACACCGTTGCAGCCATCTGATGGTGCTTCCCTGATCGACGAGATGGGACACAAGCATGAGAAGAGAGGCTCCGATATAGCCGCCATCATCAATGCGGATACTCCGCATGATACGCTGATCCAGCCGTCATACCCCTTAACTGAATGCGTATATCTTTGGCAAGCCTCCATCAACAATTGGCTGGGCATGATGCGAATCACTCTGTCGACATCAGCTCTCCTCGATTCATGCCGGCCAATAATTTGCTAGTCCCAACGCAATTCCGCAAATACATCTTCGTTGGTCCGAACACTGGCTATTGACATCGGCATTATTCCACGCAGCCATATCCATTCAACCACTCACAATTCGGAAAAGATAAGCAAAAGCCGGGGCCATCAACCTGGTCCATCCACACCGTCGGCCAGCCGCTGGCAAAAAAATAGTTATTGATTGTATTACTACGCCCTTTGCTTATCGTATCTGAAAAAGTGGAAAGATTTAAGGAAGCAAAAAATTTATATATCACCAGTTGCCCTTGTGGTGCGATTGGTAAGGAGGTGTAATCAACAATCGCATCCGCTGTCTGTGTTACGGTCCTATTCCTATTACTCTTCCTCCATCTCGTCTTTTTGCAATACGGGTTATTTTGCTGGAAGGAATCGGGAACCCGTCAGCTTCATCTATCTCGAGTTTCTCGCCTATGACAGCATAAAGTCCTGATCCAGCATCAACGTAGGCTTCAGCAGGTTTGCCACCACCAACCGCCAGGTTTCAACCCTTTGACCTGATCGCTGCCTTGAAAAACAATCTGCCTACATCCATCTCGTCAACATGGATGAAGGCACCGGACCTACGACCATCACCCCCGAAACCGCTCCCCGGTGGTCTCTTAGCCGTCGCCTTCGGTCCCTCCGTCGAGCCTTTACAACCCGCGATGGCCTTCTCGGTGACTACAACTATGGCGTCCTGTTCCGCCCTAACCTCCCATTCATGCCCAAGGGCTCAGGGTCTGGAAAGAGTCCGTTCTTTGGCCTCAATGATCGCATGCCCGTGTTCTTGGGTCTGCTACTAGGGCTACAGCATGCGCTGGCCATGTTGGCTGGCATCATCACGCCGCCGTTGATTCTGTCGGGTCCGGGCGGAGCCAACTTGTCGACTGAACAGCAACAGTATCTGGTTTCCACGGCGCTGATTGTATCCGGAATCTTGTCGAGCATTCAAATCACGAGGTTCCGCATCTACAAGACTCCGTAAGTTGTAAAAGATCATGTATACCGCCCCATGGCGTACTGAACCAATGTTATAGCTACTATCTCGGAACTGGACTTATATCTGTCGTGGGTATCAGCTTCAGCATCATCCCCGTTGCCCAAGGAGCGCTTACTCAAATGTATGCCAACGGATTCTGTCCCTCAGACGCCGCTGGCAATCCCCTGAGCTGTCCTCGTGGATACGGTGCTCTGCTGGGAACCTGTGCGGTCTGCGCCTTGCTCGAGATGCTACTGTCCTTCATCCCACCGCGTATCCTGCTCCGAATGTTTCCCCCCATCGTTACAGGTCCGACAGTCATGCTCATCGGCATCAACCTCATAAAAAGCGGCTTCCAGGACTGGATGGGAGGAAGTGGCTGTACAACAGCAGCTCTGTGTCCCAGCCCCGGCGCACCACATGCTCTACCTTGGGGCTCGGCCGAGTTCCTCGGTCTGGGTTTCAGCGTCTTCGTCACAATCATCTTGTGCGAGCGCTTCGGATCTCCCATTATGAAGTCGACGTCTGTTATTATCGGCCTACTAGTGGGGTGTATCATTGCCGCTGCCTGTGGCTATTTCGATCGATCCGGCATCGACTCTGCCCCCGTCGCCTCCTTCATCTGGGTACATACGTTCCCATTGTCTGTCTATGGGCCGCTGGTGCTGCCAGTACTTGCCGTTTTCATCGTCTGCCTTACCGAGTCCATCGGAGACATCACCGCCACCTGTGATGTATCCCATCTTGAGGTCGAAGGCATGATCTACGAGTCCCGTATTCAAGGCGGGGTGTTGGCTGACGGCCTCAACGGTTGTCTCTCAGCCCTCATGACATTAACGCCGATGAGCACCTTTGCCCAGAACAACGGTGTCATTGCGCTTACTCGCTGCGCCAACCGCAAGGCCGGATATGCCTGTTGCTTCTTCCTCCTCGTCATGGGCATCTTTGCCAAGTTCGCCGCCGCTCTCGTCTCCATCCCGTCCGCGGTCCTCGGCGGCATGACCACCTTTCTCTTCTGCTCCGTTGCCGTCTCTGGTATCGCCATCATCTCGCGCGGCGTGCCATTTACGCGCCGCAACCGTTTCATCCTCACTGCCGGCCTGGCTCTCGGCTACGGAGCGACCCTGGTGCCCAATTACTTTAGCACCGTCTTTACGTACCATGGAGACAACAAGTCACTCAGCGGCTTCCTCGATGCTATTGTTCTCGTTATGGAGACTGGGTTCGCCGTCACGGCGGCAGTGAGCATGATTTTGAACTTGTTGATTGAGGAGGAGATGGAGGATGATATCAGTGCGGATGGCGATGACGATGTGGACGCGGTTCGCAACGTTAGCTCGTTTCCCGTGAAGAGGTATGAGCAGAACAATGACAGCGATGAGATTCGGGATATAGGAGAGGGCGGCTCAAACACAACAAGAGGAGAGAAGCAGGCCTAATCTAAAGCAAATGGCCTGATATGAAAAAAGTTCAAAAAAAAAGAAAGACATCAAAGAATCAAAACAGAGGAAAGCTAGCCCGAATGTGGTGGATTAGTATTTCCATATCATGTATTACAGATACCCCAACTCATAAATACTACTTGTTATAATATCCCGAGGGAAACCAAGAATGCTTTCAAAGTAAAAAAGTAGAAACCAAGATAGCCTTAAACACCGCCATGCTCATCTGATCAAACTGCCTGGGTATGTCTTTGTTTTTCTCCGACTTCAGCTAAATCCTCCTCACCCACACTCTCCCCTAAAAAAGGGCGTTTTGAACCTCCCACTTCCCCGTAGTCGTCGTCTTCGCAGCCCACTTCTTCCAAAAAACAAAATGAATAAAGAAGAACCCTCAAGTTTCTTATCAAAAAATAAAATAAAAAATGCGCCGCGCTCCCTTTGTCTTTCGTTCGTTTCCTTCTCCTCCCTTCATTTTCATGTCCCGCATAATCCCGATGATCCAGAAAATATCAGTAATCTACCTAATAGTGCAAAAAAAAAAGTCCCAAACGTCCACCGTAAGGCACCGTCTGAAAATGAATAGAGACGAAAAATGTCTCTCAAAGAAAAAAAAAATGAAGAGAAAAAAAAGGTAGCCAAACCACGTATCGCGAAATACGCCCCCCCCTTATTTTTGTCCAAACGCAAAAAAGGTCTGATGATGTGCTATTAGTCGAGAATTTCGGGGAGAAAAGGAGATAAAGTGATATCCCCCGGTTCTCACTTCGGGTTGTAAAATTAAAAGTAATTGCTTTTCATGGTCTAGGAGCAAACTCTTTGGCTTTCCGTGCCAACAGTCGTACATTGTCCACGAAGCCCTCCACCAACTCTTGGTACCGGTGGGGGGCGCCGCTCATGGCTCTTCGTCCTTGGTCGAGGAGCGCTAGATGATTCAACTCGATTTCGAGCTCGTGTTCCTTATCCATACGTTGCGTGTTCTGCAAACCTGCGTTAGCTTGCTGGGAGACAAGGGTGACATGAGAGGATTGAACAAAACATACCCCCGGACCATTGACGGCGTAAGTAACCTGTGTGAGATCAATTTGGTAGTGACCTTGCTTGTAACTCAAGCGATCCTTGTTGCGATCAGGTTGTCGATCCGACTTATTCGCCGACAGCTGCTCCAGCTCCTCGACGGATCCGTCCCAGTTCATCTCAAGGTTGATGCTTATGCGGCAGTCCATCGGCGCCATGGGCATGTGCAGATCAATGTCTGCCACACGCGCCTTGATGATCTTGTTGAGGATCTGGTTCGTCTTTTGGTCATATGTCACTCGTACTCGAACGTTTCGACTGCGCGAGCCAAGACGGGCCCGAACGCATCCGGGAAGGTGGCCGTGCATCTCTGGCGGCAGATCGTAGAAGCGATCAATCTCCCGCCTGTGCTTGTAAATGACCGGGACTCGCTTGGCGCCGCCATTGGGGTTCCGCGGGTCTGTCTGTATGACGACGTTGTTGAGGAAGTCGTTGAATGATTTGTGGTGTGCCTATGTCAGGTTAGTTGAGCATACGAGACAAGAGTGGCCGCAGCCACAGTGGGCATTGTTGACGTACCTCTGTCATGCTACTCCTGAATGCAACCCGCCCGTTGTCGTCAAGGATGCATTCAGTAGCAACAAATCGGTCCACGCGCTGGTTTGTATCCTTGTCAATGAGCGTGCCCAGCTTGGCTTCAATCTCAAACTGAATTCCCCTGCTCGTGATTTCTTGTATGTCCTGGTTGCTAACGACGTTGACAAAGAGAAAATCGGCCACGTTCTTGGACAGCTCCTCAATGGGCTTAACGCCGGCGATGCTGGCTTCCCACGGACCCAATATGTCCTGGGGGTCGGGTTCAGCACTGGCTGGCTGCTGGCTGACGCTGGCTTGTTGATTCCTCCTTGCTTCGGGCGAAGGCTGGCGGCTAGGGTGCTCTGCCTTGACGGCGGGCTCGTGCTTGCCATTGAGGGCCGTGTTGATGTGGGAGTGAATTCGCTTCTGGAGAACAAAATTGGCGTGGGACGGCAGCTTCCTACACAGAGTGTGAACGCTCAGGGCCCAGATTGGCGGTTGAGAGTGCCTTGCCCGCCTTTTCCTGGACAGGATAGGAGACGCCGACTTTTTGATGCGTTCTGCGTAGCCGCCATTGACCTCGCCGGGCGGTGGCTTCGATTCCTTATACTCCAATTCGCCAGGGCTCATGTTGAGATCCTCCAGCTTGCGCTTTGCGGGCGTCACCGCTCGGTCTGAATCGATGGCCATGGGGTGGACGCTGAGGGAAGATCTCGCGGCTCGGTCCGTTGAGGCCGGGGTAGCGTCGGGATTGCTAGGGATGGAGCCGAGCCTGGTCTTGGGACTGACGGACAGACTCTGCTCTCGGCCTTGTTGGGACCGTGGGCGCTGGGTCGGATCTGTGACGGGCGAGGAGCCGTGGGAGGAGTGCGAGGACAGGCGATGGGCAGGGGTTGCAGGCGGCGGCGGCGCTGGTTTTGGCGACGGCTGAGTTTGTGCCTGAAGCTGAGGCGGAGGCGGAGCCTGTGCCTGCGCCGGGATCTGGGTCGGGGTCTGGGTCGGGGTCTTGGCCGGAGCCTCAGTCGGCGCGGAAGGTGGACGAGGAGCCTGTGCCTGTGATTGAGCGAGTGAATGTGGTTGTTGCGGTTGAGGTTGTTGTTGTGCCTGAGGCTGCGGCGGCCGGGAGCTCAGCGGAGCCGGAACCTGTGCCTGTGCCGGTGCCTGTGCCTGTCCCTGGGGCTGGGGCTGGGGCTGAGGCTGGGGCTGGGGCTGATGCTGCTGATGCCGCGTCTGTGTCTGTGTCTGTGTCTGTGTCTGTGTCTGTGTCTGTGTCTGTGCCGGAGACTGAGACAGAGATTGAGACCGAGACTGAGATTGCAACTGCGACGGCGACTGCGACTGCGATTGCGATTGCAATTGTGCCTGTGGCTGGGGCTGGGGCTGCAACGGCGGGTGGGAGAGCGAATGTGAGTGTGCATGTGCATGTGCCGGAGCTGGAGCGCCCGTCAGCGAAGACACAGACATGCGCTGCTGGTACGGGCTTGGCGGTTGAAAAGCTGTCGAGGGCTGCCGCACGCCGCTAGCACTGCCAGGAGGGCCCAAAGGGGTTGGCGGTTGCGAATTGGAAGGGTGGCGGCTGTAATCCGCAAGTGGAGGCTGCGCTGCAGGGACTGGGCTGCCCTGTGCGTAGGGCCCATAGTGCTGCTGAGTCGCTGTCGGTGAGTGCTGGAGGTACTGGAGCGAGGACACGCTGCTCGTCCTGACAGGCGACGGTTGTGGTTGTGGTTGTGGTTGAGGAGGCCCGGCGTGTTGCTGCTGCTGCTGCTGTTGATGATGATGCTGCTGCTGCAATTGCTGCGGCGACGGTTGCTGTTGTTGCTGTTGCTGCATGTACTGACGCATTTGCTGCTGCTGCTGGTACGTGGCCAGTTGTGGGCTCTGCTGCGCATAGCTGTCTCGTCTTGGGTCCTGGTATTGGCTCGGATACTGCCGCTGGATTGGGCTGACCATGTCCGGCGGCTGCTGCGTAGGGAATGGATAGCCCGCACTGCCTCCAGGCGTCGTGGACGAGGTCGGTGACGGCCGGTAGGGTGACGCTATCACGGGGCCAGAGTTTGACCTCGAGCTGACGGGCGAGCGAGGGTCATGGTATTGACTCGGCGGTTGGAGCGGCGGCGGCGCAGGCACTGGCGCAGATCGGGATTGGGATTGATAGTGGCCCGGGGCCTGGAAGGGCGACGTCGCAGGATAGGCGTTGGAAGGACGCTGCTGCTGCTGCTGCTGTTGTACCTGCTGCTGATGTGCCTGCTGTGCCTGCTGGTGTTGTTGGTGCAACAACTGCTGTTGCTGGAGCTGCTGTTGATGCTGCTGCTGTGGCGGGGGATAATGGTGAGGTTGAGGCTGAGGGTAAGCATGTCGATGTGGGTGAGGCGGCTGTTGCTGCTGGTGAGGGTGCGGATAGTCGTGCATCGCAGGCTGCTCTGCCGGCGATGCTTGAGGCGGCGGCTGCTGCTGCTGCTGCTGCGAATACTCGCCCGGCGTGTACTGGGCCGGGCTGGGAGCATGACGAGGCTGTTGCTGCTGCTGCTGCGGTTGCTGAGGAGCGGCCGGCGGTGGCCTTGGGGGAGCGCGGTCGCCATTGCTGTCGGACGTGTTGTTAAGAACCGACCGGAGATCCATGGCTGCTGGGCCGCTGTCACACGGTCGTGTGTCTTTTTGCGCGAGACGATGGATCGGACGGTGGGCTCAATTGTCCAGCATCCAGAGCCGCGCTCTCGTGCGCCTGGAGGAGCGACGGCAAGGATTCGTCGGCGCCGGGGATTTTTTTAGATGGCTGTCGAGGGCGCAAAGGATGCAGGGCCGTCCGAGTCGCAAACGGACATTTCTCGAGCTTGCACGGATGACGAGGGTTCGAGGCTGAAGAGGCTGAGGCGTCGCGATGCGTCCTTGGTGGGGGGGTGAACAAGGACAAGGCAAGACAAGGCCAAGCGCGCAACGAGCGGCTGTTGGTCTGGACGATGACAGCGACAGCGACAGCGACAACGACAGCGACGGAACAATGCAATGGGCAGATGCGCGTCGACGAGGGACTCGGCAGTTGCGGCCGCTATGGCTAAGGTATGGGGTGGTGGATTGAGGTATCACGGACGGTTCGCGCAGGGATGGTATCTGGATGGATCAAATGCGCCTAGGACACTTTTTTTTTTCTTCCGTGATGGCCCTCTAAAGTAGGCTCGGGGCCTACAGGCGCAAGCAAGCGCTATCCAGAGACGATGGCCAGTGGCGTTGAGCGCTGGGCTGTTTAGTTAAGTAGAGCAGTTGGTTAGTCTCACTCGAGTTTGAATTGATTGATTGCTTGAGTCACCAGCAGAAGCAGAGGCACGCACATGCAATCAAATGGGATGGATGGATGCAATTCGCAACTCGCAACCCGGCGGCCCAGACCGGGTCTCGACGGGCCCTTTTAATGGTTTTTTTCCCTTCCCGGTCTGTCTGTCTCTTGCAGCTCTCCTTGTCCCTCCTTGCATCATGGCCCGTCTACTGATTTGCCATGCATCCGAGACCTGAAAAGGCCTGCTGGCTGCCCGAACCCATTGAGACTGGAGCGGCAGCAGGGTGGAGCAGAGCAGAGCAGAGCACAGGTACCCCGACGTTGCATCAGCCGCACGCGTCTTTGCTTGCACTCGTACCTTGTCGGGTGCTTTATTACAGTACCTACTCTCATTCATTCATCCAGCGTCCTCTCTTTATTACCTTAGTACTACCTAGGTACCTATCTTCGTCTCCCTCCATCCCTCTGTGTATTACCTAGTACCTGTCATGTATATTATATTGTTTGCTCTGTACTCTGTACCTACCAAGTACATGCAACACACGCAGCTTCGTACAGTAACCCCGACCTGCTTGCTTATCGTCCCGTGTGTGTTGAGTCGAGTTGCGCCATTGCTAGCCTTGTGCTTTGCGCTAGCCCGTCTCCTGCATGCCCAGCCCTCTGGCGACTGGCTGGCTCAGCCTTCTGTCTCAAATTGCATGAAAAACCTCGACGCCGCTAGTCTGCTTGCGGCCTAGCCCTTGGTAGCCTGATTTGCCTTTTTCCTCTTGCGCTTTCGGTTTTTGCAGCCTGACCAGAGGGAACTGCTTCATGTCACGTGGCGGTATTGCTACAAAGAGGACTAAGCCAATGGACACCATTGTCTGGGAGCTTATTACTGGCGGAGCGCTTTACATAAGCGACCCATGCGGAGCACGACCCAAGTGACAGAATAGAGCAGGTACACCTGCACGTGCTGTATTCTACCTCCTAGAATCTTGTATTACAAGTGACAGAAACTCAAAGAACCACCGAAGCTGTTTGTAGAATACCAATGGTTTCCAGTTTTGATACTCACTTTAGCTACCTAACCATACATACATTTATTTCTTTTTATACTAACCATCAAGTCCTTTTCCTGTAGTACATGCTGCATCACGTAGGTACCTAGTAGATAACAGCTGAGACACTCAATTCGCTGCATGTCTTGTTTATTTTGTCGCCAAATCAGCTGCCGCTCCCTGACCCCACCCCGAGTTACGGTACGGTACAAGGCGGCAGGCAGAGCTGTGCCTGACGTGGACATGGACATATGAGCACCTAAGCAAAGCAAAGCATCATCCGTCAACCAGCTGCTTATTCACCACCCCAAACCACCAGCTCTGCATTGCTCTGCGCAGCTCTGCCGAAGCTCCTCCGTTTCGTTCCTCTTCTCTGCATCTAATTGTTTGTCTGGGCATGCACACTTGGCCTTCTGCTGCCCTCTAATCGCCATCGCATTCCTCGCATTCTCTTCCCTTCCACGCCGAACTCGCCCCTCGATCCAGCTCTTGAAAAGCTCCCAACATGCCTGGCTTGGTGTCGGCAACAGGCGTGCTCGCCTTCCTGGCCGATGAGGAGCCCGAGCTCCGAGTCTTTGCCCTGCAGACGCTCAACGACGACATCGACACCGTCTGGACCGAGGTCGCCGGCAGCTTGAGCCAGATGTATGTTGTGTTTGTTCCTGCGCTGATCTCGACGGCAGCATCCATCGTCCCCGGCTGACACTGTGTGTGATTGTAGCGAGGCCCTCTACGAGGACGAGTCCTTCTCCGAACGCCAACTGGCTGCCCTTGTGCTTGCCAAGGTCTACTACCATCTGCAGGCCTACAATGACAGCATGGTCTTTGCCCTGGCTGCGGGGGACCTGTTCAAGATCGACGCCCCCGGCGAGTTCGAGGAGACCATCATCTCCAAATGCGTGGACCAGTACATTGCCGCCACCTCGGCCAAGCATGCCGTTCCCAAGGCCGCCAAGCCCTCCGACCTGCCTGAGCTGTCCACAACATTTGCCAGCTCGGCCGAAGGCGCCGTCATGTCTCCCACGACTCCCTTCTCTCACACCACCCTGCCACCCAAGTCGCTACTTTCCCGCGCCTCCATCGACAATACCATACTGGATGCCACTTTCCAGCCTGTTACAAAGCAAGGTCGCTCGGGCTCCATCACCCAGCTGCCCAACAACGCAGCCGAAGCCTCTCTGCAGAGGATCATTGATCGTCTTTTTGAGAGCTGCTTGAAGCAAGGCCGGTACAGGCAAGTGGTCGGTATCGCGGTTGAGGCCAAGAATCTCGACATCCTCAGGAGAGTCATCAAGCGTGCCAGCGAGGATGAGAAGCTTTCCAAGGTAAAGGGAGTAGAGGGGCAGCCAGGGCCCGCCGAGGAGCTGATGGAATACATCCTGGGCATCTGCATGGACATTGTCCAAGAGAGGGCATTCCGCACTGAAATTCTGCGGTTGATTCTCGACCTTCTAAGCGAGATCCCGAACCCCGACTACTTTGCCATCGCGAGATGTGTCGTCTACCTCAACACCGACGAGGAGGCATCCCGCATGCTGCGCAGTCTCGTTGACAAGGGCGATCGTACCGCTATTGCCAACGCATACCAGATCGCCTTTGATTTGTATGATAATGGCACCCAAGAATTCCTGGGCAAGGTCCTGTCTTCGCTCCCTTCAGGAGAGCCGCCAAAGAAGGAAGAAGCCGAGAGCGGCGACAAGGCCGAGGAGAGCGAGTCGCTGCTAGAGAACCAGCAGGCTGCGCCCGAGGATGAGCTCCCGGAAGACGTGGCCAAGGTCTACCGTAACATCCGATCCATCCTCGACGGCTCCAAGACTATCCGCCTCAACCTCGAATTCCTCTACCGCAACAACCACACCGACCTGAGCATCCTCAACAAGGTCCGAGACAGCCTGGAGGGCCGCAACTCCATCTTCCACACTGCCGTCACATTTTGCAACGCCTTCATGAACCAGGGCACGACAAACGACAAGTTCTTCCGGGACAACCTCGAGTGGCTCGGAAAGGCAGTCAACTGGTCCAAGTTCACCGCCACCGCTGCGCTCGGCGTCATCCACCGTGGCAACCTGTCTCAGTCACGAAAGCTTCTTGAGCCATATCTGCCCAAGCAAGGTGGCCTAAGCAATGGCTCCATCTTTAGCCAGGGAGGTGCCCTGTACGCCTATGGCCTCATTCATGCTAACCACGGTGCCGGTGCTTTGGAGTACCTCAAGATGCAATTTGGCCAGGCTGAAGAGGAGGTTGTTCAGCACGGTGGCGCTCTGGGCTTGGGTATTGCCGGTATGGGCACCGGCGACAGCGAAATCTTTGAGAAGCTCAAGGAGGTCCTTTTCCAAGATTCTGCCCTCAATGGTGAGGCGGTTGGATTGGCCATGGGTCTCATCATGCTTGGCACTGGAAACGTCAAGGCTCTCGAGGACATGATCACGTATGCCCACGAGACAACCCACGAGAAGATTGTCCGCGGTGTCGCCATCGGCATGGCGCTCATCATGTATGGTCGCCAGGAAGGCGCTGACGTGTTGATTGAGGGCCTGCTCAATGACCCGGATCCCACTCTGCGATATGGTGGCATCATGACCGTTGCCTTGGCCTACTGCGGCACGGGCAGCAACAAGGCTATCCGCAAGCTGCTTCACACTGCCGTGAGCGATGTCAACGACGACGTTCGCCGAATTGCCGTCATGAGTTTGGGTTTCATCCTCTTCCGCAAGCCCGGCAGCGTCCCCCGCATGGTCGAGCTGCTGTCCGAGTCCTACAACCCTCACGTCCGATATGGTTCCGCCATGGCACTGGGTATTTCTTGTGCCGGCACTGGCCTCGACGAGGCTATTGATCTCCTCGAGCCCATGATGAAGGACCCCACCGACTTTGTTCGACAGGGCGCCCTCATTTCCCTGGCCATGATCATGGTCCAGCAAAACGAGGTCATGAACCCCAAGGTGGCTTCCATTCGAAAGACGCTCAAGAAGGTGGTTGGCGACCGCCACGAGGACGCCATGACCAAGTTTGGTGCCGCCCTTGCTCTGGGCATCATTGATGCCGGCGGCCGCAACTGCACCATTGGTCTGCAAACCCAGACCGGCAACCTCAACATGGCGGGCATCGTCGGTATGGCAGTCTTCACCCAATACTGGTACTGGTTCCCCTTTACCCACTTCCTGTCTCTGAGCTTCTCACCCACTTCCATCATCGGCCTGGACCACGACCTGGAGATGCCAGACTTCAAGTTCCACTGCGCCACCCGCCAGAGCCTCTTCGACTATCCCCCCGAGCAAGAGATCAAGACCGAGGAGGGCCCGGCTCTC